CGGCGTTGCCAGGGCGGCGGCAGGTCGCGGAAAAATAAAACAGCGAATAGCGGCGCCCGGCCCGCGGCTTCGAGGCTTGGCTCGAGAGTGAAACGGCCGCTCCGGGCCTAATCCGGGCCCAATCCGGGGCTAATCTGACAAGCAGTAATTCGATACCGTTTGCGTCTCTCGCTTCTGTTTTCGCTCTTAGTTGTTGTTGTTGTTCTGGTCGCGCGTGTGCTTGCCAATCCGATTTCGCACGACGAATCGACGAATCCGCCCTTTCGCAGTACGAAAGCGCCGCCTTGTTGTTGTTGTTGTTGTTTTACCGCGGCCCGGCTGGGAAGCGATGGAGCAGGGCCCTACCCGTTTTCGCCACGCCGCCGTAGGCCCGTAGGCTCTCCTGGCGCCTGCAGCGCGGTTGCACTATTGTGTCATGGCGTTGCCGCGTTGCCTAGCAACGACCACCGAGTCGTTGAATTAACCATAGTCCTTATCGGTTGTCAGTTTGGAGGTCGGGCCCGTCGGGCCGGCGGCGAGGCTGGCGAGGCGAAGGAAGGGTGCTTGCATGGATTGTCGGGGTTGTTTCGTAGACTTGTTTGCGCACTGGTAGTGCAGGTCCTCAAGTCCCCGGCGGAATCTGTTTACGGGTGGACCGTCGCGACAGCCGTGTCCGCGACCTGTCAGTCGCGCTGTCTCTCTCGCACCCTTGCGGGACACACCCTGAGTGGGAGAGAGACAGAGCGACGAAAACGACTCGCGGAAGGCACAGTCTGCTGGCACTCTAGGGAAACCCGAAGCCTGGGCATGTCGAAGCAGTGGAAGCACTTGGCGGAGTGGAGAGACGCGAACGCGACGGCGAAGACGAGGAAGACGAGGACGCGGCACAAAACGCTGCCGTCGAGTCGGCACGGCGAGGCTAGGCTAGGCCTGGGCTAGGCCAGGCGAGGCGCGGTCGGCGGCGCGGTCTCCGTTTCGCGTTTCTCAGCTTGTCCGCGTTTCTTTATCATTTTCCGTGTGAACGCCGCGCCGCGCCGTCGTCGAGGACCGTGGCGGTCGTCGACGCCCCGCCCCGCCCCACCCCCACCACCCGCCCCACCCCGCCCCGCCCCGCCCCCACCCCGCCCCGACTTCCGCCCTTGTTCTCCACGCTCTGCTTCGCCTCCTCCGGCTTGCCGGCCTCCGGGCCTCTGGGGTGCCCAGCAGACTGATACCGAGCACCGCTCTGTCTCTCTCGCACTCACGCAGCGTCCCGTAAAGGTGCGAGAGAGACGGCAGCAACGAAAGCGGTGCTGCGGCGGGGTGCGCGGCGCCGCCCCGCGACCTGCGACCTCCTGCCGTCGGTCTGTCTCTCTCGCACCGGTATGGAGCGCCCCACAAGTGCGAGAGAGAGAGAGAGAGAGAGAGAGAGAGAGAGTGTGTGTGTGCACGTGGCGTCCGGCGGCGACCCCTCCACCCGTCCGCGGCGCGCGGGCTGCGCGGCGGAGCGCGGCGAGGGGGCGGCACGCCACTGGCGCACCGCGGTCTATCTGTGCACGGCGATCACTCACCTCGCCGCGCACCTTGCTGCACTCCGCGCCGCGCAATGCATGCCACTTCTTGTTGTCGGCCGTGTGCCGCATTTGCATAATTTGCAGCGCGGTCTACAATGGGCGCGTGGCTGGATCCCCCTTCGAAAAGGGGGGGGGGGGTGTCTGGTTGGCACGCTGCTCAACACTCTCCCGGCCCCCAAAGCCCCGAAAGGGCGTCTCGTCGTGCCACGGGCCAAGGCCCCCGACGACGGCCAGTCTGCTGCGCGCTCGTGTGTGTGTGTGTGTGTGTGTGTGTGTGTGTGTGTGTGTGTGTGTGAGTGTGTCAGTGAGTGAGTGTGAGTGTGTACGCCCTGCTTGATTTTCGGCATTGCCGCTTCCATTGTGTTGGCGGGCCGCTGGGCCGCGCTGGGCCCCACCTTCACCACCTCCCCGCCGCGCCGCGTAAAACTGTCGGGTCGTATCAGGCGGGCTGGCGGCCTCGTCGGAGCGGCCCGGGTCGAGGTGGGTCGAGGCCAGTGCTTATTCCCAGTTTGATGCATCCTTTTGGGCCCTGCCTGGCGGTGCCTGTGCCTCGCGGTGCCCCGCCTCGTCCAGCCTGCCTCCTGTCCGCTTTCCCCGTCCCCGCTTTGCCGCTTGCCGCTTTCCAGGCTGTGCCGCGGTGCCACGGCCATGCCATCCATGACGCCGGCCGCCGTTGTCGTCGCTCCGTCTCTCTCGCACCCACACGGGACGCCCCGCGAGTGCGAGAGAGACGGAGCGACGACTCTCGGAGTCAGTGTGCCGGCCGCGGCGCGACGCGCTGTGTTGCTGCTGCTGCCGCCGCTCGCGTGACGCGGCCGACGTGGCCGTCGTGGACGTGACCGACCACCGCGCGGCCCTTTTCAAAAAATAGTGGGGGGAGGGGGTAATGATATCCGGTGGGGCGGGGCCGGCGGGGCAGGGGCGGTGATGCACCACCGTGATCCTGCACGCCGACGTGCACGTGCCAATCTTGCGTGCGTGCGTGCGTGCGTGTTGTTGTTGTTGTGTGTGTGCGTGTGCGTGCCGGTGCATGGCCACACACAACCCTCTGCGTCCGTCCTACGTGGGGCAGTGGACTGGCCGTCAGTCAGCCCGTGCCGTGACTTTGAGCCTCGCCGACCGCTGTCTCTCTCGCACTCACGGGCGTCCGCGCAGTTGCGAGAGAGACAGAGCGACGAAAACGACTCTCGGAATGAGTCTGCTGTGGCTCTGCTCGCTCTGCGGGCGTGCGAAAGCCCGCAAGCCTTGAAGCAAGCCTTGAAGCAAGCCTTCCCAGGGATACTTTGCAAAGTGCTGCGGCTGCGGCACTGCGGCCGCACATTGCGGTTCGGTGTGGCGGCGTCATCAACGTTTTCGCTTTTTATCGGTGGCGTGCCGTGCCACGACGCGCCACGCCGTGCCGCCGTGCCGTGCTGCGGTGGCGCGGTCTGCCGTGTCGTACTGTGCAGTGTACTGTGCGGTGGCGGCGCGGCGTTTCCGATTACTCCGAACGGCCAGACCAGCGCCAAATCGCCCTCTCTCTGTTTCTCTCTCCCGGCGTTTGCGCGTCCTGGCTGAGGTCCTCTGAGGCCTGCTCGCTGCACTTCCCCTGCAGACTGCATCCGGAAGTCGTTTTCGTCGCTCTGTCTCCCTCGCACTCTTGGGGCGCCCCGTGTTGGCGCGAGGGAGACAGAGCGACCTAAACGACTGTCGGAATCAGTCTGCAGCGTTATGGCTCGCTGGGACTTCCCTGCTGGTGGAGTCCACTGCACTGCACTGCAGTGCTGTGCTCCGTGCGAGGCCGTCGGCTTCGCACGTGGCCTCCACGGAGCGCAGACAGCGCCAGGCGGCACAGGCAGCGCGGGCACGGTGGTCGAGGCGGTCTTCATGTCCTGCGCGACCTGCAGCGCGGCCCTGTGTGTGGCATGAAAGGCTGCCATGCAGCCATGCACCTCGTGCCGCTGACGCTGACCCCGTGGCCTCGGGGCGAGGCGGGGCGGGGCGGGGCCGCGAAAGAAGAAAGAAGCTGTGGGAAAAGCGGGGAAGGGGGCGACGACTTCGGGGAGGGCTGTCTGCCTGCAGGCTGAATCCGAGAGTCGTTCTCGTCGCTCTGTCTCCCTCGCACCCATACGGCACTCCCCACGAGTGCGAGAGAGACAGCGCGACGGAAACGACTCTCGGAATCAGCCTGCAGCCTCTGCACCACGCCGTTGCGCCTACCCGTCCTACCCATTCCCGCTGCCGTTGCTTCCCTTTCCCTTAACGGATTCTCGCGCATGATTTTGATTTGTCGAAGATGAGGGCCCGGCGGCGCGGCGGCCTGCTGGCCGGCCTGGCGTCGGTGCCGCCCGGCGCAGCACGTCTGTATCCGTATGGGTTTACAGTGGAGGAAACGGGGGGAACCGGTCCTGCTGCCTGGCCTGCATGTCCGGGGACGCAGGACGCAGTCCTCGGCCGGGCTGGTCAAGCCTGCAGACTGATTCCGAGAGTCGTTTTCGTCGCTCTGTCTCTCTCGCATCTACGGGGGGCGCCCCATGAGTGCGAGAGAGACAGCGCGACGAAAGCGACTCTCGGAATCAGTCTGCAGCCCGTGCACGTGCCCCCCGCCCCCCTTTCCTTGATAGCGCGGAGGTCGAGGCGAGTTAGTCAATGGAACCGACTCTCGGGACGCCCGTGCTGGGCAGGCGGGGCAGGGCAGGCTGGGCAGGCGGTGGGCGAAAGAGGGAAGGCGCCGTTTGGCTTTGGCTGGGATTCGAATCCGCGACGCTGCTGACCAGCAGATGACTCCCAGAGTCGTTTTCGTCACTCTGTCTCTCTCGCACCCATAGGACGGAGAGGCGAACAGTGTGCCGAGCGGCGGCGCGGCGGACCGCGGACTTCCCCTCGCAGCCCGCTTTGCCCGGTTTGCCTCCGAGTCCTTTCCTTTCGAGTCCTTGCAATGCACCATGCATCCCCTATCCACCGGATTACCTCCAATCCTGCACCGCCCCCGCGGCCCCCTCCCCCTGCCTTCCAGCCGGCCAGCGGGGTCGAACCCTTCTTATCACCCCCCCCCCTTTCCCCTCCCTCCAAAGCGACGTCCTTGTGCGTCCTTGCCCCCCCGATCCCGATCCAGATCCAGTCCTTGCGGGCAGGGCGCTGGGCTCGACCGCTCCACTCCAGAGACTCCAGTTCCTTCCAGCAGAGCACGAGAGATTCGGGTTTCGACTTGTCTGATCGCGGACCGGCCGCTGTGGGTCGTCGTCGTCGAGGAAGGCGACGGCATTGCGTGACGGTCGGCAGGGCACACTGTGGGTGGATTTTACTGTGGGGGTGCCCTAACCTATATTCTGGAATCATCATTTTTGATGTCACCACAGAAGCATGGTTTTGATTTAAAAAAGAACACAAAAAATTTATGTCTGGAATGAAGGAATTTGATTGAAGGTGAAAGAGAGATACACTGCTATGAATCAGTCAATAACCCTCTGTTTTTGTTTTCTGTTGCAGATTTAAAATGGGAGAAAAACGTGGAACCAAGGCTTTAGAAGTGTGGTGCAAAAGAGTGACGGAGGGCTACCCAGGAGTGAAAGTCGAGAACATGACAACATCATGGCGTGATGGCTTAGCATTCTGCGCTCTGATACATCACTTCAGACCAGATCTCATGTAAGTCTACTCACCATCAGAAGCCTCGAGTAATTCTGAAGAGTTGTTTCTCAAATTTTAATTCTTGTTTTTTGTTTCCAGTGATTTTGACAGCTTGGACAAGCGAGATGTCTATCGCAATAACGAGCTGGCTTTCAGAATAGCTGAACGACATTTGGGCATTCCAGCTTTACTTGATGCAGAGGACATGGTGGAATATGAAGTCCCGGACAGATTATCCATGCTGACATACCTATCACAGTTTTATCAAACGTTTGTCAGCCAACAAGGTATTTTTTAATTCATCTCATCTTTTTTCATTTTTAAATTTGTCATTATTTTGTGTTAATGTTCTTTCACCCAATTTTTGAACAAGGACACTCTCCGAATTCAAGAACACCTGTGAAGAGGTCTTCAGTGTCACCAATGCTCTCATCTTCACCTGATTTGTCTCCCAGTATGTCTCCCACATCATCAAGCCCTCCGACAAAGGTATGCTCCACATTTCCTGTGTCTTTAAACTTGTGCATTTGCACTCGTCTAGAACTTTTGACCTTTTTTTAATGTAGCCGCTTAAATTTTCTGCCTGTCTTTCTTTTCATAATTGCTATTGCCAATGCCATATTCTGTTGCTGTTACATCACTGCATCCAAATGCAAATGGCTGATGTGCCATATTCTGTTTTCTGTTACTTTGTGTCCACTTTTTGTCCATATGCCAATATACACAATGCTTCAAGATAAATTTTACTGCAGCTTCATGAGGTTTCATTTGCTTTGAAAGTTTCACCTATTCACTGTTTTTCTTGCATTTTGCTCATTCTTTTGTGTTTGCATTTCATGATCTCATATTGCGACCCACAATTTGGCTTCGTTGCTTAATATAATTTTTTTGTCTGACATTTGGGCTTTGTTTTTATTGACAAAGATAAAAACATCTTTGTTTTAGTAATCAGTAATATTTTTCTGCTAAGAATTATTTTAATGTGGAATGTTTTATGTTTTTGCCCTTTTTTAAATGCTTCTTTCATTTTTTGGGTGGTAAGTAACTTCTAAAAAAAGAAAATCATGTTTATCTTTTCCAATTTTGTACAAGCTTTCTTACTCAAGTCTCTAAGCAGTGTGGGTTGATTTTAACAAATACTTATAACAAAGAACAAGCAAATTGGGTAGTCTTTGCATGAAGTCAAAGTCAAATATCTTAAATTCCCTTCTTTTCCTTGAATACTTAGTTAAATTATCAAATTTTTAATTTTATTTATTTTTTGTATGAGTGTTAGAGCAGTTGCACATAGATTTTATTGTTTCTCAATGCACACCAAGTCACTGTGAAATATTGCACTCAAGATGTTCTATTTTTCTAAATCACTTATTTCCCGAGCAACATGGCTCTTTATATGATTGCAACTCTTTTCTCCCATGCCATGGAATATTATGGAAGAATGGTGCACATGTAGTGTAATAATGAATAAATAGATTCTCTTGTTGCCATAAAATAATTTTGCCGTTAACGGTTTTGAAGTTGTCTGAAAATACAGGTTGTTTACTAATTATAATACATTGGCTTGGATGCTGTGATGTAAGCATGGAGAGTGAATTCATCGTTCTAACAAGTGAACTGTTTCAGGTGCCTCATGTTTGAATTATTAGCAAACAAAGTGCCTTATTCTCTGTTTTTGTTCCCCCACCTCGGTATTCCTTATTCTAGTCCCACACTGCTAAATTTGTCTGTCTTTTTTCTATTCTCGCAGGAGGAAAGCTTGGACATTATGGGACAGTATAAGCCTGAAATATTCTGCTAGAAGGTAATTGTCTTTCATTTATGACTTAAACAAACCAAGAGATAAATATGGAAAAAAAATTATTGAGATTGGTGCAATTAATATTTTGTGATCAGTTCTATTATTTTTAGAATGCTATGTTTTTGTTTCAAAAATGGTTTCTATGGGGCATGCCGTGGAACAGTATGACTGTATGGCTGCTGCTTAGTGTGCTCCAGATTAGATAAAGCTCATGGCTGAGGCCAGAGTATCAGCCATAGCACTGTACTTGTTGGATTGTCATCTAGAGTCAGGGCTTGGCTTTCTAGCATAGTGTTGAGTTTCTCTGTCCATGGCAGTTTTACGTACTTTGAAAGCCTGTGTCAGCGAGCACCCTCTCAGCTGCCATGCTGTCAGAGAAGAGGCGGAAACATGGAAACCAAATGAAGAAGTTGAAGTTTTAATCTGTTATTTTGTTGGTGTTGCACAGGTGGCGGCGAGGGGCGTGACAGTGGGATCTTCTTCCCGGCCAGCCCACGACTCATGCACACATTGTGGATTACCAGTATTTCTGGCTGAAAGGCTCCTGGTAGGCTCAAAAAGAGCACTCTATCATCGCACTTGCTTCCGTTGTGCTCGTTGCTCGGCACAATTAACACTTGCCAATTGCTATGAAACAGAAGATGGTGGCTTTTGTTGTGAAACTTGCCCTGATGAAGAATTGGACAAATCTGACACTTCCAGTCAAGGAACGGATCGGATTGATTTTTCGGATGGCAAAAGTGAATCGTTGTGTAGTGCTGAAGTGAACCACAAATCTTTCCAGCGATCACTAAGTGACGATGAGAAGACTGAATCTCAACAAGCAAGAGCAGCCAATTTTTCTGATGAATATAGTGCTTTATTTGAATCTACTGTGGAAAGCAGCCATAGGAAAAAATCCGAAACAAACTCAATTACTGATAAAGCGTCCCTCGCCATACCGCAAGAAGTGCCCAATGATCTCTTGAGCAAATCTGATGAATCATCTCAGAAGAGTTTGCAAAATCCAATTGTATATAGTAGATGTAATGAAGGTCCAACTGACAGTGATCCAGTGGGCCAATGTGATGAGCTCTCAATGTGTCAATCAACCAAAGAAGGCACAGAACATCTGCATCAAGATTTCGCAGAGTGTGAGAGGCCGTTGAGTGGCATCAAACAAAAAGGTATTGAGAGTGATGCTCCAACGGAAGTTAATGTAAATAGCCCTAGTTTTAATAGTGACTCTGGTGTTCACCAGTCTCCTATCAGTGTCAGCACTGAGCATAGTGAAGTGAATAACTGTACCAAAGATTCAAAAATTTCCAGTGCTGGCAGCTCAGCTTCTTCTATTGTTAAGATGAGAAGGATGTTGTTTGAAGGTGATAATACAAATACAAAGGTCGAAAATGTTACTCCCCTAAGAAAATTGAATAAGGTTAAATCAGGAGAAGTGTGTAATGTGGAAATGGGAGATGCTACACTAATAGATAAAAAAGTAGAAGTTGTCTTGGTTTCTGAAGACTGTGTAGTTTCAACCAAGGATAGAATAGCTGAGAAGGATGAGATAAGTGATGGAATTGTTCTGGATATTAAAGCAGACTGTGAACTTTCTAAAGGTGAGCTAGAAAGTAGCGTGCATTCTGCTGATGGCGAAAAGATCCCTGCAGACAAGATTGACAGAGAGGAGAATCTTACTGTGAAGGGTGAATTTGTAGCAAAGTTGCAAAAAGATGTTGTTGAAAAAGAGGAGAAAGACACTGTTGCGCCAGATTTCTCAGCAAGTGTTAAACCATCAGTGAGTCCCAGAAAGACGTCTCTACCCCACAAGCATCCAGATAAGGTGCCATTGCAAGAAGAAAAAGAAGAATATCCTGTTGAACTAAACCCATTTGGAGACGAGGATGAAGAAGAGGCAGCTCAAACAGTGCCGAAAGTTGTGAAGGTTGAAAGCAACAATCCCTTTGGCTCAAGCGATGAAGAAGATGAAGAAGTGGTTTTAAGGAAAAAGTCCGTTCCTGAAAAGCCTCCAAGGCCTCCACCACCACTTACAAATTTGCAGTCTGGTCGTCCTGCTACGATGGCTACAGTTCCCTCAGTGTCTCCAGTACCTGCTCAGAGAAGAGTTATTCCTGCACCTGTCAGCCTGAATCCATTCTGGAGTGATGGGGAGGAACCAGAAGATGACAGTGCTTCTACACCTGTGCCATTACCAAGGATGACAGTAAGGTAAGGTAATTTTACTCCTAAATCTTTTAAAACTGTTTTAAATTTATCAATTTTAATAATGTTTTTCCAATGCAGTAGATTAACTCCTGAACCGAGTCCAAGGCCTCGCACAACCATAGGCACTCCTCAAAAATTATTGAACAGTTCGGGAAAGTTTGGATCATCATCTTCGCTAACAAGCATGGTGTCAAATACTGGTACTCATCGAAGAAGCAAGAAGCCTGCTCCAGCACCGCCTTCATTGACAGCAGATAGTTCTTCCTATAGAGGCTCTCTTCCTCCATCTCCTAATCCTAGTATTGTGAGTGTTTGTATTTTATCTAATTGAAAGTCAAGTTTCTGACAAAATGTTTGTGAAGCTTTACTTTGATTTTCTTTATTCTCTCTTAGCGATCTCCTCACAAACGGAAAACAAGGCCTGCCCCACAACCACCAACAGCTTTAGGAACCGCAGAAAAAACTGCCTCACTGGATGGGCGAAAATTACAGAAAGATGAGGCAAACCGGAATACTCAAGCCACTGGTGAGTTTATCATTTCAAGAAAAAGGGTTGGTAAAATACTTTGCCAACGCAATCAAGTTACAATGTTCTGTTTACTTTCTATCTAGATAAGGAAGAACCTTCTCTGCCTCGAGACAAGAGTACTTTTGGACAATGGAAACGAAAGAAGGGTCCAGCTCCTCCAAGGCCAGTACCGCAGAGGAGACAGGTAAACTCAAATTCCAACCGAAGCATCAGCCTTAATTTTTCCTAAAGTAATGACCGTTCGCTTTCTGTGTGTTCCTGTGTATTTAGGTGCGTGCGATGCCAATAAAAGAATTGCGTAGGGAACTGGATGATATTGAAATAAAACAGCTTGAACTGGAGAGACAGGGTGTAAAACTAGAGCAAACTATTAGAGGCAAGTTTGATGAAGCTCCCTCTTTAAATGGTATGTTTCTATTTTAGTTCTTTCCAAATTAATAGTGTTCTTTATTACCTGTTTTTCATGATAAAATATGTTGACACTCTGGGTTTGTTTTTCAGAATCAAGCATGACACCTGATGTTGAAGATCTAGTTATTCAGCTGTTCGAGCTTGTCAATGAGAAAAATGAGCTGTTTAGGAAACAAGCAGAACTTATGTACCTGTAAGTAATGTTGTTCTTTCAATGTAATTTGCAAATCCTGTCAATATTCCTTTCCCCGTTATTTATTATTAAGTCGTTTGCTACAGGAGACGACAGCATCGCTTAGAAGAAGAGCATGCTGAGCTGGAATATCAAATAAGGTGCTTAATGGAACAGCCAGAACGCAACAAAACAGATATTATGAAAGCCAGAGAAGAGGAGCTTATCCAGAGGTACTGTGCAAAGAATCCAATAATTTCTTCCCTGATCATTGTTGCTTTGCATTATTTGTCAGCCTGCCTTCTGCCCTAAATTCTGTCATGGTGTGTGTGTTTCTTGACAGGCTTGTGGAAGTTGTGGAACGTAGAAACGAAATTATTGAGTGCCTTGAAATGGACCGTCTAAGGGAAGCAGAAGAAGACCAAAGTATTCATACCCGTCTGGGATTGTTTGCAGGTAAGCAAAGCTCACTCCAAAAGATCTTTTTTTTTCCCCTTCATCTCTCTCTCTCCCTTTCTCTTGTGTTATGCATTTAAGTATATTTTACCAAATAAAAGATTTGTTCTTGTTCTTTTATCTTGCAGCTAAAAATACAGCAGACCTGCAACAAACGTCACCATCAAAGAGTAAGAAAGAAAAGAAGAAGAAGAAGGAGAAGGATAGTAAAAAGAAGAAAGTTGATGCAGACAAGGACATTGATGAAGTTGAAGCTGCCGCAGCAGCTGCTGTGAAAGAAAAGAAAAGTAAAAAGAAATGGTTTTAGTGCTAAGTGTTAGCTGAAATCACCTTTTTTTTCATTTGCCAGATAGCCAATGTCTGGTAGTGCCAGAAGTGGTCTAGTCTTAGTACGTTCAGGAAGTTTTCATTTTCATCTCAACCCTGTAACTCTTCCTCATTTCGCTTTGTTTGATCATGAAAAGTGGTGGAATGCCTGTCATTAGCCTGGAGTAATGACATTCCCACTTATGTATGTTCAAGTATTTTACGTTGCCTTCATTCTCTTTGCCTTGCCCCCACATTTTGGGAGTCCTCACAATACACAGTTGCACTCTCCTTTTAATCTAAATCTATAATCTAATTGTTTAGTTTGTGCATATGTAATTTTTTTCAATGGAGCAATCGACCACTTTTCTGTGTTACCCTATAAACTCTCAGATAAAACAGTTACTGTAGTTTTAATTTGAGAGACACCATTTCATGTTCATCTTGTACTACATTCCTGTATTCCATCACCTATGAAGTTTGTATGTATCATTATTTTTGTTTGTGACAATTTTGTATCTTCTTTATGTCTTTTAGTTATATTTCAACTCTGATTTTGTGTTAGGTAATAATGATAGATTCATTGTTACATACAAAAAGACTGATTTGGTAATAAATTTACTACTATACACCAGTGTACTCACTGTAAGTTTAAAGAAATAAAGAGTAGTTCTGTACTGTTAATTTGAAATTAAGAAATTAATAATTTTACTGAAACCTTTGTACTATTTGTTTCACTTTCATTGTACCTCTTACAAAAAAAAAAAAAAAAGGAAAACTGCGTCGAGCATGTAAAGAGATGTGTGGGAAGATGGCTCAGAGAGTGCGGCCGCCATGATATAGGATCAGGGTTCGACTCCCAAGCAAGTAGAGGCCTTCAGTCTAATGCTGTTTTATTTGTGTGTCTTACACGTCTTATCTAAACATGGTGGTCTACCTTCCCGGTGCAGTGTTACATACAATGCCTTTTATTGCGACGCTTTTTGAGTTATGGTGCGATGATCAATGGGTTGCCCACCTTCCCGGCGCATGCTAAAATAATTCCAGTTTTTCAACAGTATAAGACCAAGACCGTTTGGGGTCGAAGGAGTCTGATGAGGGAGTGCCGCAGCACAACATACTCGAGTATAGGCCATTTTAAATTTTTGCCCAAAACGTAAAAAAAAACCTCGACCACCCCCGATTTGTCCGAAATTCATATGGAACGTTTCTATAGGTCTAAGAAACGGATGGCCGGTGCCCAACGGTCCTTGGAGCATTCCATTTGGCGTGAAAATGACTTTTCGCAGGATGCTTGTAGAGTTATAGAAGCTGTGGACGGTGGGTTGCCTACCTACGTGGCGCATGCTCAGAGCAATCCAGTTTTCTACAAGAAATTGGCCTTTAGAGCCATAGTGGCCTTCGAAATAGTGTCAGGGGTCTTCAGGGAGTGCCTCAGCACAACATACTCGAATTTGGGCCATTTTAAATTTTTTGCCCGAAACGCGAAAAAACCATGATGTATAGCCTTAACATTTTTTCGACGAAAATGATCGACCACCTCCGATTTGTCTCAAATTCATGTGGAACGTTTCTATAGGTCTAAGAAACAGATAACCGGTGCCCATTGGTCTTTGACGCATTCTATGTGGTATGCAAATGACTTTTACCGTGACGCTAGTTGAGTCGGGTGCCTACGAGTCCGGCGTCTGCCCAACTAATACCAGTCTTTCGCTGGAAAAAGACTGTAGACTGAGCAGGACCACGTCCTCGAATCGAAAGTGAAGTCAAGTTCTCACGCTTGAGTGCGGGCGCCGTGGAGGCAGGCAACCCATCGTGTCGACCACGCAGATCATTGCCAACATGCAACATTGAGACCTTTCTCGGCGAAGTGGAAAGTGTATGCGCTTCGCGCTTGTCATGAATTTGTGAGGTGAAAAATGGGAGGATAGGTAATATTTTTTTCTTGAATTCATTCAAAATACGGTTTGTTTTAGAAGTTTATTTATTCGTTCGATACAGTAAGTAGGTCGATCAGGTCGTCGGCCTCGTCGCCAGCAGAAGAAACGCGACATCAACAACAGAACGTGCGGGGCAAATTCCAAAACCACTCAAAACACCTGTTAACTCATCAGTCTCCGTCTGTCATCTGACAAAACTTCCGCAGAGGTACCTATCGCTGGAAAAAATCTGAAAAAAATAAATGGTTGGTTCTCTTCCAATAGCAGTGAACATTGACGAGAACTTATCGTGGAGGGCCTAACCTTCATCCTGTACACTTTTCTTGATATCTTATCTCTTTTCTTTAACCTTTTACGAACTGTTTCTGTTTTGTCTGTCACAGGATTGACGTCCTTTTTCTTAAATATTTTCTGATGGTAAAATGCAGTTAACAGTTGTGCCTCATGAAGAGAATATTTTCACTATCCAAAAAAGTTGTTTGTCGCAATGGACAGTTTTTGGTGAAAAAAATTCAGATGAATCACATAGAGACGGAAGATTTGCTCTTGTTCAAATCTCAGATGTTGCATTCTGTGTGTGCAAACTATTTTTCCAGCGAGAGGTCCATCCTTCATATGTCCATTTAGACACAAGTGTAATACATTTCAAAAGTGAAGAAGCTCATGCCTTACCAAAATTTCCATTGTCTATTTCTGATGGACTAGTACATGACAACAAAATACAAATCCTTCCTCAAGTAGTTCCTCTTAAGAAATTAAACCTGACTGTGATTGTTCAAAATCTGGTGGATATAAGAAAATGGAAGAGAGACGAGCAGAAATTAAAAGAAATAGTACTGGAAATACTGAAAATGTATGTTGTCACCAAAGATAGTGTTGTATTTTTGAGGAATTTGAAAGATAGCTTACGTCATGGAATCCATAGTTTAGTTGTTCATTCATGCCATCCTTCTCAAGAACTGAGTCCTGGTCAAGTTACTTCGAAGTCTGAAATATCAATTGTGCGAATTGTAAGCAAGTTGAGGTTTGAACAAGGCTTGGAACGATCTATGGTGCCTAAAATGGGTGGCCTAGAGAAGTCTGCTTTGTTATTAAAGGATATCATAAATTCAAATATAAAATATAAAAGAACATTCAACAAATGCCCATTGAAGCCCACCAGGCAGGTTTGTTATGAATGAGATATAATAATTAAATACCAGAAGTACCAAAACAAAAGATACGATTTTTAATTTTTCTGATTTCCAGGTCTTATTGACAGGCCCACCTGGTTGTGGCAAGACAGCATTGGTAAGGCAGGTAGCAGCAGAGTGTGAAGCTACACTTTTAACAGTTTTGGGATCAGAGACAACATCCTCTAAACCCGGTGCATCAGAAGAGGCTTTGAGAAAGATTTTTGATGAGGCTTCCATTCTGGCTGAGGAACATGAGAGTGGTGAGATTAAATAATAAAAAATATTTTTGAAAACCACAACTTTCATTTAGATTGCTTTTGTAGACAAAGCTGTAATTCCTACTCCATCTTGCTTTTCCTCTGATTTCAGGTGTGTGCATACTCCTCTTGGATGAAATTGATTCCATATGTATTCGTAGAGATTCATCCCAGAGTTCTTCACACTCTGTAAGGAATACAGTTCTGCTTCTGTCTTTGTTAGATGAAGCTAATAATTTTCCAGGCCTTATTGTAATTGCAACCACAAATAAAGCCAACAGTCTAGATCCATCCGCTCGAAGACCAGGGCGACTTGAAACTGAAGTATGACAACCACAATATTTTATAAGACAGAACAGTGACAGAAAAATTGTTTTCAGTTTTCATTATTATCATTATTGTTTTCAAAGGTCTTAATAAGTGTGCCCACTCAACATGAGAGAGAAGCCATAATGGAAGTGCTAGTAAAGGGATTGGCATTAGATCCTTCAACTGCAAATGATGTTGCTAAATATGTGGCAGCCATCACACCTGGGTATGTTGGAGCTGATTTAGCTCTTGTTTGTCAGGAAGTCGCTCTTCAAAATTACCGAAGGTATGTCCTGTCCCATGTCGTAGATTTTATGAGTTGAAAGTGGTTTTCTTTTTAACTTACAAACTGTCCTTGCTTCATTTGTTCACTTCCTTTAGAAACAGTATTCATGTTTCCTCAACGGGACCTCCGCTTCCAAATAATGTGTGGTCCTTAGCTTTCAAGCGAGCAGTGTCTAAAATAAAACCCTCAGCACTACGAAGTGGCCTTGGGGTTGTTTTAACATCTCCAATGAGTATGGATGCCATTGGAGGTCTACAGGCAATCAAGAATGAACTGCGTGTTGCAATTGAGTGGCCCTTAACTCATCCAGATGCATTCACTCGCATGGGGCTTCCAGAGCCCAAAGGTAAAGTTTTTTTTAAGGGACTGCTCGCAAAATAATTTTAAAACCAAGTTACTAAACTAAGTTTTAATTTTCCTTTAGGTGTCCTGCTGTACGGTCCTCCTGGGTGCGCTAAGACAAGCATAGCTAAGGCTCTAGCTTCAGCTACCAATACAACATTTCTTTCAGTCTCAGCAGCAGACTTGTTTTCTCCTTATGTTGGTGAGGCAGAGAGATCTGTCGCTGAACTGTTCCATCGCGCTCGCACTGGCGCCCCTAGCATTCTATTCATTGATGAATTAGGTGACACTCGAAAGCCTGGATATTTATCCCCCCTCAGTTTTATTGTTGCTTACTGTAAATCTTTTCTGTGTCCTAGATGCCCTTGTTGGATGTCGTGGTGAGAAGGAGGCAGGAGCTCAAGAACGAGTACTATCAGCATTTCTGACGGAAATGGATGGTATAGGAATACGTTTAGAAGGCGTGAAAGTAGATGATGAAGAAAAAAAACTAACAGAAGGGGTTGCATTCGACCATGACAAAGAGGTTCACATACTCTCATTTAACTTATTGGTTTGAAAAAAGTATTTTAAAAATACTCCTTTTAATATTATTGAATATTTTAGGTGCCAAAGCAGTCAGGGAAAGTAAGCAATGTTGGAGTAGTAGTAATAGCTGCTACTAATCGCCCAGACATGATAGACAGTGCTCTCTTGAGACCAGGGCGCTTTGACAAGCTCCTGTATGTCCCTGCCCCAAATACTAAAGAAAGACAAGAAATTCTGCGAAGTGTTACGATGAACATGCCTCTTGATAGTTCTGTCGACTTGCAAGACCTGGCACAAAGAACAAATTTATTTTCTGGAGCTGATTTATCAAATCTTTGCAAAGAGGTACCTACTAATTTGTTTTTTAACCTGAAGTACATTGTCATGTATAAAAATTTGTTGGTTGGGTACTAAAATCATTGATGTAACATTACAGGCTGGTCTCTGTGCTCTCTCCCTGGATGGTATGTCTGTGGCACAAATAAGCCATCATCACTTTGAAATAGCTCTTTCAAGAATACGTCCATCTCTTACTGAGGAACAAATAAGGTGGTATGAAGATTATAAAAAGTCTTCATGACTGGATTTTTGTGGGTATAAAGAAAATATTACTTTTCATTTGACTTTTGTTTTATTAGAAATTTTACAATTCCATATAATTGTTGAAAATGGACATAGTCATCTGATTTACACTGAGCCTATGGTAACAAAATCCTTGCATAGTTTTTTTTAAATCCACTCAGGAGAATAAATTTTCTACAAATGGTTGTAACATGAATGATGATGAAATGATTTAAAAAGTGGAAAGATACTTTGTCAAATCTGTTGACAAGAACAAAAATATAAAAGAGGTTTCTTATATAATCCATATTAAAGGCACTACATACATATCTCACAAAGTCCCTCAATGAACAAATATAATACATCCCTTGTGTCAATTTATTTTTTTACCCAACCTATCCTGCAAGTAGTTTGAAAATTAATTAAAAACAAACAAAACAACAAATTACATTATCCCTGCCATGATGTGTTGTTCCATTCATTGTTCTTGCATGTAAGCCACGAGGTTTCCCTCCATCCTGCTTACACTTTATACATGGACGATTGAGTAGAAACTTTAAGTATCTCATGAGCAAAATGCCCCACATAGAAAGCTAGAAAGGATAAGTGTGGAGGGGGAAAAAGCTAAAAAGAAGACGTGAGCCCATCATTAAGACACGTCTTCTCAAAATTTTAAAAATTGGCAACTTGGTTACCTTCTTATACCTCTCTCAGAAACAGATTTTGACACAAAACTCTAGTTTTGAATCAAAAGTTAGAATTCTCTAAAATTCACAGGCGCCACACAAAGTTGTGGCATTGTCAATTAGTATAATATATATATATATATACAAGTCTAACAAATAAGGAAACACAATGAATTACATGCATGAGATTGATAATGAACAACATTTCACGACCATCACACACAATGCTTTGCATGGTAGAGAGACAAGTAACCAAAATAATTTAGAATACAAGGTACACAGCTACCAGTCTCCCTACTCTGTAAACCACAAAACGGACAGCTTCTGTTTGTACCAAGGTGAATCATCTTCATCGCTCTCCCCAACGAGTTGGACCCAACAGTTCCCAAGACTTACTTCGCGAGTCACGAGTCATGGCTTCAGCTACTGGCTGGCAGGTACGAGGTCAGGCTGGTTCTGCCTGGAGACGACAACGATCCGGGGCATGGCGGCGTCCGAGCCGCCGGGCGAGCTGCTGGCTGGCGTCGTGGCGGCCAAGGCGGAGGCGGGGGTCGCCGCGGTGGCGACAGAGGAGACGCGGGTCATTCCCTGCGCCGCACCGCCAGCAGCGCCAGCCAGCCCGACCACGCTCACCGTCTTCTGCCCCATCTGCAGCTTGAGGGGCTGGCCTGCCAGCTGCAACCGGAGACACCCGCAGTTAAGTAACGACCACACTGCTCCAAACCTTGGTTCCAGCCAAGTGGGTCCCCTGGCACACACACACTCACCTGACCCTGGCCCGGCATCGACAAGATTTGCCCGGAGCTGAGGATGGGTTGGCCAGGCTTGCCAGGCTTGCCCTGGATCGTGACCGTCTTGGCGGGGCCGCCCTGCTGGCCGGGCACGGTGATGGTGATTGGCTTGCCGCCCGCAGCGCCCGCCTGCGCGGCCTGGCCCGCGGACATGACGATCATCTTGACACCCTGCTGGCCTGCCACCGTCTGCGCCCCTGCACCTGAAACAGCTGGGGCAGACGACGCCGCGATTAGACCTCGATCCCCATCCAGGCATCACCGAGCCCACTGGCCCACTCGACTTGCTCGTGGTACCGACCTTGCGCCGCCCCCGCCTGACTGTTGGTGAGAGTTTGGACCGATCTTAGGGCAGAGCCTGATGTGACCATGATAATTTGTCCTGTATTTGACCGGCCTAAAACTTGCTGGCCTCCACCAGGTTTGGTGATAACAATGGTTTGCTTTCCAGCTACTCCTGCTTTGCTCACTAGAAAAAAAAAATTTTAACATTAAGTTTTGTTTAACTGTGGACTAAGATCAACAGGTTTATTTTTTAAATGGTTTACCTGATCCAGGGTTCAACAGCTTAACTATAGTGGCTCCTTGAGGTAGATTGCCTTGTTGGATTGTTGTTCCTTGTTGAATGGTGCCACCTTGTGTGTTTTCAGCCTTTACAGTCTGAATAGTTTGCATGTTCCCACCGGTTTTACCAGGAATAAGGCTCATTTTGGGCATCTGAAAGAATAAAAAAAATAAAATAATAAGAACATAAAACAACAAGGATTGAAAATGCACAGGATAACTAACTTACAGAGGCCACAGTCATTCCTTGGCTGGTTTTCACAAGAGTAACAATTTGGCCAGGCTGATTTGAACCGGGTCGTTGGAGGAAAATCTGTTTACCCGGCTGTCCCGGAGCAGCGCTTCGAAGCAGTGTGGTGCCAGGCGACGCTAGTCTTACAGTCTGACCTGCTTCGACAAACAAACAGTGGTAAGTTGGTTTCCTCTCGATGGTCTGTCCCTAAAAGCAATGGCCTTGACGACTCACCCAGGGCGCCTGACGGGGAAGCCACTCGGTAGGTCGGAGAGCCCTGGGCCTGCACGATCCTCATAGGGCTACCGGTCGTGGCCGCAGCGGACGCGACCACCGCCGCCACTGGAGTGGACGAGGCCGCCGCCCCGGGGGCGGCAGCCACAGGCGTAGCCGGGGACTGCGGGGCGCTAGTCGCAGGGCTGGTGGCCGCCGCCTGCACCGCCTGCGCCGCCTGCGCCGTCACCTGTGGTGCAGACCCTGCCGTCACAATGCTGCTAACAGCTGCAGCAGTAGCAGACGTTATGGTGGTGGTGGCGGCGCCCACTCTTCTGGGGGTTCCAGCCGCCTTGGAGGCAGCAGCTGCCAAAGCCTGGATGCCCATCTGGCTACGAGCCTGTTACGCAAAACATTCACACATTTCAACATCAAAAAGGACCATTGTGGTCAGCCAGTGGATTTGGAAAGTACTGCCGTTTGACAACTCGCAGGAATTATCTAAACAGACAGTCACTAGCGAAATAAAAATTGCTTTAAAATTTCTTTAAAAAAAAAAATTCTTTTTACTAAATAAAAAACTGGCCATAAGTTCTAAATTAAAAAAAAATAATGAAGGAACTCTTTGAGAAGGAAAAGATGTTTGTAACAACTTCTATCAGGCAAAACAAAAAAGAAAACAAAACTAACAAACATTCAAAAGCCATTCATACCATGCCCTGAGGGATCACATCTGCAAGACAACCTAAAAGGTACAGAAGATAAGACTAAAATTGTCCGCCACCACAGAACAAATAAGATTCCCGTAACCTGCTAGTCTACTGCAAAATCATAAAAAAAATTCATTAAAACCAAGATTCTGCAAAACAAACTACAATTCCAGAACAATACACAGACTCCAATGTTACTATGGGGTTGACACAAGCAAATCATCACATAAATGTGACACTAATCTACGTCAAAGAATTAAAGGGTAGTTCAATGCTACAGAACAGAAGCCCACTTCCCACTTCCTTGTAAAAATGCTGATTGCTAGCCCATTCACAATCATAGCAAAAAACAATCATATACTTAATCTTCATGATTTAACTACTGGCTTGATATAAACTTAAAGTATGTGAGGTATAGGCAGTGCCAGGATAAGTCCAACACTGGCCAGCATCAAATTACTATATGTACATACTTAAAATTCATGCAAAACTAAGAGCAATGGGAATATCAAAATATGGGTCTTGCTCACCACAGGTGACGCAGTGGATCCTGTGCCAGTAACACTAGTTGCTGCCGTAAGGCTGGCAACTGTTGTTACTGTTCCTGATTTTGCCGACAGCAGACTTTGACCAGGTGAGATCACGCTTTGGCCAGCAGGACTCTGCATTCGGATCAGACGAACTGTCTGTGGTCGCACCATGGAGGGGGAAGCAACGCCTGTTGACACAGGCAGGCGCACTACTGGCCCTGTTGGTGCACTAGGGGCTCCCGTGCTTACCACAGTGCCAGCTGGACGAACAATTGTTGTTGCAGTCCGTGGAGAAGGAGCTACAATTGGACGAATGGGCGTTGGGGTACCTGCTACAATGCAAAATCATTGTTGCAATAGTTGCAATGAGACATTAATATTAAAAGAGCAGCAAAATGAGAAGACATACCTTTCAACACAGTTTGGGGAGTAACAACAGGTGCTGGAGTGGCTGCCTTGAGAGGTGATGGTTGGACAGATGCTGGTTGAACTCGAGCAGGGCTAGCTGACAGGGCGTTAGCTGCAGCTACTGGGACAGGCTGTCGGGGAGTCGGAGGCGTGACACCCACACCAGTGGCAAGTGCTGGAGGACTGCTTACAGCTACTCTGGCAGGTGCAGGTGAACTCAATGCTGCAGTCGTAGTAGTAGATGTAGTGGTAGTGGTGGTCTTAGACGCTGCAGTTGCTTGCGTTGTGGTTGCAGATGTCGGAGAAGGCAACTAAACAATTTACAAGTAATTAGTAAATAAAAACAGAAGCAACATGTACCCATACATAAAGATAGCAATACAGCAAAACTCACAGCAGGAGCTGATGAAGTAGGGGATATATCATATTTTTGGATTTGTAAAATATAAGCATCTGCAGTTGGACATGCTCCCCAATACACTTCCAGCGATTGAGTGAAGGCTTTCGCTAATTGAACTCTGCCAGGCTGAGCTGGTTTTTCTGCTTCCAAATACCACAGGTCTTTACAACACACCTACAAACGAAATTGTGTCATGTAAGGTCTAGGGCTACTATCTTGACACTGGGCAGGACTAAAGTAGCAACAAACCTGATTGTTCCATGCTTTGCGATAGCCATCACGGCCTGACCACACATACATGCGAGTGTGGATTCCAACAGCACAGTGCCCAGCTCTTGCCTTGGGGACATTGTCTTCATAGGTGTCCATTTGAAAGCTTTCCCAAGTCATTGATTCTAAAATCAGGCAAAATAAAGACATAAAGAAATAAATAATATGTAAAGTTTCTTGTTATGTTACATGCAGCCCATATAAAAGCTTAAGTGCTCTTGGGACATGCCAATATTTTAGAAACACTCTTCTCTGAGGACGCATGTATGTATCTGCTTATAAATCCAAATCTCTTACCTAAGTTTAGGCAAGCTAAGCTGTTTGTGCATTTCCATTCCTTTTCATGAGTGGCTACTTTGACATCATCCAAGACCAATGGTACCCAACCCCCAAAGACAAACATTCTATGCCCTATCAAAGTTGCTGAATGAAGAGACCGTGGAAGCGGAGCGATGCCATGCACTGTAGGTTTGTGCCAGTGCATAGTGTCTAAAAACAAATTGAAAGAATACATTAACATCCATTTTGAACGGTTTTGTAATAAAGTGTTTTCACTGATGAAATTTTACCTATGTCCAACATCCACAAGTCACCCAGACGACACCCACTCATCCCTCCGTAAATAACGAGGCTCGTGCGGCCACTTTTGTCAGTGTATGCCACAGCAGTGTGGCTCTCTCTTGGTGGTGGTGAGTCCCCATGGGTCAAGGGAACTTCCCATGAGGTTTGGTTATTTCCTTTCAGCTCAAGGACATACAAGTCATTCAAATACCTTGGTATATTATTTTTTGGATCGTCACTGTCATTTGCTAAACCCCCGAAGAGGAAAACTCTATTTCCAATCAATGTAAAGCTATGGCCAAGACGGGGACAAGGTGGCGGGAACTTTTTTGGTGGCCGAGGGCTTAATACCTTCCATTCCCAGCGGCTAGCCTAAGGGCAGGTAAGTAGAGTATTTAAGTTCAGGATAAAAATAAATGTTGCGGAAGGTACAAATCCACAAACAAGATAAAAATTGACACTTTACCTGGAGCTCGTACAAGTCAGCTGAGTATTTGCCATACTCAATCATACCACCAAACACGAGTATCCGAGTTCCATCTGCCACAAATCCATAGGCAGCACAACCTGCTGGGATATCTCCTTTGCATTGTGGAACAAACCATTTGTTCGTTGCTGAAAGTAAATAAATTTGAAAATGAGAATTTATGTTAAAGAATGAATATGAATGTTCAATTCAGTTTCTCAAAAAGCATCACATAAACATAGAGTGAATTACATGTCAAAAGTCTCAAAATGTCGAAAGCGACGGAAGTCTGACTTTCATATCTCAGATATCAAGAGGAGACCAACGTAAAAATAATAATTTGAGTGCGCATCAAGTGGATAGCAAATTGCGGTTGATAGCAATGGAATTGGTGAAAGGGGTATCACGTAGAGATGTGATGTATCGTGTCACGGTCTACACCTTCATCGAGTGCAGAAACACATAACCTCCGCTATCTCGTGTCGGAGTATCGCCGGCGTATGCCGTATTGGCAACTGAAGCATTGGGAAAGGAAAGACACCAACGACGAAAACGAGCCGGGTGCATGAGGGCTTTAGAGTGACGGTCTGGGATGTGCCCGTCCGTGCACGAGAGAAAGATTCGAGGTAAAAGACCGGGCAGGAACTGAACCTCTCCCTGTGTCTGCTTGCAGTTTGACACTTGTAGAAGCAAGTGTTTTGAGGGACAAGAAGTGAATGCTTTCGCATTAATGATGCGTATATTGTCGAGGGGAATGATAAAATGATGTGACATGCATAAAATTTGGAAAGCTCTCTTTAAATTTGCTATGAAATACAGTGTCTTCGTCTGAAGCTCAAGATGGCGCTAAGCCCCAGCGTCGAGGCTTGGCTTGACATAGCGTAGCGTCCCCCAAACAAACACAAACAAACGTCACGGACAACGAAGATGCTTGATTAAATATTCAGAAAGTGACTTTCCGGGAAAAGTTGCGGGGAGGCGCTCCCGCCATTGCATATGCAAACAAAAGGAGATGTTCAGATGACCATAAACCTAAAATTGACAGCGCAGTAATATGACCATGGTACGCTGCAGGAGGCGGCCATATTGGATAACCCAAGTAAACCGCCAAATCATAACACACCATTTATTTGAATGTAAGGTATGCGGCGAATAAAATTTAATAACCCCACATAGGAGAGGAGGTGCGATCCCATTCCAAACACACAAATATGCGTTAAAACCATTACAAACAACCGAAAACCCCTTGGAAAGATGGCCCAACACCGCCATTTTGCCCTAGCATAAAGGGCCTAGACGTCGGCCGCTCAAAATATTTACCTGTGTTAAAAACATGAAGTTCGTCCACGATGCCTTCATTTCCTCCGCCAAAGACGACCATTAAATCTTTAATCGCAACGGCCCGATGTCCATGCCGGGGCCGGGGTTGAGGCCCCGAAGGGTTATGCACCTTATTCCACTTAAACAACGGCTCAGCCATATTGTTGTGTTTTGACTGTTCGTCTGCGATTTTACCCATGATGCTCAACGATAAGTATGAGAAACTATACGGCCGTCTTCGTGTTCGATACCTCGAAAGCAGATATTCCAATGAAAAATTAAATAAACGCTCCTTAAGAAATTTTTGGTAATCCATTTTATAGTTTATCGAAAAATTTTAATAAATTTTCTGATTTCTATTGCAAAAAGACAAGATTGTGACGAAAACTTTGAAGGTCACTTTTTTTAGGGTGGTAAAAATTTCTCTTACTAAAGAGAGGCGAAGGGTAGGGAGAGGGGGAAGGGTTAGGGGAGCGAGGGGAGAGGGAGGTGCAAAGTATTTTTTCTGTCTGCGAGTTTGACATCTGTTTGAATTGTACGTCGTGAGGCAGTGCTCTCTTGCAACCTGCTTCAGTGAATTAACAGCACGTTGCCTGAAATCGCTCATCATGTCCATATCAACCGTGTTCGGGCTGCTGGTTTTAGGCGTGATCGCCCCGTGTGTACTCTCAGCCGACTTGGTCCCTGTCCTTCTGTGGGATTCTTTCAGGTGAGGATTTTGGTCACTGCACACGTTCTTTCCTTTATCAGAGGTGTTCAATTTTCTTCGATCAAGATGTAACCTCACCTTTTTGAACATTGTGGAAGATGACAATTTAAAATTTATGGGGAATAAACTATGTTCGAGGTTATGTCAAGATCAATAATCTGTCACATTGCATAGTTGAAATTTCTGTTTTTGTTCATTGTTTAAATTTTAGTCTTTTTGACATTCAATGAGCCTTTGCCCTTTAAAGCTTTTTCCACTGAATAGATCCCTCTGATTAGATTTCCTTTGTTGCAGAGATGTGACGAGTAAACCCAACACCATCCCAGTGCTGTCGAAGGTCAGCCAAGAGGAATTCAGGGGTGTCCTCACCAAGAAACTGCAGAATGACCCTGTCGTTATTGTTTTTGCTGAAGAAAATGTAAGAATTTTTGGTTATTGAACTGAAATATTTGCATGCTCTGTAAATATAATTGTTGTTATTGAATGATTCCAGCTAAGCATCGAAGACCTAAGCTGGCAAGATGACACAGGACGAGGAGCTTTCCCAAATTTGCACAACCTTTCACAATCTGGAGATGCCAGTCTATTGTATCTACCATTTGTAGACTCCCCTCTAGCAGTTTTGGAACACATGTTTCCACAGAATCCTGGTTGGAATGAAGCTATTCTTGGCCCAGAGGGCATCCCTATCCTTAGTGAGGATACCCCATACTCGAATTTCCTGAGGGTGAATCTTGAAGACGCAAAAGTCAGTGATGGCAGATCGGATTTGCTCAAGCGACATGGTAAACCACATGCATATGTTAGTTCCTTGAACTAGTTAAAGTAGTCTTTGCTTTTTAATCCAATAAGAGTCTTTTCTTTTTACCAGACTCTACTATCTACAACATTTATCAAGGGCTTCGCCACAACCATGACCATGTAATTGCAATTTATACATCTCTTCACTCTTCATGGGTATGTAACTTATTCATTGCAAGATGTGAACCATGTTCCGAGACTCTTGATTACTAATTGTGGATTCCCTCTGCAGCATGTAGAGGAGGAAATAAAATCAAGAAAAATTCGTGAAGCCCAAGAAAATTCTGAAAAAACTGAGGCTGAAAAGGTAGAGCGTGAGAATGAAGAAGTTGCTGAGGGGGAAGCTGCCGCAGAAAAGGCCACCACTGAATCTACGCCATCATCATCTACCCCTCGCTCTTCGGCTCTCCCCTCTCCAACGCCCACTTCCGGACCTCAGGCCGAATGGCCACAGTTCATGACCATTCCAATTCTGTCTGGATTGATGGTGACATCTATCCTTTTGGGTATTCTTGGATTTGCCATCTCTGCTATGATGGAAATTAAACCTATGCTGCGGTTTGACGATCCCAAAGGGAAATCATTGCAATTTGCTGTTCAGGACTAGTGATAAGGCGGTGTTTATGTTGCATTTGGATTATTGCTATCTTGTCTAAACATGTGTTGTTGTTATCTGTTAAGTAGTTATCTTCCATTCCATGAAGCATAATTTTATGATCTGTAACTCTGTGAATATCAATGTATGTTGTTTTGTATTTCAATTTTATTGTTGCTTGTATTGTCTTTTTTTTATGTAACATGGAAACTTATACTCAAATTGCGGGACTACTTAAACAGCAGTATTATCTTCAAATATGTATAGCTTGTTCATGATATATAACACTTGGTGTGTTAATGCATGTAAGAAAATGGCATCTAGTCTTACGCATGTAGTTGTACAATAAATAGTCTGTTTCAATAGCAAAAATTGCAATTTTGTGAAAAATGCTGTGTTGTAAAGGTATGAATTGCCCAAGACAATAATGTGCTAATTGAGGCTTAGGAGTTTTATGTTAACGCAAATGCCATGTAGTTAGTTATTCACTGATTAAATAAAATCTTGAGTACTTATTTAGTCCCGTTAAATATAACTTGAAAGTGAACAAGGAAAAATAGAAACAAATGTAAATACTCTAGGAAAATATTATACTTGGTTGTTAAATTGTAAAAATATTTGGCATCCATGTATCACTTGCACATTTTAAGTTCATTCAATAAATGAAACCATTTCTGTTGAAATATGATGTCATGAATAAATTGATTCAAGAGGAAGTACAGAGTACAGGTATTCTCCTATCACAACATAAGTTAGGCCAGGTACCAGCAATTCATGAATCGGCCTCACTTTCTTGCTGCTTCCCAGTTTTGTCTGCCAAGGTTGACAAAAAGGCAATCCAGCAAAATATGAACAGTGTTCAGTTAAATGACAGTTTAAACTCAAACATAGCAAACTATGTAGTTTCCTTTTTTTTCTTCAGATTACCATTTGATAAGTGATGATTGACATGCTAAAATTAGAGCTTTATAATGTGTGACTGTCCATTCCAAATATGGATCTCTTTTGAGTTGGCCTCCACCACTCAAGTTCACTAGTGTCACAATACAAGCCTACACAAGCTTCACATACCACGTATAAGAAACAACACTCACAAAATAAGACTCATCCATCAACTTGAACACTTAAGCTTCGATTCCTTAACTGCAAAGTATTTGCAAACAAAACAAACAGACCAAAAAAAAAAGAAAGAAAGAAAATCGCTTTCAGTCTACTAAAAGGGGCAGACTGGAATGAGTGCTACTTTGAGCAGAGGTGATGTGGGCATGAATGACATTTTGCAGACTACGGCGGGCGCTGGTCTCATAGTCGAGCTGTTGCATTAGTGTGTTGATCTGCCCCTGAAGGTCGTTTACCTTCAGATTCAAGGCGTTGACTGCATCCAGCACATTTCTGGAAGAAAACACAATGTCAGAAGCAGTAAGACAAAGGAACAAATGATTCATTTGGAGACACCAAATACTCACTTATCATCTGCTTGAAGGGCCACGGAACTCAACACTCCTTTTTCAGATGGACTCTCCAGAAGAGCTAAAACAGTAGGACGATTTTAAATAAAATAGATAAGAAACATTGTGCATTATTATGTAATTGAAATACTCCAAGATGATAACAATTAAACCTTGGCCATAAGTTCATTCCAAGATTTTAAAAGTAACTAATGACATTTATTCAAACACAGCCTGCTTTTGTTTTTAGATAAGAAAGCAACGTGTTGGTCACTTCCACAAACACATCCCCAAAACAATTTCAAGACATCAAAGCTTTGATACATTTGGCATACTGTACAAATACCTAGCTCACAAGCTAATAATATATTCAGTCCTAACAGACAACCTAAGACTAGACTTAAGATATATGACAATGTTAAACATTCAAAATAAATTCAATAATTTGATCCACATTGTTTAAACATCAGAATCTCATTTCAGATGTTGAACAGTTTTCTGTTGGACAATTTTGGGCCATTCCCAAAAGAAGACAACAAATAACAAATTGACAAAATCATCAAAAATAAATAAATATTGAATGAAGGAGCAAATCCACACATCAAACGTATGTTTTCTTACAACAATAAACTTAAGACACCAGTGGACACAACACTAATGCATTGACTACTTGTTGAAATATACAGCCACTAGTCGAGGAGCCAGCTCAGAATTTTGTGCTTCCCTTTGGCTTGACTTGTTTGGGTGCCGCGAGCACCAGGCTCTTGACTCCCAAAAGAGGTGTTCCATGAAGATGCAGGTTCTGTCCATAACAGACAACACAACACTTACAAACAAAACAAGGGTATCAAAACAAGAGCATCAAAACACACACAGGCTCACGCACACAAGCATACCCACAAAAGTGAGGCAGCTATGAGAAATCATCATCAATTCTCAACATTTATTTTACATCAAAATTAATGAACCTTGAAGTTTCAAAGATAGTAGACTAAAAGATTTGAGAACTAGATCAAGAGGTATTGAACAAAGAAAAATAAGCATGAAAAGAAAAAAAAACATGAGCATATGCACATAGGCCAGAAAAAGCAACAGATAGGATAATCATCCTCCAAAGCCATGCATTGGCCACATATTTTCAACACAAGCATTTTAAGGAATGATCCGAAGTTTGAGTAAATAAACAGAAAATTCTGTAAACAATTATTTTAAAATATGTACATTTTGCACGCAACAGTGTTTGTAACAAACATTTGTTTTTAAGTTAATTTTTTCTTTAAGAAAGAAAACAAATGGCACTACATCAATACAGACATACAATCAATAGGTGTAGTATTTACTAACTAAGAGAGACAGTACAAGTACAGAGGTAAACTATGAATAAATTAAAGAGTCCACATCAAAGTGAAATATTGTACAATACAAAAATGCAAGAAATACATCAAATGGTGAAAGAGGGTGCAATATGCCAAAGCTACCTGAGCTGAGTATAGACCAGAGTATCTCTTCTAAGTGAATATATTGTACATTTTCCAAGCAGGCACTTTATGATACAAATATCAGCCTCAAAGCATGCTTCAGTTTGATAATGTCATTAGGTCAACAAAATTCTTCAAGCATTCAGTATACCCATTGATACATGAATTAAGCAGCAAGCCTTGACAGAATAAAGTCAAGTCGCCAGGCAAAGTAAACATTCAAATAGATTACTATAATGTACGGCAAGAAAACTGAAGAACCAAGATATAGCTTTGAAACAGAATAGGACTCACCTGAGCTGATTGTGGACCGAGTCTTTGCACTTGTGCAATATGATTCAATTACTCGGAGAACTAATGCATCTTCTTCATAACTCTTGTCATCTGCAAAGTCAAGATTCACCATTGACAAGCAACATTTTTTTTTTATTTTAGTTCCAAATACTTTATTAACAAGTAATACTCACTAATTTTACGAGGTCCTCGGGTAGACTTTCTTATATCATCTCTGGTCAAAGTAGAAGTGATTCTGACAGGTGGAGCTGGTCGTAAGTTTGTTGCAGTCCAAATTTTTACACTGGAGTTGCTGCTGTAATTATTGTTGTTAATGTTGTTTATGCTTGCAGCATTGAGATGATTATTGTTTATGTTGTTGATGTTGTGGTTAACATTCAAATTGCTTGGTCTGCTGATGTTACTGCTGTTCCTTGTCACAATCAACTGATGTTGGTTTCCCTGAAAGAAAAAGACAGGAACAGGTTAAAAGCAGTTTTTACAGTTGATGGTGATTACAACTCTAAGTTACATAATTTTTTCAAACTCAAAAAGAGGAGAGAATAAAATAGGGGGAAGAAGCATTCAATGAGCAAAATTTATGTTGTCTTTCAAAAAGCCAATTCTTTACACAATGCACATATCCATCTAAAAAGATTAAAGACTCTGGGTAATATCGGTCACAAAAGAAAGTGACTCATAAGGGAGGCCATATGGGTGAACTCTTGCGCATGGAGTATCAGGGTCAGTTCTTTTGCAACTGATAGCACACAATGTAATTAATAAGGTATACTGAGAAGGACACACCAATGCAGTACTGTACAGGTTATTGTTTGCTTGAATATGGAGAAGGACTAAATAGTCCTTTCGCATGGCTTGGCCAACAGATACAGTTTCTCATTTTTTTTTTAAATCCTCTGAAGTAATTAACAGAATACATACACAATCATTAAGTTATAATTTCATTGTCACTTTGCTCCATAGGTTCTATTGAATGACACCAGGCTCAGAATAATTGATTTTGTGTCCCCATACCATTTTAAAACTTAAAACAAGTCATCATCAAAGAAATAAAAAGAAAAAAAGGAAATGATGTGATGGATTTGAACATCTCATTGGACAGAAATCACTCCACAAAGCATCAAAAACTTGGTATTTACTTGTGTTAAAGAAATGGCAGACATAATGTAGGCAAGTATAAAGACTGGTGAATCTCTTGTGTTACTGGTATTATTTAACTTGAATGGACATTATTACTTAATCATGCATTTAACAAAGAAAGATTGAAAAGTCATCAAAATTTGAAGTCTGTTAAGGCAATGAAGTTGCCACACAGAACTCAACCCCACAAGGAATTACTCAAGGAAATAACTTCAAAGGGGATATTGCCAACAACTGAACTGGGAATAGTCATTTATCCACACACTCGCCTTCAAACTCCACAAACAAAACACAACAGGGAAAGCAGGACAGGATTGCAAAATTCCTATGCAGCACTCAAATCATTTCAAACCAAAGCTTAGGAATGTGAATTGATGCAATTATCTAGCTCAAGAAGCACATTAAGCACTTAATACTTCTTGCCTGCTTGTGGAGGATTTCTGTGATGACTATTCTTGTTCGATGGTATAGTTTGTAATGAACTGGCTGGAAGACGCATCTTCAAGCCCCAATGAGCATACATTCCAGACCGATAAATAAGGCGACTTTTATTGTCTTGTGGATCCCAATGAACTCGGGCTGATTTGGAATGCGGGGCTGAGGTGGAAGGTAATGAATAACTTCTGATGGATGTCAGATCACTATCAGATGGAAGGTTTGCCACAGGAACAGGGGAAGATTCCAAGCGTAACCATTCATCTGGCCTTAGATTTGAATTTGTTATATCAGGGGAGGTAATGTCAGCAAGGCCAGAATCAGACGACCTGGGACTCAGAGGTTGTGGGACACAGCATGCACATTTTTCATTGACCGAAACAGGTTTCTCCAAATCATTAACATAACTTGCATGGGAGACCTCTTTCTGTCTTCTGGTCTTCTTCCTCTGAGATTCACTAATGGGCTCTGAACTACAATATAAGCAATGAGGAATGTGAGATTGCATTGGAAATGCACTAGAGGTGCCTTCTGAATTATCATTCTCAGTTGTCACAATAACAGGATCAAATGTTATTTCTGCATGTGGCAGAGCATTTGGAGCAAGCTCCAAAGTAGAGGAATGTGTTCTTCGCAAATTCTCTCGAGGCAAAATAATGGTGGACGTTGAATGCCAAGTATGAACAGGAATTAAAGGAAGACCTCTTTTTGCTTCTAGAGACGGAGGCAGACTAAATCGACTTTCCACTCTACAAACAACTTCTTCTTCACTAAGATGAGAAAGATCTTGACAGACAGTTGATGGAAATGGTTGGTGGCCTGGTTGAGTCTCAAAGCTTGATTCAGCTGATTTTGATGTTGCATACTCCAAAGTCACTTTGCTTGGCACAGACAGAGAGCATTTATCAAGCCCTTCTTGACTTGAAGGCATGTAACACACAAGACTGAATGGAGAGCTTGAAGTGGATCCCGTACTGCTACCACTTATGTCAAAGGCGTTTTGCCGCTCTAAAATACGAGTGGATCCACTGTCTTCACTGCTATCTGTGGGGATGTGAACCACACTTGCGTTCTGCCACTCAGCCAAGCCAACAGGTTGAGGAAAGATGACACATTCTACTTTGTGATTTCGTCGAATTTTTACACCCAGAATACCAAGGTTCTCATAATCTTTACTAAACTGACGGTACAGAAGTCTCTTGAGCAAAGGTCTCGTAATGATACCAGATTGGACTAAATTTGCAAAGTACTCAGTGAGTCTAGCATATGGTGAGGCAGGAGGAAGATTTAATCCACTTACATGAGGTGGAGGAATTGGTGACTTGGGGCTTGATGATTTGTGAAGAACACAACGAATTTGTTGACGCAATATGTCAACCCAACTTTGTTGATCTTCTCGAGTCTGGCAAACAGCCACAATACGCTCAATGAGAGGACCTGTTGGCATAAAATACAGTCTAAAATTTATAAGTTTTTTTTTTTTTTTTTAATAATATGACAGATTATTTAATAATCTACACCCACCAACAATTTCAAAGGCATTTTTATAGTTGTCAGTATTTTCTAGTTTATTTACTGTAATGCCAGTCAATGGTAGCTTTCCCTGAAAAATGTTTAAGGGGCTTTCAAGCAACGGAAGCAGTTTGTTCAGTGACTCGCTAGACTAGCTCTGCGAGGCTGATTGACTACTTTAGTGAAACAAATGCATACCCTTGAAAACAATATTACCTCATATATGAAGGCACTCATCCGTTGGCTGACACTCAACATCAACAAAGTCGTTGGGAAGAGAACCAAGTACCTATCACGATGATCTGGACCAACTGCCACAGATCCCATGTGCACAATGTCTCCAAGTATTTGCAGATCTTCACCTTCCCAGCCCCTCACACCACCAGTAAGAACTTCGAGTTCAAGCTCCTTTTGACGTCTTGTAGTCGAGCACACAGACTGTTACAAGGAACAAAGAGGCTGGTTAATATCAATATCAATCAACTTTTGTGCGAAAAATGGCATACATACTTGACTACCAAAACATTTATGCGGTTTGATCAGACTTACAGCAATGTCCTTGAAAATGCTGACAGATCTTTGTGTATCACCTCGATCTGGATGGTTCTCTTCAACATGACGTTCCAATTCTTGAAGCATACTTGCATATTTGTCCAATCGACGAAAGGGTTTGCTTAAACCAGTAGTCAGCACAAGTATACCAGGAATACTTGCACCGGCTGATTCCATCCAAGAATTCAATTCATCCCTGCAATAAAGGAGGAGATAAGGAAAAGCAGGATAACAATTACAACATGGAAATGCAAAATCAAAGTGAAGTGGGAACTTCAAATTGTTAACATACTTGTACTTATCAATGACACAAACAGCTTTTGGATGAGCTGCACAATATGTTTGGTGAACTTGTTTCATACGAGGAGCATTTGTTAAAAAGACACGCCCAACACGTTGTTCTGTAGACAATTTTGTGGCACAATCTTCTAGGGCTGCAAGTAAATGTTGTTGAACAGCCAGTATCTCATCCATGTTGCTAACCAATTGACGGTATTCTTCTCGGGGTAAACTGCAAATTGGTAAAATAGTGAGCATGTGCACAAAAACAGGTTGCCAATCTAGGACTGAATCATATCAGCATGAGAGACACCATTAGACAGAGTACTCTACCTTCCCAATGAAACCTTTCCACAGATAGCATGAAAAATGATTTATATTTAACACAGATATGGACATGGATAGAAGAGAGTAAATGTTAAGACCTTAACAGTATTTTAAAGGACTAGAACTTACATTCCAGCATTTTCTAGAGGATGTAAAAAATTCTGAACCAAAGTCTGGAGTTCAGCTACATTTGCCTTTTCAGAATCAATGATATCTCTCAAAACCAAGTTACGATATGCTTTCTGCTGAGCTGTTAAATCGACAGGCATCTGCACAGTCCCGGATCCTTTACTGATGCTCATAGTATCTGATAAAACAAACCATATTATTAAAAAATGTCATTTGAGAGAATACTTTAAATAACAAAGATACGAGAAATGCCCAACTTACCCTGTAATTTGTATTCTTTAACATAGTTAGAAGGAAACCAGCCTGTTTTGTCTGTTGTAGCCAGTGTTCCCTCCCACCATCCTCCTTCTTCCTTCTGGGTGACAGTAATGATGTCACCCTTTTTGAAGCACAACTAGCAAACAGAATCAAACGGGATTAAATATAACAACTTCCTATAACATATGTACGATAAAAATTATGTATTTCGCAAACACACATACCTCATCATTATTTTTCCCTTGAAATGAATAGATAGCTTGAACAAGGAGGGGGTGGGCTTCGTTAGCCATGGTCCTAAATTTGTATTACATAGCTCTGCAAATGTTGAATAAGTAAAAGTATTAAATAGAATTGAAACCTATCAGCATAACAGGAGCTGAATGTGACAGCTCACTTCAGACACTACATACAGGGCCAATCCTCTACTTTTCAACAGTAAATTTTAAAGACTTTGTTATAATAAATGCAAAACTTTAACATGAAGAGCAAAGAACCTCTTGCACTTAAAGAACCAACCTAGAAATTGGTTGTGAAAATACTTTCCGAGAGGCTCAGTAATGCTTCTCCATCAAACCTCTAGTAACGCTAATGAATATATTAAGACAAGGCACATAAACTGCAGTGGCTTTTGAAACGTGTCAATTATTATCTCAATAATATTTAAAAACAAGCAGTTTGAATCAAGGCAAGGGAAATACATCAATACAAGATGTAGGCAGGATGTGAGGGTAAGAAGGGGGGGGAGAAAGGGAGGTCAGTCAGGCGAGTAACAGGCTAAAATTAGACGGACTACTGCTGTAGCAGCCCACAGCCCACAGCCCACAGCCTTCAAAAGAGGGTATGGGCTAAGCATCTGGGGGTTGAGGCCTTTGGCAGCCATCAGAATACCAAGTGGATTTTCTCAGTATGAAGTTGAGGGCAAAGAGCAAAGAGGATGCACTGTCCGATAAGATCAATTGAGAAGCTCGCACTTCCGAGCAGGGGATACTGGCAGTATTTAGTATTAAACAAAGGCAAAAGAGATAAAGAGAAAAAAAATTGCAAGTCATTAAATTTTACAATCAAAATGAAAGAATACGGAGACTATAAGGACAAAAGTGAAAATAAAAAATAAGGGTATTTCATGAGAACAGCAACAGGTAACAGGCATACAGTTTATGAAGTCCGAAAGACAAATACGATATTGTTCAATCAAAACTTTACAGGAAAAGAGATTCTTGAATCTATTGGATGGAGTACATAGAGCCCAGCATTATCATTTAAATCGATGAAAGAGTAGAGTATACAAAAGTGAGGTTAATTTCAGAATACAGAGGTTGATTTTCTTGGCTCTTCACCAAAAAAAAATGATCTAAAGATACTATGAGAGGAACATAATCATACTAACTTTTAAAATTAAAGGAATAACGTCAATTGCAGTCAAATGGACCGTTAAAAGTCACGCTGACTAGAGTCCTAGAACTCCTCCTCAACTTGAAAGATCAACAACATAAACAAACACAACACGCTTGTTTTTGTTAGTTTTTACCCTATTCCTCCCCTCCTCCACCTCTCCCTCCCTCTTTCCACTCTTGCCTCAAGTTGGACGTGTAAATATTTTGTTGTCGAAGTTGCAAGGAGTTCTTCATCAATACAATGTCATCGTCTAGAAGACCGGAGCATTTAGCTCCTCCAGAAGTGGTGAGTCTAAACGCTATTCGTTACACTAAGTGGGAGACCAAACCGCGTGTTGTGACAGGTTATGAAGTCCATAGTGTTGCCTTTAATTTATTTAATTTTATAATCATCCGATCTATTTCTCATTTTCAGTTTTACAATGACGATGAAGCGAAGAAATACTCTCAAAAGTGAGTTTTTGAGTTTGTACAATTAGAGAAATTTTAATGGTTGTTGTGTCGGACTTGTCAATGTAGCATTCTGTTTTCAGCACACGAATTATTGAAATTCAAGAGCAAATGAGCGAGCGCGCCCTGGAGCTCTTATTGCTTCCCGAAGATGAGCCCTGCTATGTGTTAGACATTGGCTGTGGGTCAGGGTTGAGTGGATCTGTTCTTGACGAACAAGGTCATGTTTGGCTTGGCATCGACATATCGCCTGCTATGCTTGGTAAGTGTCTCTCTGGTTGACATAGCATTGTTATATAATTTCATAGCTTGTAAGTTTCTTACATGGTCTGTCTATTTTTCTTAGATGTCGCTCAAGACCGTGAAGTTGAAGGAGACCTAATTCTTGGTGACATGGGAGAGGGCATGCCATTTCAAGCTGGCATTTTTGATGGGGCTATCAGTATTAGTGCTTTGCAATGGTTGTGCAATGCTGATAAAACATCCCACAACCCAGTGAAGAGGCTGTATAAATTCTTTAGTACATTAAATGCCTGTTTGGTAGGACCCAGTCACATCTTTTGACTATTCCAAGCCTTTAAAAGTTGTTTTTCTTCTTACCTTTCCGATTTTAATATCTGTTTTTATTTTTCAGAGTAGAACGGCTCGCGCTGTTTTCCAATTTTACCCTGAAAACTCTAACCAAGTTGAGTTAATCACAACTCAAGCAATGAAAGCTGGTTTCTATGGTGGTGTTGTTGTTGATTATCCTAACAGTACCAAGGCTAAAAAGTTCTTTTTAGTCCTCATGACTGGTGGGAACATGCCTCTTCCAGAAGCACTTGGGACAGAAGGAGGTTCAAATACTGTTGCCTACAGTAAAAAGAGGTGAGATAGGTGCAAATATTGGTCTAAGCTTTGCAGTTCGAGGCTTAATATTTCATTCTATATCGCAGGGAGCAACTGAATAAAGCTCGAAATGCTCGAGGAAAGCCCCTCAAGAACTCCAGAGAGTGGATTCAAGAAAAGAAAGAGAGGAGAAGGCGACAAGGGTTAGAGACACGTCCTGATTCTAAGTATACGGGTCGTAAGCGTAGAGTGAAGTTCTAGATTTTGTCTTCTGTGGACTCCAGTTCATGGCTGTTAAAAACATAATATGATATATATTTACTCTAACTAGGAATTGTAAATATTTGTAATAAGGACAGCAATTAATTTAAAAAATCGTTGTAAACAGATATATTTTCGAAACGTTTATATATTTACGTATGTCAAAATTTTCAAAAACAGGACTATAGCAGTAAATTCAAATAAAGAGATCTAGTGAATGTTTTTCTCAAGAAAACTCTACATTTCGTTTTGGAAGTACAAATCAAAATCCCCATAGCCTAGCTAATTATCTTCTCCATCCTCTTCATCCTCTTCACTTTCATCTGACTGTGACTCTAATCTTGATCTAAAAGATCGCACTTTCTGGAGCAACCCTGACATCTTTTCATACTTCCCTGTTGAATCTGGTAAATTTTCAAAGTTGATAACATCACAAATATTTTTGGAAAACTTTTCAGCTGAGGGCAGGCTGGTATATTCAGAGGTAACTATGACAGGAGTTCCAAATGTGACTGATGTTACTTTTCCAACTTTCGGAGTGTTTGTCACAGACACACTACCTGTGCTACTCTTCTCACTGGGTTCAACACTCTTCTCTGAGACACTTGAATCTTCAAGTTTCTGCTTTTTAGTACCTTCTGAACAAGGTGACTGAGATCCTTTTCGCTTCTCACTCTAAAAATAGAATTTACATAAGAATCAAAGAAAATTGTTAAAAAGAAAAGATGAAACATTTCACATTTACCTTAGTTGTTGACTGGGCTTCTGTTGTTGATGGTGCTTTTATTTCAGTTTCATTGTCTGGAAGAATTAAAAATTTGGGCTTAGTTTGATTTTTTTCTATTAAGTTACTTACTGCATAACGATTGGCTTAAAGAAGAGACAAAAAAGCGCACCTTCACCGCTAGAGGCAGCATCTGGAATGGAAATAAAATGTAAAAATTGATCTATTATTGTCAAACAATGATGTACATAAGAAACTTACCATCTGAGTCCGGTTCAACATCCTCTGATTGAGACTGCTTTTTATCACATGATGGAGTTGCAACAGTATCTGAAGAATTCATTTTCCTCCTCTTGTAAGCTTTCACAGCCTTCTTCCCCCACATTTTTTTCATGAATTTAATACTGTCTTTTTCAGCCATTGGTCTACTGTTCAATCTGTCTGTCTCCTAGAAATTTGTTTTCACAACAGGCACCAAAGTACAGTAAGTTGAAAAAAAGAGCAATGTGGAGCCTGCTACAAAAATGTATCAAAGAATACTTACATCAATAATATCAGGACCACAAGGACAGTTAAATCCTGGGTATTCAACTATCTGCTTTATGTCATATTTGTCTCTAGCACCTTCCATAACGATTTCTCCATCTTCATCCTCTGGGTCAGCCACCTCTGTAAATATTCAAACAAATTAATTAGTAGAGCTGGTGCGGCTTTACCTTGACAAATCTCCCAAAATAAAAACGAACATCAGACAAAATAGCCTTACATTGTCTGCCAAGTGAAAACTCACCTTGCCCATCAGAATTGAATAGAGACAAGCCTGAATGTGAAACTCTGGCTTCTTCGACCCATCCTGGAGGATACCCAAGGACACGCATACGATACACATGTCGTGGAAGCTGGTTTGCTTCCAAACCAAGAGCCCTCTGGAGCTGTCGACTTATTTTACCCGGCCGAAAATGAGCAAATTTTTGTTCATCATCCAAATGGTAGCGGTTGCTACAACAGAAATAGAACGATTTAAAACATAAGCAAATAATAACTATATCATGACATTGGCTTCTTAAAAACACAATCCTATGTCCACTTACTTTGATTTCCCTGTACGAGCAGCTTGCTTACTCCTAAAAAGTAAACGATTGCGGTTAATGGCATCATAGTTTTTAGGTTCTGTGCAATCGCGAAGAGAGTGGTCTGCACCACAGTTCCAACAGGTACTTTGAGGTGGTTGGGGACGCTTCGGTTTAGAAATAGCTGGGCCATCTTTCTTTTCATCAAGAACTTCCCTGAATTTCTGCACAGAACAAGAGGGCGTTATCAAAACGAATCAAAGAAAACACAACAAAAATCAAGAAAACGGGTGGAGGACAATTAAAATGGAAAAAAAAATACAACAGTACTAGTTTAAGAGTAAACATAACCTAAAAATCAAAACAGTGACAAGCTTGAAGCAAACCGGTAGCATGTTTTACCTTATCATAGACCGGTACATCTATGTGGTCGTTGGCATCTGTGGGCGTGCTGTCCACCACAAACAGATCGCTTAGATCGCCGTCGTTGGACAGTTCTCCATCTTCTTGTTTGGATGGACTGCCGGGACTCTCCCCCATTGTGCACAAAGCTGCAAAAGTGAATGACAACCATAAACACCGTATTCATTGGTACAACTTCACTTGAGACAGCCAGCTCTCAACACTGACCTCTAACAGTACACCCGACAACAAGAATTGATAATAAACAGAAGATATTTAAACTCAGTCACTTAGGTACTGAAGCACAACAACAAAAAGCAAAACAACGGACTTCCAGTTGGTCACATGGGAGATAGAGGATCACGACACTAGCGCCATCTGTCGGCTGGGAACCGAGTGTGAGGTGTGAGTAAGGGAAGGACCAAGGAGTAACTTGGAAAATTCGGCCGAATGGAGAGGAATAAATTGATTTGAGAGGGGTGCCCGTTTTGGTGAGCAGGGGGTGCTCAGTGTGGTTTTGGGGAGGGTAGGGACCGGCTCACCTTCCCGGGGCTCCCTGCAGAGAATCTTGAGGCCTAGCGCCTGCGGCGGCGGGCAGTCCCGTGAGACATCGGCGTTGGGCGGGCTGGCCTACTTGACAGGCGCCGTGGTGCCGTAGGTCTTCATTTTCGGGGAGCGTCGCCGCGACCTCGGCGTTAGTACAGCTGTGCAAGTAGCCAGCAGTCAGCACACGCGATAAAAGAAACTGCTGGAAAGTCCCCACGACATGAAATAGCTGTATGAAAAACTCTCGACTACTCTGTCTCACCTCACCATGGCAACACATCAACTAATGTGGCAACTCGAGACGACTGACGACTATGCCTTTCCTGAAGAAGTTCAAACCCTGTCCCGAGTGGAGGCGAAAGGAACAGATAAGCTACAAGTCCGGTACGAGGCACACCGTGTACTTCCTCAACGGCGACCAGCATGTGGGTGACTGGCGAGACGACAAGCGGGAAGGTGAGCGACGTTTCGCCTTCCTTTCAGGCGGCCTTGCCCAAGGCCTTGCCACACCGCCATCGCACCCTGGATCCGCGCTTCAACTACTGCAGTGCTCTAGCTTTCCCAATCACCAAATAGCAGACAAGGGACGAATGTGCACAGGAAAGGGCGCCGCCCTGACGCGCGGGGGGCACCTGTACGAGGGCGACTTCTCCGGCGAGCTGCGCCAGGGCCACGGCGTGCTCAGCAGGCGGATGGCGGACGGCTCCCTGCAGCTCGCGTACAGCGGCCAGTGGGAGCGCGGCAAGCGACACGTGAGTACCTCTCCCTCACTCTCACGCGGCCGAGCGGTCAAAATCCCATACGGGTATAGAGCTCCAGAGCCGCTAAATAGGACTCGAACCGAACGTGTGACCCCACCAATGGATTGCTCTCCGAACGAGGAATCCATTGGTGGGGTCACACGCTCGGTTCGAGTCCTGTTAAGCGGCTCTGGAGCTCTAAACGCGTCTAGAGTCTGGCCGTGGTCTGGCAGGGCTGGGGCATCGGCCGCGACGCGGACGGCTCTTGGTACGAGGGCTGCTGGCGCGAGGGCCGGCGCGCCGGGGAGGGCCGCGGGTGGCTCCCGGACGGCAGCTTCTACCACGGCGAGTGGCTGGACAACCAGTTCCACGGCCGGGGCGTCCTCGTGCAGCGTGAGTGGCATCGCTTCGTCTCTCTCGCACTGACACGGAACGCCGCGGGAGTGCGAGAGAGGCTGAGTGACCCAAATGACTCTCGGAATTATCAGTCTGCAGCACGTGTTGGCACGTTGGCTCACGCTCGGCGGGGCTAAGCCCAAGCTTGGCCCAAGCTTGGCGTCCGCACTGTCTGTCTCCTGCTTGCAGCCAACGGAAACTGCTTTGAAGGGGAATTCCAGTGTGGCGTCAAGCACGGGCAGGGCCGGTTTTTCCACCTGGACAGCGGGCAGCTCCAGGAGGGCGTCTGGGACCAAGGCGTCTGCGTGTCCAGCACTCTGAGGCAAGCAGAGTCCTCCGGCTTCACCATGCCGCCCGTGAGTAACTTTTCACACCACGTCCATGAGTACACGGTAGCAAAAAATGGCCGAGTCCGTTTTTACTGGCTGTAGAACGAACTCCTCAACGCGGATGGTGTGGCGGAGGAGAGTCAGCAGGGCGCTCTGCAAAGAGTTCGCTCTAAAAGTGTGAAGAGCGCAGCATCTCTTGGACGGCTGGGAACTGGAAATATTTAGTGCATGTAGGACTGGGATGGCAGCAGTCATTAATACTGTACATAAACAATAGGATAGTTTATTATTACCAATCACAGTACATGTTTAAGTCCATAAAACAGTTAATTTGGTAGAATGGATAAAACTTTGGATAGAAAAAAATCTTGTTTGCTTAAGTTTTGTAAATAAAAAACATTTAATAATGTTGAGAAACTTAAATTATGTAATAAGTATAAAAGTCCTAGACTAACACAAGATGAACAGAAAGAGATATCCATCTGCCATGTTTAGAAAATCAATGCCGTGCCATCAATAACACAGTTGTATACTTCAAGTCATTTTGAATATTCAGGCAAATTCTTTGTGCAATGATTCACATGAAATTCATGGAAGTGTAGCTCAATGAGCTTCTTTGGCATTCCACATTACAATGAAAACAAATGTATGGTGATTTATGGATCAAAATAGTTGATGATGGTGGTAAGTACAATTATTAAAACAATAGGGTATTAAGATTTCTGATGGAAGTTTGGATAGTAAGCCAACAATGCACCCGAATCTTAGCCATTTAAACAGTCCATACACAAGTCTCAGTCAAACCTCTTTCTTAATACACAAGAGAAGTTTTCATTTTATATTGTATTGCTATTGGTTAAGTAGAAAGACTTTTCAGTTAGGACTAACCTAAGTCTCTAAAGAATAAAAGGTCCAAAAAAATTTGGCAAAAGGAAAAAGGAAAAAAGAACTAATTTATCTGGACCCCATCTGCAGCTCTTAGTGTTAATACTGGTACAAAAATAAGTAAATTTTTTTATCCAATCAGAGCAACATGCCATCAATTAAAAAACAAAACTCACTCTCCATTACACTACAGTACCTCCAAACCATCACGCTATGCAATGAAAATAAGAGAATAAAAACAACACAAGACAAAACACTACAGCTATTTCAAGGGATAAAAAATAGATTTTTTTAAAAAGACAGATACCAGCAGGTACCCAAACATTAGGATTTTTGAGTTTGGTGAAATTGTAGTCAACACATGTTGACTACTACATAGTAAGAAATCAAAAGAGACAAAGGACTAAAATATAAAGAAATTGAAGGATGCATAACTAGGTGCATTGCAATGAAGAATGGAAGCATGATGCAAATTGTGTTGCGTGTGGACATGATAAAGTAAAACATATTCTGGCCTGTGAGGTGTCACAATAATGAAGAACATTTTGAATGTTCTGGACATTTAGTGTGAATACAATAAAATAAATCTCTTAACATAAAAACAAAGTCAAAAAGAAACTATTTAACAACACATCAATCACAGATCCAAACTTAAAAAAATTAGCAAGCAATATTAATTAGTCATGACTGCTCATTATGTGGTGAGTCAAACATACTAAGGTGGTGTTTGCCATGCTGAATTGTTTGAATCGAAATCAAAGCATACTAACGGAATGCAGGAATGAGTTAACATGACTGTTGGAGAGAAACACAACGAGGATTTTGTCCTGATAGTCACTAAATTACTCCCGCATTCAGTATTTAACTTCTTCTGTTACATTCTCTTATGAATAGAACAAACATACACTTATTGCAAAAGAATCAATAAAATTATTTAGGCAGACACTGACTTGAATCATGGCAAACTAACTAATTTTGAGCAACATTTGAACAGTTCTTCAGGTTGAAGAAAAAGGTACGAGATGCCGCACCCAAACAAATCAATTCATTCTACACACTGTACAAACCCAAACCAAAAAGCGTTTTCAAAATCTATGAAATTAAGACACAAATGAGATTCTCAAGGTAAATGCAGGAGTAATTGAAGGTTCTAGGGAATAAGGTACCAACAAAAAGAAAAGCAATTAAAGAACTGGCAAATTAAAAGAATATAAAACCTTTTTAGGTTTGCTCTGATAGAAACCACAGAACATTACACAAAACACTTATTTTGGCAAGACAGAAAAGACTTAAAGGATTAAGAGCAAGAGAGCAAGAAACTCAAAACTTCACAACCAAGTCAACTTAAAAGAAGACATGACGTAAAAGCCCAACTAATACTTCATTTAAGATATCAACGTCAACTTTCTTTAACATAATCAAAATGCATCATTCAAGAAAGATTTTTAAGTGCTAAAGAAGGCTCCAAAACAGTATCGTTCTCCGGTAAAAGGGAACATATGATAGGTTTTAAGATTCCAAAATAAAATTGAATTGGAAATAAAAATTAGTAGGCCAAAATATTTGTTATTATATTTGTTGGACTGACAAGGCAACCACACAACAGAATGCATTGTACTATCTGAAGTGGCAGCATAGCTTAAGTTACTATTACTAAAAAAAAAGGTACAAAAAAATTCAATCACAAAATTGTGAACAGAAAAAATAACCTTTCACAAACAATAAGAAAAAGGGAGATTTTGTAAAGAAAAGGAAGTGAAACCTTCTTAACCTACTAACAAAAACCCGGAATGCATGCATCAGTCCAACTAAACAAAATATTAACAGTGCATGACTTAATAAAAACCATGAATCAATGAATTTCAGATTGATTAAAAGCCACCTAACAGTATTGAAGTATTTCCTTACCACGTGATACAGGTTATTTTGTTTTTCAAGGTTGGGGAGAGGGGGGAAAATTCAAATAATATTAAACATAAGTCAATTTTTTACAAGATACCTAAAAAACACTCCTGTAACAACATAACAATCAAACAACCTGGGCTGAGTTCAGCAAGTTGTTGATGCCATTTGCCCGTCCTTCCATATCTCCTGCCTCAATTTGTTCTTTCAAGAGTTCTAATTCTCTGATGCCCGAAGCTGTGACTTCATACTTATGACTCACAAGGGACCGATAAAAGTGTATTGCAAAGGCAAGAAAAATTATGAGGACGGGAATAAGTAAAATACAAGCAGACCATGCAGCAATCTGCGAAAAGTCATAAAATTTCACCCAACATAGAATGGCTATTTCACACAGAAATAAGAGGAGTCCCAGTAATGTAGAAAATGCCCATGCAGTTTCAATGTACCTAAACAGACAAGAAAATTAAAATTAAGGTGTAAATAAACTTGGATCTGAGTATGTTAGAGATAAAATAAATCAAAGCTCATTCTTACCAGTGCAGTCTTTCATGAGGAGATTCATGTACTAAACTTATTGAATGCATATTACAGACAGCATCTATGTTGGGAAGTATACAGGTACTGATCATTAATGCCAACATGTGCACAGCAACTAACAGTGTCGTGCACACAGCAAAGGCAATGAGCATTTCTTGAGGGACTTTGGTGTCATTGCTGAGTTGTACTTCAACCATTGCAACCTAAAAGATGGTAAAAAAGACAAAGTTTAGAGATTGTCATAATTTATGAAATACATACAGCAGCAGTTTTGCACTTGCACATGATCTTACCATTGCAAAGCCGGACAGAAGAGCAGATGTTTTACTGGAGGCCTTCAGTTTCGCCCGGGAGAGCTGCAGCTTGCGCCAGGAGAGAAACCCCGGCGTATGCAATCCATCTCCAGACTGTGACATCCTACCCTGTAAAAATAAGAGAGATTTGGTTTACTTTGATATTAAAATTTTTCTTTAGTTGTTAACCTGATCCCAGCACAATGCAAACACAAAACAATTGCAAACCATGCAAACTTTGTAAAAAAATTTGAAGGACACATTTGGTAACTTTTTAAAAAAATTCTGTGCTTGAAGTTAATGTTTCCACACCAACACCACCTTTGTTTGCAGGAAGCCCTGTGAGACAATGTTCAATCAGTGAAACTAAGAGTTCTACCACAGATCGAAAACGACAAGCAGAAGCAGAAGAACGGAAAGGAGAAGTCAAGGAGATCTGAACCTAAATGCCTTTCTAGTTCAGTTGCAACACAGTCAAGGTCCAATTAATTATATCAATGGAGATGAAACAGAGGAAAACTTGATGCATTTGCTTTTTGGAAAGAAAAATCATTCAAAGGAATTCTACAGCTAGGCAGAAAACTATTCATACAGGGGAGGCTTGGAGAAGAAAGTGCATAATTACCTCCTCAGCAGCGTTCATTGAGTCGGTCGGGAAATCACTGCACAAAATACCATGTACTCAATCAGTAAAGGTAGGGTAGGGAAAACATAGCATAGAAAAAAACACAACAGCAGCAAAGGGGGGAAGGTGGCTGGACGTCAAATCAGTCCATAATAGAACCAATAAAGCATCCAAAATTAATTTTAAAACGGCATACACAACTTGGAAACCAACATTGACAAACAAAAACTTATTGAAAGCTGACTTCATTACACAAGAGCTGAATATTGGCCTACAGATACAATACTTGATGCATGTAGCAAACAAAACAACATACAAAAACAAATTAGCAGCTACAGCAAAAAACAAAATAATCATCAAACAAATAAATTGGAAGTGACAAGAAAAGGAGTAAAAATACAAGATTGTTTCATGTCACTACTGAAATAGAGAGTGATAGAGGATAACTAAAAGTCTCTCCCATGAATTTTCCTAACATTTCCTGTTTTCCAATTGTAATACCGTTAACTAATACAAAAAAAATGATCCTCCCCCAGACCCCTTTCTAACTCTGTCAATCCCCGGGACATCCACGCAACCCTGCAGACCGACGCTCCAAGCGGTCCTGGCCTGAAGAAGCAGGCTGTTTGTTTCCGCACAGGGCGTTCGTCGCTGTCTCTCTCACACCTTTACGGAAGCCCCAAGTCCCCCTGCAGACTGATGCCGAGAATCGCTGTCGTCGCTCTGCCTCTCTCGCACCCTTAGAGGACGGCCCTAGTGTGCGGAAGAGACGGCGACGAAAACGACTCTCGGAATGAGTCAGCTGTGGGCTAGGACATGGGCCACTCACGGGTGGCTGCCGCTCTGCGACCTGGTCCTGGGCCCGGACGTCCCGGACGCAGGCACCGATCCCGATGTCGATCCCGAGCCTCGTCCGGAAGGCGGAGGGCCGTGGCCGAGGCCGAGGCCCGCACTCGCGTGGCTGCTGGCCCTCCGGGGCTGGCGCTCGCCGCGCTCGCGGTCCGGCATGGCGGCACCTCCGGCACCAGGACCACGGGACCAGAACCACGGGACTCTGGGCGGGACAAATCGCACTACACTGGCGAATCGCGGTGGCGTCACGCAGCCCAAGCCGCACTCCCACGGGACCAACGAGGAACAGGGACGGCACAGGGACGGCACGGGACGCGACCAATCGGCCGGCAATGGGGCTTCGCACGCTTCGCAGTTCGCGGTTCGCAGCTCAGCGCGCTGCCACGGAGCAGCGGCCTCCAGAACTGGACCGCCGGCGCCGGGCGTGCGTCCTGGACCCACTGGCTGCCATGCTGCCGCTTTGTCCTCGGCCTCATGGCCCGACATGGCTCGGGTCGACTTGACCCTTGGCGCTGACCCGCGCCGCGGCACGAGTGGCACGAGCCGCCAGTCCTGATTGTCCTTCCCCGCTGGACGAGTAGCCAGTGGCCAAAGGGGAAGGGGGAGGGGGGTGCTCTCTCTCTCTATCTCTCCCACCTCTTGCAAACAATAGAAGGCTGAGGCACATTCACAACCCCATCCCTTCTCAAATGGCCCAGTGAGAGGGGACAGGGAGAGTCGGGGAGAGTTGCCTACAGTACAGGAGGGGCAAGACTCTGTAAACATCGCCGCATGAGCAGGCAACCCGCACCAATCCGGACTGGAGGTGGAGAAACGGTGCGACAGGACCAGGCAGGACCCCGACCACGGTCCGAGACATTTCGAGTTGGGCCTGTCTCGGCTACACTGCTAAACTCGCCTCATAGCGCGGAGGGCGGACGCGGGCCATATTTATTCATGCCCTGTCGGCACGTCGGGCTCTCGGTCAGTTTGCATGGAAGGCGAGCGGCGGCGTGCACGTCACGGCCGGGGGAGCGAGAGCGAGAGCGAGAGAGAGAGATTGGAAGAGAAAGAGAGCGCGCACGGGCAATGGGATGCAGTATCACGGCGAACCGCTACGGCGGGCGCCCAGGACACTTAGGACTAGCCTAGGACTAGGACCATGGAACGCAAAAAGAGGCCAGAGCCCATTGGACATTGCCATTGATTCATTTTCTTTCACGTATCGATGTTGTATCTCAAGCTTGGTGGCGGCATCTGGGGGTGGCACGTTCTGGAGGGTGGAAACCTCATCTACAGGCATGAGGAAAATGGAGAAAGAGCTCAGAGAAAAGAGATGGAACAGGAAAAGATTCCCTTTGTTCGACATTGTCAAGATTTATGGAAATTGTCATGTCTCATGCAGTGCTTCCCCGCAGGAGTCATGCCTCCACTGCCAAGACCATGCTAATGACTTAATGTCACTTTCACCCCAACCTCAGAGACCTAGCTGGAGAAAGAAGAGCTTGGAACCAGAAGTTTTGTCGAGCGCTTCCCACCACAATAAACCAGTAACTTGCAGAGCCCTGATCAGAGGAGAGCTAAGAATTGATAATCTGGAAGGTCGTATCGTTAAACTTAAGCGATTCATGGAGCAGAAAATTCTAGCGAAATTTAAAAACTATCTTGGTTGGCACCTGTTGTCTGCATTCGATACAAATGGCTTTGTTATTTGAAATGATGGTGAATGCAAAGCTTGGATACAACCCAACTTCCAGAGTTTACGATAAATCATTTACACATACTCACCGTTGGTATGGCGTAGTGGTAGGGGTCTCGGTCCCACGAAAAATTTTGGCCACAGATGTGGGGCGTTTCACCAGGGGCAAATACTGTGCGCCGTCCTGAACTTGTAGACCACGTGGACATGTGAGCTGGGCTGAATGGTCTCTCCTGCAAAGTCAAGGACACATTTCAGATAATTCAATTGATATCACTATGTTAAGATAAGATATGGTATTGACCAGACATTGGTAAAAAAACTGAAGATACAATAAATACCCTCGTCTAACACATGAAAATAATTTGTAATTAATTGAGTGACGTAATAGCCATGGATACTATAAATAAAATTAAACCGCAGAGGGAAAAGCCAAAAATACAACAGCACCACAATGGAACCCTTTTGTAATTAGAGCGAGTTAAAGAGGTTATGAGACTTCTGCTGCAAGGCTGACAGTTGCCCCCTGAGAAGGCAGATCGAAGTGTGAACGCGCTCAACTCACACTTAGGCCTAGTCGGAGACAGGAAGTCAGTAAATATACGACAACGCCGAGTCGGCTTCAATTTGTCATTGCGGCCCTCAGGGTCATATCAAACATTTGGCAAGCAGACAAATACCTGGTCGGACCCAATCGCAATCCCCTTTCCGTTCCGATCCGATCTGGCTCTCGGCGCTGTCCTGTCGCTGTCAGTGGAGCGACCGCGATCGGACGCCCCGCCGGGCCGGTGGGTACTCACATTGACGAAGAGCGAGGCGGTCACTCATGTTTTCGGCACTTGCCGCGGCCAAAATTTAGACATAAATTTGGCGTTGACTTGACAACACGTACACCCACACACACACATACACGTACACACACACACCACGTCCCGTCGTCGGCAGTCCGCGACGTAAACAAACATGCTGCTCGCGTCGCGTTGTCCCGGACAGCGCGGCAGGCCTCGCCCGGCGGACAGGGCAAAGCTCAAATTTGTAGGGAAGCCCGGATTGAATTGGCGGCCGCTTTGGTGGCGGGCAAGCGCCGTGAAAAGCAGCCGCCTTGCCGCGCATCGCCGCCCGCCGTTGGCACCACTGCACTGCACTTCCGGTTTCGGCTCACGCTTCGCGCCGCTCCCCGCTAGAGGGCGCGACGGTGTGGCGGCAGGCTCAAACGCAGCCCAAGTACGAGCCGGCACGGCAGTCGGCGCGGCGGCGATTGGCATTCGAAGGCAAAGCTCAGCGCGCTCTATCTGCTCGTGGTGGGCGCTATTGGAACTACTCCAGAGGTCCGTGGCGACTAACCCCAACACAATTTTCACTTTCTTATTTCGCTTTGTCACTTTAAAATCACTCTCCAGTACAAATATCTAAGTCACCGGTATTGTGAAAATGCCTTTCACTTAACCCAGTTTTAGGCTCTTTGCGTTTTTTGACGCTTTCAAGTCTAGAGGTCCCATGGTGACGTCACAGCCGACGGTGTCGCGCTCTGACGCCTTGCGAATAAGGCGAAGGGGACCGTCATCTCTCTCTCTCTCACACCCCCGTACAAGGTACCCCGTGAGTGCGACAGAGGGAACGGTCCTTGGCAGTCGCTCGGCACTCCGCCGTCTTCCGACAATTGTTCCCACTACGAAAGCAATGTGGCTCGGAGACAAAAATGGAAAAGAAAAAGGCGGGCACTTGTGTCTTATCGACGAGGTGAAAGGCATTCCCCGACCTGTTGACCCTAGTGACCCGCGCGGGGTGCCCCCCCCCCCCACACACACACACACGGGGACCACGACGATTAGTGGATGTAAAGCCGCGCCCGCACCGAGCCAGACAGCCAGACGGCACGTCAGACGGCACGGAGGGGCGCAAAGACGCCCAGGAGCATCGGGGCAAGCCAGGCAAGCCGGGCACTGACAAGCCAGCTGCAGTGACGACAAGGCGACGGGGTGACAAGCAACAAACTACTACAAGCGACCAACGACCAGCTGCGAGCGACAAGCTACAAGCGACAAGCGACAAGCGACAGCCAGCGCGAGCGTCGCCACCGGTCGCCACCTCCACTGTGAGTCTCAGCGGCTGGTCGGTGCACAGTGGGCCAGAAGAACGGTGGAGGCGGCCAAAACTCTAGACGCGTTTTGAGCTCCAGAGTCGCTAAACAGGCCTCAAACTGAACGTGTGACCCCACCAATGGATTCCTCGTTCGGAGAGCAATCCATTGGTGGGGTCACACGTTCGGTTCGAGTCCCATTTAGCGACTCTGGAGCTCAAACCGCGTTTAGAGTTTTTGCCGCATCCACTGGTCTTCTGGCCCACTATGCGGTGAGTCGTCGTCACAGTGCGGTGGCCTCGTCCGGCCTTGGCCTTGTCGGGCAGTCGGGCACTAGCCGGCACTAGTTGACCTGCCGGCGGTCTGATCCGTCGCCGACGCGCGAGCTACCCCACGCTACCTCAAGCTACCCTACGCCGCCCCACGCTACCCCAAACTGCCGTGCCCATTCTCGTGTTATACCAATCGTTACGCATAGTGTAGCTGCACGTTGACGTTCGATGCCCCACGTCCTGCGGTGCGCGCGAGACGGTTTTTGTCGCGGGCGAGGTTCAATGGCCTTTATTCGATCATTTACTGTCGATTGATTGCCTGTGAACTCCGAACGCAATGCATCATCAGGCAACCTTTACTTTTGAATTGCTGTTTTTCGTTGTTGTTGTTTTTTAAGTTTTTTACTTGCTTTTCTTCTGCGACGCTACTACCCCCACCCCTCCCCTCTTCATAATTAAAACGCCTGATTCGCGGTGGCTTTATGCAGGAGCAACGAACTGGGGCACTTGGCTGTCTCTGCGCGAGTCCGCGAGTCCGTCGTGAGGGGCGCGGGGGCCCGAGGGGGCGCGGGGGCCCGAGGGGGCGCGGGGGCCTGGGGGGCGCGGGGGCCCGAGGGGGCGGGGGCCGAGGGGGCTGGGGGCCCGAGGGGCGCGGGGCCCGAGGGGGCGCGGGGCCGAGGGGGCGCGGGGGCCCGAGGGGCGCGGGGGCCCGAGGGGGCGCGGGGGCCCGAGGGGGCGCGGGGGCCCGAGGGGGCAGCAGCAGACTGATTCCGAGAGCCGTCGCTCTGTCTCTCTCGCGCGTGTGCGGGACTGCGGGATGCCCGACGAGTGCGAGAGAGACAGAGCGACGGAAAGGGCTCTCGGAAATCGGTCTGCAGATAATTCGCCGTCCTCGGTCTTGCGCCGTCTTGGTCCTTGGTCCTTGGGCGGAGCACAACTCGCTCACACTGGTCCAAGGGTCGTCACGTGACGTGAATGATTCACACAGTGGTGCCGTTCCCCCACGGCCAGGCCCTGTTTGGGTGGTGGGTTAGTCAATCGCTTGGGGGTGGGGGGAGAGTAGGTGTCTCAGAACGGTCTGAACAAGAGGGGAGGAAGGCACGCACACTGCCGATGTTATAAAGGCAGCCGAAGAAAGGGGATTTGAAGTAGTTATTTCGGTTGGGCCGGCCGTAGGCGCAGCCATAAGATCAGAACAGAACACAAAACATATCCAATAAGTCGACGGCACGGCACGGCGTGGTCCTCTAATCATAATGGTCCCCGAGGTCCCCGCCCGACTTCCTTTCCCGCGCAAGGCACCATTCAGGGAGGAGAGGGACGGGCATCGCTCTGTCTCTGTCGCACTCATGGGGCTCTCCATAGGGGTGCGAGAGAGACAGAGCGACAAACCGCTCTTCTAAATCGCTCGGCAGGCGCGCGTTGGGTTGCCTGCCCACCGGGCGGGCCTGGGGGCGGGCCGAGCCACTGCTGCTGCTGACTGCAGTGCTCGCTCGGAGACAATGGAGACAGTGCGTCGTCACTGTGGACTGATTCCGAGAGTCGTCTTCGTCGCGCTGTCTCTCTCGCACTCATGGGGTGCTCCGTATGGGCGCGAGAGAGACAGAGCGACGAAAACGACTCTCGGAATGAGTCTGCTGGCTGGGCCTGGTTCACCTTATTTGCTCGCCTCACTGCGCCGCGTAGATACCGGTAGATAAAGGGTCGTGCCAGGCAGAGCCCTGGGGCACCCTGGGGACGCCTGGGGCGTAAGAACGCCTTTCTTTGCCCTCTGCCGGGTACCGCGTACCGATAACCGAGCCGAGACAAAAGGTGGACACACACACACACACACACACACACCTACACACACACACTCGTGCTCTGTACTCAGACGCGTCCGGGCCAAACAAACAGCCTCGCTTCCAATGACGGGGCTGGTGCTTTTGCTTTCAGGCAGTGTACGCGACAAGATGCGAGTCCTGGCGGCGGTGATGCTGGCCGTGGCGCTGGCCGTGGCGCGGCCGCGGCCGCGACGCCCGAGCAGGGCAAGTCCGCCGACCCCCTGGTCCAGCTGGAGAAGGGCGCCGTCAGGGGGACCGTCCTCCGGAGCAACGGCGGCAGGGACATCCTGGCCTTCATGGGCATCCCGTTCGCGCGCCCGCCCGTCGGCAAGTACAGGTTTAAGGTGGGTGTGGCGGACACTAAGGGAGAGCGCCTGTGAGGTAGGCAACACCGCGCCGGGGCGTGTGGCGTGGCGGCCTATCGTTGACTTCACAGGCGTCAACCCCCAAGCTGTCCCGAGGCGAGTTGCACCGCTTTGGCGTTTTTGCATTGCAGGAGCCCAAGCCCACCAAGCCGTGGCAAGGCGTGTGGGACGCCACCAAGCTGCCCCCCAAGTGCATCCAGTACGACCGGTACCCCGTGTCCGCTGTGCTCGGCGAGGAGGACTGCCTATACCTCAACGTCTACACGCCCAAGGTAAGTGGTCACGTCTCCACCGACAACAAGTGCACCGCGGCTAACGCCTCGTCGTTGTCCAGCTGGCCGCGCCCGGCGCGCCGCTCCTGGACGTGCTGGTGTTCATCCACGGCGGCGGCTTCATGTACGGCGCCAGCGCGGACTGGGGCCCCGAGCTGATCCTGGACCGCGACGTCGTCCTCGTCACCATCAACTACCGCCTCGGCGTCATGGGTAAGACGGTCCCGGCCCTCGCCGAGGCCCTCGTCGAGGCCTTCGTCGAGGCCCTCGCCGAGGCCCTCGTCGAGGCCCTCGTTGTCGCTCCAGACAAGTGACACGTGCTGCGCGTGCTGCACATGCAGGCTTCCTGAGCACGGAGGACGACGTGGTGCCCGGCAACAACGGCCTCAAGGACCAGAGCCTGGCGCTGCGCTGGCTGCAGGGCAACGTGGCGGCGTTCGGCGGCAACCCCAACAGCGTCACCCTGCTCGGGCTGTCGGCCGGCGGGGCCAGCGTGCACTACCACTACCTGTCGCCGCTGTCCCAAGGTAGGCCCCGCACCGGCGGAGGTGTTCAAAATGCCGGACGCGTTTTGAGCTCCAGAGTCGCTAAATGGGACTCGAACCGAACGTGTGACCCCACCAATGGATTGCTCTCCGAACGAGGAATCCATTGGTGGGGTCACACGCTCGGTTCGAGTCCTGTTTAGCGACTCTGGACACCGTGGGACACGTTCGCCAATGCCTCTGCCGCCCAGGCGTGTTCCACCGCGGCTGGTCCATGAGCGGCTCCGCGCTGTGCCCCTGGACGCAGCAGGAGGCGGCCCTGCAGAAGGCCCGCCGCATCGCCGCGCTGGTGGGGTGCCCGTCGGACGACGCGGCCACGACCCGCGACCTGGTGGAGTGCCTGCGGTACCGGCCGGCGCGGGCCGTGGTGGCCGCCGTGCCCGGCCTGCAGGACGACCACGAGCTGCCCTTCTCGCCCTTCGCGCCCGTCGTGGAGCCCGCCGGCACGCTGGGCGCCTTCCTGGACAGCGCGCCCCTCGACGTCATCCAGTCCGGCGCCGCGCACGACCTGCCCTGGATGACGGGTGTCACCACCGAGGAGGGGCTGTACAACGCTGGGGGTGCGTGTCTCTCTCTCTCTCTCTCTCTCTCTCTCTCTCTCTCTCTCTCTCTCTCTCTCTCTCTCTCTCTCTCTCTCTCTCTCTCGCACTCATGGGGCGTCCCGCATTGGTGCGAGAGAGACAGAGCGACGAGCTGACACGCGGACTGACTCCTTGCAGAGTTCCTGGGCGAGGCGCACGCCGCCAAGCTGCAGCAGCTGGAGCGCGACTGGCTGCAGAGGGCGCCGCTCCTGCTGGACTACAACTACACCGCCCCCGCGGACGCGGCGCGGCGCGACGCTCTCAGCGTGGCCATCCGGGAGCGCTACTTCGGCAGCCGGCCCTTCGCCGGCGCCACCAAGGAGTTCATCGCGGTGGGTGATGCTATTCGTGCCCCTCTTACCCCCGTCGCACAGTGGGCCAGAAGACCGGTGGAGGAACCGAACGAATGACCCCACCAACGGATTCCTCGTTCGGAGAGCAATCCATTGGTGGGATCACACGTTCGGTTCGAGTCCCATTTAGCGACTCTGGAGCCCGAAACGCGTCTAGAGTTTTGACAGCCGGCTTTGCCGGTCTGTGCGGCGGGAGGGACTCTACTAGTGATGCGGACCCCGGCGCTACCCCTCGCCCCAGTGACGTTTGCCGCTCGACCGCCATGTTCGCAGATGATCGGGGACCGCATCTTCAACACGGGCGTGGAGCAGGCGGCCCGCGAGATGGCCAAGGCCAACAGCGAGAGCGTGTTCCTCTACGAGTTCGGCTACCGCGGGGAGTACAGCCTGAGCGCCGCCATCGCCAACGGTGACACCACCAACTGGGGTGAGAGACGCGGGCCTGAGACTCAGGGCGTTCCCTCACCCTGTCTCTCTCGCACTCATGGGGTACTGACTGGCTTCCGAGAGAGACAGAGACACCAGGCTCGGACTGGCCCCCAAAAGGCCCCAGCGGATAAGACCGCAAAAGGCCCCCGATCATCATTATGTTTTTACCCTTCATGACCAACTTTGTGAGCCTACCGCTCCCAAACTAGTTGCGGTCAATAACCTTCCCGATACAGGGCATGAAAGAGTATGGTCTTAAGAATACTAGGGCGTCGAGGGAAGCTTTTTACGGCAACTAGATTGGACACAGTGGGCGCCCAAAGTCAGCAAAATCAGCAAATTTCCGAGATTCGACCACTTTTTGACCAACTTGGTCGGAAAATCGTTGCGGTCAAAGCCAAAATCGTTGTGGTCAACGTCTTCCCGATACAGGGCATGAAAGAGTAGGGTATTAAGAATACTAGGACGTCGAGGGAAGCCTTTTACGGCAACTAGATTGGACACAGTGGGCGCCCAAAGTCAGCAAAATCAGCAAATTTCCGAGATTCGACCACTTTTTGACCAACTTGGTCGGAAAATCGTTGCGGTCAAAGCCAAAATCGTTGTGGTCAACGTCTTCCCGATACAGGGCATGAAAGAGTAGGGTCTTAAGAATACTAGGGCGTCGAGGGAGGCCGTTGACCGCAATTAGATCGGACGCAGTGGCCGCCCAAAATCAGCGAAAACGGTTACTTCCGTCCTATATACACTAGGACTCTTTGACCAACTTTGTGACGTCACTAGTCCCAAACCCGAAAGGCCCCGGCAGATTTTTCTGCCTGTCTGCCCTGGCCAGTCCGAGCCTGAGAGACACGGACCTCTGTGTTGCAGGCGTGAGCCACGGCGACGACACCGGGTACCTCCTCAAGTGGGACTTGATGCCTACGGGGCGGACGCCCACTGAACAGAAGCTCAGCAAGCAGCTCATCAGCTTCCTGACGACGTTCGCCAGGACGGGGTGAGTAGACGCGTCCAAACAGGTCACCCTGAGATCGCTTATGACACTCTTTTCGCTGCAAACCGCGCAACGGGATGAAAGTGTCTTCGCAAGCTCTCGCCGCCAGTGTAGTTGACCACTTGCATCCTTCCAGTGTCCCCGCGGGGCTGCCGGGCGCGCCGGGCTGGGTGTCAGTGGACCCCGCGGCCGCCGCGCTGCCCATCATCAGGATCGACAGGAAGGCTGAGCTGAGCTTCGCCACCGTCCCCGAGTTGGGCAGCACGGCCTTCTGGACGTCGTTGCCGATCGGCGAGAACCAGGCGGCGGCCGACCAGGGCGAGCGCGACGAGCTCTGAGCCCGTCTTGGCGTCGAGTGCGAACCACCAGAGCACGGAGAGCCTGCTGCAGCAATGCGGACCTACTTGCTACTTATTCAGATGTGTATTTCAAACATAACAACAGAAAAACAACAACAACAATAAATTATTTTGTAAAAAACTGAAACTGCGGTGTTGCGTCAACTTTGATCTCTATTGCAATCATAATTTAATTTAAATGAGAATGTGCTTCAGTGTACTCGGCCTTCCGAAATCTGGGGTGAAAATATTTAGATCCAGTTCAAGCAGAGAAGTGGCAGGGCAGCCAGCAGGAGCAGCCTGAAGTGTTCCCATTTGTTGCTGGACGAGGACATCTCGTTCCTCTGGGAGTCGGTTTTTGCAGCGACGGTCGTCGTTTCGCTGGAAACAGAACGCAACGAAGATAAACACAAACCAACTTGCAGCCAGCGTCAGAGGGATTTCTTTTCGAGTCTTCGAATCTCACCTGGGTGGCTTCTTGTTCTCCAGCAAGGGCAGGCCATCCCAGAAGGCCAGCAGCTCGTGCACCGACCAGTTGCCCTGGCGGTGTACTCCGGGCCGCTGCAGTTCCAGGACGGGGAGGTCCTCGGGCACGTCCTTGGCGTCCTTGACGGCCACGCTCTGCAGAGTGGTGTTGCCTAGCGACGGCACCCTGCGAAGCCTCAAGGTCAATCATCCACAGTGGGTCAGAAGACCGGCGCATGCGGGCAAAACTCTAGACGCGTTTCGAGCTCCAGAGTCGCTACATGGGACTCGAACCGGGCGTGTGACCCAACCAATGGATTCCTCTTTCGAAGAGCAATCCTTTGGTAGGGTCACTCGTTCGGTTCGAATCCCATTTAGCGACTCTGGAGCTCAAAACGCGTCCGGGATTTTGACCGCCTCCACCGGTCTTCTGGCCCACTGTGCGGCGTTTCTCAAGTATCTCATGTCAGGAGCTTGACAACGGGTTGGGAACGCGGGATGTGCGACAGAGGTGTCGCGGCGGGCGGTGCGCGGCGGCGGCTAAGGGCGCCCCAGTATGCGGCTCCACGCCCAGCCAGGCCCCCCAGCCCCACGAGGGGCCCCACGAGGGGCCCCGGCTCGTGCCGCCCCACACCCAAGGCGTACCCCGCCAGGCCCCGCCGGGCCGCCTCCGTTCATTAAGGTCGGCCCGCAGTCCAAGGTCCCAATTCAACCTGTCGTTATTCGGTTTGGGCTCACTTTGGGCGGCCGCTGCATCCGAACGCTCGCTACCAGTCGTGCCGGGTGGTGCTCTAGTAGTCTTGAGACCTCCCTCTTGCAAGCTCTGCCTCGAGTAAGACATTTGCAACGGGAGTAGTCGGTCAAAATGCAGACGTCATGCCTCACCCGTCCTGGATGAAGCTGGCCCACACGTCCAGGATGTCGCCGACCATGGCCTTCTGCGCGGGCAGCCTCTGGGCCTCTGTGGCGGAGGGCTGCATCAGCAGCAGGTTGGCGTCACTGCCACCCGCCGGCCCAGCCAAGGCCGAGACCTCTGCGAAGAAGAACGACAACCGCGACGTTAGAGAAGAGACTAGTCGGACAGTACCGTCGTGTCGACCTCCAGCGTCCGCACCTTGCGTCGCGCTCCAGCCGAAGCGGTAGAGGTAGACGGCCTGCTCGGCCTGCTGGGCGTGCGCGATGGCGGCGCGCAGGGCGGGCACCACGACGTGGCGGTCCGCGAACAGCCGCAGCACGCCCTCGGCGTCCTCGGCGGCCGTCCCGTTGCCCAGGTAGCGGCGACGGAGGTCCTCCGACGCGGCGCTCTTGTCCAGCTCGGGCGTCGAGTTGAAGGCGAGCAGCACCGGCGCCAGGCGCGCCCAGTCCGCGTCTAGCTGGTTCAGCAGCGAGGAGTTGTGGAGCAGGCCTGGGGGACGAGGAGAAGGCAAGTATGGTGAAGGTCCCGGAGCCACGAGAAGCACGTCTCCCGGCGGAGGGAGACGGAGCGACTAGGCGCAGAGGCGGCAGACTCACCCTTCTTCTCCCAGCCGGCCAGCGTCTGCAGCCCCTCGCTCCCGGACAGCCCCAGCAGCAGGGGCACGCCGGCGTGGCGCCACAGCCGGAGCGGCGCGTCGGCGAGGAAGGGCTGGACGCCATGCAGCTCCACGACGGGGCCGAAGGGCGCCGGCGGCAGCCCCGCCCAGCCCTGCAGCCGCGCCGAGGCGTACAACACCTCGGCCACGCTGCGCGACCGCAGGCACTCCACCATGTCCGTCAGGTTGGCGGGCCTGGTGCTGTTCAGCGCGGCGGCGTTGACGGACGCGTTGGCGGTGGCGTTGGCGGCGGCCGGCACGGGGATGGGGCAGTCGCAGCGCATGGCCTCGGCCAGGCGGCGCGCGGGGACGTCGACGGCGGCCTGCGTGTTCTCAGTCAGCGACCAGGGGCTGAGGGCCGAGCCGCTGACGGCGATGACGCGCTGCAACAGCCCTGGGGGCGGTGGAGGAGGTGAGGGCCCTCACTGAGGCGGCGGTGCTGCCGCAATGGCGCGGCCCGAACAGCCTACCTTTCGAGGTGACGGCGTGCAGCATGGCCGCCGCGGCCCCCGCGCCCACGCCCGCCACCGTCACGTTGCCGGGGTCCCCGCCGAAGGCCCTGACGTTCTGCTGGACCCACGACAGCGCCAGCCTCTCGTCCTTGAGGCCCAGGTTGCCGGGGGCGTCGGCGTCCCCCGTCGTCAGGAAGCCTTCGGAGGCCGAGACAAGCACACCTTGGTGGTCACTGTGTCTAGAAACACCGAGGATGGTCGCACACCGCACTACGCCACGCTACGCACCCAGGGCGCCGAGCCTCGACTGCACGGTGACCACGACCACGCCGCGGTCCACCAGTCGGTGCGGCTTCCAGCGGCCCGCGTAGCCCCGCGTCCAGTCGTCGCCGGGCAGCACCACCAGCACGGGCAGCCCCTGGGCCGCGTTCACCTGCAAGCAGCACCAGTAAGCGGGGCGCAGCAAAAGACCCTCTCGGTGGAAGCGAGTGCCGCGACGCCACTTCGTCACCTGGGGCGTGTAGACGCTGAGGTACAGGCAGTCCTCCACCCCGACGAGGACGCCCTTGTCGGAGAGGTAGGGGCACGGCATCGTCTGCGAGGTCGCGTTCAGCACCATGAACGGGGACGACGCTGATGGTTTGGCAGGCTGCGGGTGCGAAAATAACGCTTTAGGTTCTGAGCGGAACACCCTTCCCCGCTGCCGCTGGGAGTTGAACCCGGAGCTCGACCTGGAACCGCAGGGCGCCGACGGGGGGCTTGGCGTAGGGCACGCCCTCGAAGGCGGCGAAGGGAGCGTTGTCGGCGCTGCGCTGGGTCGTCCCCCGCAGCACGCCGACGCCGGGCACCTCCAGGAGCACGGCGGCCTCCCCCAGGGCGGGGCGCAGGCCGAGCAGGCACGCCGCCAGGACGAGGGTCTTGAGCACGGCGGCGAAGCGGCGCGGCCATCGCGGTGGCGTGGCGTCGGCCTCTGCAACACGGGGGTTGGTCAGCGGCGACGTCGCCGGGGTCGGCCTTCCGGAGCATGCGGACGTACTCGGCATGGTGAAGGTGCTCGTCCTAGACGGCGGCGCCGAGTTCTGGCGGATGGTTGCCGACGGCGGCGTCCTGGCGGCGTCCTGGCGGCCCCAACCCCCTCCCCTCCCCCGGCCTGCGTTGCCGATTTATGCGTGGCGACGGGCGATGCTGAACGAGTCGGCTAGGAGAGCACCGCGACCACGTGCCTTATTGCACGGTGAGCCTTTCGACCGTCAAAGCGGTCACATTTCATCCAAGCCCGCCATGCCTGCGTCGAGAGAATTTTCCAGTGTCACAAACGCGCGGCCCACCCCAATGAGTCTGCTGGCACTCTAGAACGTTCGTCACCAGAGAGGGGCGGAGGCCTCACACACCGCCAGGATTACTTTGGATAAAACTGTGACTCACTGGGCTCGTCACTCTCGCCAGCGAGAATCGGGCAGAACGCAGGACGGTTTGCACGTAGATTCGCGTGGCTCATTAACCACCGTCACGCCCGTCGAATGAAGATGAAAATGATCAAGGTTGCCTTGACGGCGAGGGAGGGGGAAAAGGGATTTTATTTCGCCGGGCCGAGAGCATTTCCCGAGGGGTAGCCAAATTTCCATCTACATTGATTACTGAATTATTAAAATTTTAGAGAATATATTGATTACAAGCGATTTCTTTTCATTATTTGATTATTACATATCACTGATTGTTGGAGATTAATAGGCCTAGAACGTGGGTCTCGGAGAGCTGTCAAAGTGACGAAAATGAACATTGCTGACTTTGGGCGGCCACTGTGTCCAATCTACCCCAGTATTCTTAAGACCCTACTCTATCATGCCCTTGCCTCAGAAAGGCTTTGACCCCAATCAATTTTTGGCCAGTAGCCTCACAATGTTGGTCAAAAGGCGATCGAATCTCCAAAAGTATGATTGTGATTGTGTCGCGGATTATGTTGGTTATTTCAGTGACTGCCCCTCGCCAGACTGATCAACCACTTTCCGCGTTTTCCCTTGAGACCCAACAGTGTCGCCTACTCAGATGGAAAGTATAGTCAGCAAACAAAACAACGAGAAAGAGCGACTTCAAGAAAAACTCGAGTTATCAGGGCGTGCGTATTTCCGGCGAATTTGCCGCACCTTGCACGCCGAGCGGCTCGAAGTGGGCGCTGGCGGGGCGTGCGGGGCGTTTGGGATGAGCCTTGATTTTTGTCTTATCAAAGAGAGCCAGGCAATCTACTTGTGCAAGCAGCGCACCCCGCCGCCCGCCGCGGCGCCCCGCCGCACCCCGCCCCTTGCTGCTGACATGCTGGTGATGCTGGCTAGGCAGGCGGGCCGCGAGAGGCGCGATCTCGCTATTCCTACGCGGCCTGCTCCGCGTGCTGCACCAACACCATCGACTCCACCATGGCGACCGTCCTGCCGGCCGTCGCCGCGCTCGCCCTGGCGGCCCTGGCGGCCCTGGCGGCCCTCCCCGCCGTCGTGGCGCTGCCCCTCGTCCCCGCCATCTCCTACAACGGCGGCCAGGGCATCATCACCGGGGCGCGCCTCCGGAGCGGCGGGCTGCACACGGCGAGGGACTACGCCGCCTTCTGGGGGGTGCCGTACGCCGAGCCGCCCGTCGGCAAGCTCAGGTTCAAGGTGAGCCCACAGTGGAGGCGGCCAGACGCGTGCAGAGCTCCAGAGTCGCTAAACAGGGCTCGAACCGAACGTGTGACCCGACCAATGGATTCCTCGCTCGGAGAGCAATCCATTGGTGGGGTCACACGTTCGGTCCCATTTAGCGACTCTGGAGCTCAAAACGCGTCTGGCCGCCTCCACCCCGTCCTCTGGTCCACTGTGGTGGCTTCGCGCGAACGCTTTGCGTGGCTGTACACGTTTAAGTCGGTCACGCGGTTTCTTGTTCGACTCGCGCTGATCGATCTCTCTTCCTCGAGCGCCTGCGAAGTCGAGGGTATGCTGCCCCGCCACGCACGGCTGCCCTGTTTTGCCGACCTTCCAGGCACCCGCCCTCGCTCGCCGCGATTGGCGGCCAACCAACGGAATCGGGGGCTCGCGCTGCAGGACCCGGCGAAAGTGCTTCATGCTCCAGCATTGCCCCAACCTAGCCTGACCTAGCCTCGCCTAGCCTGCCTCAGCTGATAAGCTTTGTCCGAGGCGGTGACCTCAGCGCGTCTCGTCACTCTCGGCGGCTGAGGTGGGCCAGCGTGATAATCCGCGCCAGCTCCATGCATACCTTGTGACGGCCGGGGAGTGATAAGGGGCCGCGGGGGCCGTCCTTAAGTGCGGTGCAGGCGCTAAGTGGTGTGACCCCACCAATGGGTTCCTCGTTCGGAGAGCAATCCATTGGTGGGGTCACACGTTCGGTTCGGGTTCCATTTAGCGACTCTGGAGCTCAAAACGCGTCTAGAGTTTTGGCCGCCTCCGCCGGTCTTCTGACCCACTGTGGTGCGCCAGTAGGGAACGCGTTACGCAAAGTGGAGGGAGGAGGAGGCCGTCTTGCCTCGTGTCAGGGATACGTCACCGGCAAACCACGCACTGGCGAGGACGCAAGGGCTTCCCATGCAACTTGGAAAGGCGAGAGAGCATGAGTGAGTGTGTGTGTCTACGGCTCAGCGAGCGGCTTGGCTTGGCAGATTACCACCTTAATTGCTGAAGTGGATGGCTATGCTCGTCGGCGAGGCTCACGACCGAGTCGGTAGGTTCGACTTAGTTGTCGCCGACCTTCCCCGCCTCGCGCACTTTGATTGGACGCCGGGAATAGCCACCCGGCCAGCACGCTGATTCTGAGAGTCGTTTTCGTCGCTCTGTCTCTCTCGCATTCGTGGTTCGGCCCCGAAAGGTGCGAGAGAGACAGCGGCAGTTAAACTGGGAGTAACCATGGCGCCGTCCTGTTGCACGCCCTGCGTGGCCTGCAGCCCCCGCAGGGCCGGGACCTCCCCGACGGCATGTTCGCGGCCACCAACGTCAGCACCCCGGAGTGCATCCAGCAGAGCCGGCACCCGCTCGAGATCCACGGCGCCGAGGACTGCCTCACGCTGCAGATCTACACCCCGAACGTAAGCGAGGGTTCGAATCCCCGTCAAGGCCTTTTAACATTTTCTAATTTTTAATAACTTTTTTTTTGGAAATTTATTTTTTGTTTCATTTGTCTTTGTGCAGTACGACAACCCCGTGCTGCCCGTACTCGTGCTGATCCACGGCGGCGGCTTCATGTTCGGCCGCGGCCCCCGCGAGGGCGTGCAGTTCGTCATGGACCACGACGTGGTGCTGGTCAACGTGGACTACCGCGTCGGCCTCCTCGGTGCGGCACCTCGCTCTGTCTCTCTCGCACACACAGACTAGTGGCGACCTAACCAGTGGCGTTCCTCTCCAGGCTACATGAGCTTCGAGGACGACACACTGCGGGGCAACCTGGGCATGCTGGACCAGGTGGAGGCCCTGCGCTGGGTGCAGCGCAACATCCACCTCTTCGGCGGCGACAACAAGAACGTCACCCTGGTCGGCAACTCGGCCGGCTCGGCCAGCTGCCTGCTGCACACCATGTCCCCGTTGTCCAAAGGTAAGGCCCCCGGTTCGATTCCCCACCGACGCGCCGTTCCGCTCGCAAAACTCGCAACGTGACAAATGAAAAGGAATGTTCAGGGCTGTTCCACAGGGTGATCGGCATGAGCGGGACCCCGCTGAACCCCTGGACGCGGCAGTACTCTGCGCGCGAGAACGCCCACATGGTGGCCAACCTGACGGGCTGCGACGCCCCCACCACGGCCGAGAAGATCAGCTGCCTGCAGAACCAGTCCGCCACCGACCTGGTGGCGCTGCAGGGGACCCACTTCCAGGTCAGCACCGCGCCAACGGCATCGAAAAAGTAAAAAATCGTCATTTTAAAACATTTTTTGGTGTTATCAGCACTGGATGAACAACCCGTTCTCGCCGTTCGCCCCCGTCGTGGACGGCGTGTTCCTGACCGAAGAACCCGGCAAGCTGCTCAACAAGAGGGGCGCCGTCATGGACGTGCCGCTGCTGCTCAGCTTCACGTCGGATGAAGGGCTGTACACTGCCGGAGGTAAGGCTGTACACTGCCGGAGGTAAGGCTGTGCACTGCTGGAGGTAAGGCTGTACACTGCTGGAGGTAAGGCTGTGCACTGCTGGAGGTAAGGCTGTACACTGCTGGAGGTAAGGCTGTGCACCGCCGGAGGTAAGGCTGTACACTGCTGGAGGCAACCCCGTCAACATGTAGCATATCGACGACTGCAGAGCATTTACATCGCGCTGTCTCTCTCGCTCTCATGCGTCGACGCAAGGGAGTCGTGCACGGTAAACCGAATGCCTCGAAAACCGGGAGAGCGCCCCGGTGTTGGGTGCGCTGTCTTTTTCTATCTTGTGGAGAGGGAGTGAGACAGCGTATCCAAAACCGGGGCGCTCTCCCGGTTTTCGAGGCATTCGGTTTACCGTGTGGGAGTGCGAGAGAGACGGAGCGACGGAAGCGCCGGTCGGAATGAGTCCGCGTCGGGCTACGCGGCTGCGGCGCCTTACCCGCAATCAGAGCGGAGTCAGCGTTCCCGGGTCGACTCGATTTGATTCGATTGTTGGAGCTCGGTCGGGTCGGGCCGCGGACGCGGGTCAGCGCGCCATACAATTTCAGATAACTCCACCCGTTTCCGACTCGTCCGTCACTGCAACTGTCGAAACGATAGACTGGATCTAATTGGGATGGGCTTCCCCATGTTCCTTCTGTTTTGCCTGGCTTTGCCCGCGCGACCCGTCCAGTGTTGCCACACTTGAGGGAAAACTTCTCACGATGCAGTGCCGCTCAGTTTTGAATGAAGGCAAACCGAGGCAAACCTTTTAGACAGGTGCATCGAGGGAGTTTTTGTCTACCTGTGTAGCGATACTGACCCCTGACCCGGAGAAAAATTCTCTGTTTCGGCACTTCCAGAGTTCATCATGAACGACGCCCTGGTGCGCGAACTGGACGAGAACTGGGAGACCGTGGCGCCGCAGCTGCTGCACATGCACGACAAGCGAGTCCCCGAGGCGGACAAGCCGGACCTGGTCCAGAAGGCCCGCAAGTTCTACCTGGGCAACCAGACCCTGGTGGCGGCCAAGTCCGAGCTCGTCAAGGTGAAGCCCTTCAATTTTTGTCACGCTGGAATTTGAAAAGCGCACCGAGGGCAAACTTCAGCAAACTCGTGTCCAGCTGATGAGCGACCGCAACTTCGTGGCCGGGCTGGCGGACTACGTGACGCGACGCGCCAAGGACCAGTCCAGTGCCGTGTTCGTGTCCGAGTTCGCGCACCGCGGCCAGTTCGGCCTCTACCCCGGCGTCCCGGGGGTGAGCCACGCCGACGACTTCCAGTACTACATCGAGTTCACGTGGTGGAGCGGCATCTTCACGCGGCCCGAGGACATCGCCGTGCGCAAGAACCTCATCGACATGTGGGTCGCCTTCGCCGAGACATCGTGAGTGAAGTAGCCTCGCGCAGTGGGCCAGAAGACCGGTGGAGGCGGCCAAAATTCTAGACGCCTTTTGAGCTCCAGAGTCGCTAAATGGGACTCGAACCGCGAACAAAGTCGACTGCCACTACAAAGTCATTCTGTTTTCGCCGTGCAGCAACCCCAGCATCCACGGCATCGACTGGCGGCCCACGGACGGCAAAGACGGCTCGGTGAACTACCTGCGTATCGCTGGCCCCGAGGACAAGGACATGGCCATGGCCCAGGACAAGGACCTGGGCAACGCCAACTTCTGGAGAGACTTGCGCATCGAACCGTAAGTTGTCTGGACTGTCTTTGTCTCTGTTTGCTGTCCAATAGTCCTTTGTATTGTCCGTGTGCACTGTAATATAGAGATTCGGGGTACGGAAATATTTCCGGAAAAATTGGAAATATTTCGGATTTATTTCGGAAATATTTCTAAGGCCTCGGAAAAATTGGAAAAATTGGAAATATTGATTTTTATTGTTGTATTAGCGGTTTAACCCAATATCATGCATTATTTACGACACTTGCATAACTTACGACTCATTTACGGGCTAAATGAATGTCAGTGTTGTGTATCTTGACTCATCTAACGTCTGTAAGTACATAAACGTAGGAAGAACATTTAGAAATGCACGGATCATGTTTTTCCAATGGTCAGGACTCTTTTCAAATTTAAATGAAAATGGCGCGAATACTACTCAGAGTCGTCTGAAGTCGAGTACGAGAGGGCGCAGCGCGGGGTGCGGGGAGGAGGGAGGTGAAGGAGGAGGGAGGAGTGTGTGTGTGGTGTAGCGGGAGCGAGGCGAGACAAAGCAAGCCAAGATTTGAGGAAGAATCCTTCCGTTTATGAGTTCATGACTTCAGCTGAGGAACAATGGGTGACCAGGTCCTCCAAAAACTAAAACTTTGTAATTCCAGACTGTCTGTAACTCGAAAATCTGTATAATTCAAGAATAAACTTTAATTTATTTGTTCCAGATTTGTTTTTCTTAATTCCAGTAGAACACTCAAGATTCCAACTAAAAACGCCTGAACTTAAAAGAAAAGTCAATATTTCCAATGTTTCCCTATTTTTCCGAAATATTTCGGAAATATTTCGGAAATATTTCCACCATTTTATTTTTCCGGAAAAATAGAAACTCTACTGTAATATATGTTTATATGTTTATTTTTAGCGATCTTTGTGGGCAATTCGTTCATCTGCGGTGTCTTTATTTTTTTGTCATTGTTTTTGTTGCTCTTGTGCTTATTTTTCTGTCCTCACGAATCTCATTAAAGACATGCTCATCTCTACGCTTATCCGTTTTTTTGTCAAAGTTTTTTTTCCTTAATGTGTCTACTTGTCATGTGTATACGCAAAACAAATCGGCGTATCGATAGCGTCATTTTTTTGTGTCACTGATAATAGTTGGGTGTCTGTTGTGATTTACGCTCCAACTTTCTCACTGCCGGAAAATTAGAAGCAGAGATTCGTCATTGTGATCTTTGTATTCCCTCAGGAACCACTCGGGGCGAGTCCAGGCTTCCCTGGTCCTCTGCCTGGCCTCCTTCGGGGCCCTCCTTCTCGGCAACGCACGGACGAGTTAGTCCATTGCATGCTCACCAGAGGCCGCCAGAGGCACCCCACTGCATGCTCTCCTCCAGCCTCACTAGTCACTCAAGTATTCAGGTTTTGCAGCCCAAGCGCTGCACGACGTTTGCGTCGCGGGAGTCGGGAAAGGAGGCAGGCTGTTGACTCCCCCACACTGTTCTTCGATTTTCGATCCTACAGCAGCAAAATTTGTTGCCACGACACACACATTGATGTATTGAGACACTGGAGACCGATGGAAAAAAGCAAGCCGTAAGGCACCCCAAGGTGTTGTGGTAACAAATCACCCGACAACAAAATACCATTTCCCCGCTCACCCTAAAACCCAAGCAGGTGTCAATAAACTGTCCTTCTTTCGTGAATTTTCTGCAAATAGCGGTATTACTTGCGGCGCAGAGTGCGCGGCGAATAGTGTAAGTGATTGTCTGACTTTGCCTGTTGTTGGTTTCTATGATTTGGACGGAAGAATTTAAATTAAAGCCTAGTTTTGTAGCCACTTTTCTCCATTTCTTTCGCATTTCGGTGCGAGTAGACCACCGATCGAGACAGAACGCCTTGCGGCAGGCAACCCATCAGACAGCGCGCGCCGCGTGGCGTAGGCAACCCATCGTACGCCTGCTACCCTCGAACACCAAACAACACAGGCTGTGTCGAACGTCTGTGCCGCTCGTACTCTTCAGTCCCAGATCATACAGAGACACTTGACAACGCGATTTTGCACCCTCCGTTCCGTTCAACTTGCAAGTAACATTGAGCTACTTAATTGCGACTTAGTCTGTACTCGAGTTGACAACGCACGCCGCGAGTCGAGTGCTTGTCTTCGCTCGCGTCGAGAACCCGATGAAACAAACAACCAATACGCTGGGAGTGAGGTGCCACGCCGCTGTTGTCTGTCTCGGAGATTGGAGGACGGTGAATCTGCCGATGTGCGAACGCGCCAACGCATTTTTGTTAATCACCCTTGCCTTTTGCTCTCCTCGGTCTCGCAATTATTCTTGGTTTTATTTTTATTTTCCGTGCCGGAGGCTCCCTGTCCATTACCCTCTTCATCGAGTGCGGCTAGCCACAAAGCCAGAAAGCCAGCGGCAGCCAAGCCAGGCCTGCCCACAGTGGGCCACAAGACCGGTGGAGGTGAAACAAATCCCGGACGCGTTTTGAGCTCCAGAGTCGCTAAATGGGACTCGAACCAAACGTGTGACCCCACAGACGGATTGCTCTCCGAAGGAGGAATCCATTGGTGGAGTCACACGTTCGGTTCGAGTCCCATTTTGCGACTCTGGAGCTCAAAACGCGTCCAGGATTTTGACCGCCTCCACCGGTCTTCTGGCCCACTGTGCTAGGCCAGGCCTATCGGAGATCCGAGACACTTCGGCCCTTCCCTTCACGTTGTAATTCCCCAAATTCCTGCTCGCGCGGAGCCGCGGTGCCGCGGACCTCGGACCGGCAGTGCGTGAGCGCGCCGGTTTTCGTTTTGTTGTTGTTATTATTTTATTTGCCATTCGCCGCGGTCGCCGCGGTCCGGCCGGAGAGTGCTTCTTTCTTCTTTCACTCGGCCGTGCAATTGATGCGGCTGCGCCGCGCAAAACGAAAAAGGAGCAGAGATGAAAATATAAAGCTCGCGAGTTGTTTAATGCGGCAGCGCAGCGGTTTGCGGGGGGCATCTCAGCGGACTGACGCCGGAGTGAAGGGCGTCGCTCCGTCTCTCTCGCGCGCCGCGCTCGCGGGGCGTCCCACAGTGGGCCAGAAGACCGGTGGAGTCGGCCAAAACTCTAGACGCGTTGAGCTCCAGAGTCGCTATACAGGACTCGAATTGAACGTGTGACCCCACCAATGGATTCCTCGTTCGGAGAGCAATCCGTTGGTGGGGTCACACGTTCGATTCGAGTCTCATTTAGCGACTCTGGAGCTCAAAACGCGTCTAGAGTTTTGGCCGCCTCCACTGGTCTTCTGGCCCACTGTGCGACGGAACGCTTTCTGCGGCATCGGCCGGCAGTTCGCAGCCCCGCGAGATCTTCGGAGTCTTCCCGCAGCGAGCCCAGCAGACTGACTCCGAGAGTCGTTTTGGTCACTCTGTCTCTCTCGCACGCATACGGGGCGCTCCACGAGTGCGAGAGAGCCAGACTGGCGAACACGACTCTCGGAATCAGTCTGCAGCGAGCGCAGCGGTCCGGGCCGTATAAATTCTGTCGCGTCAAGATTCTGCTTTGTTTTTGTTTTCGTCCAAAGATGTAACGGAATCACTGCTGCGGAAGTCCATATCTTTTTGGCGCGGGGGCCGGCCGGCCGCAAGCCCAAAAAGGTCACATTCTCTTTTAACAACTCGCCGACTGTTTTACAACTGTGCGATTGCGATCTACGATCGTTGTTTTGAGAGACTGCTTGTCGTTTACGGATACCACTCGGACTTTAGTGACTGAATAGTGACTGTGGATAGTGACTGGTTTCGCCACTGTTAAGTGCGTGGGTGACGTCCTCCGCGTCTCGCTGGCTTCTGGGTGACTTCGCGGTGCTCCAGAGTGCCCCGCGACTTGGCGGCTCGGCGGCGTCCTCCCGGTGGCGTCCCGGAGGCGGCGCCGCGACTGCCGCGGTGGTGGCGGCGGTGGCGGCGGCGCGCAGCCGGTCCGTGGCGGGCTGGGCTGGCTGGGCTGGCAGGCCGGACAGGCCGGGCACGCTGCCGGAGAGGAGAGGCCCCGGACCGGGCCGGCGGCCGGCGGCAGGCCGGCGGCGTCGCTGCCAGTGTGTGATGTGGCCTTGTGTTGCCCGGTAGAAGGACAAGACCCACTTGCAGAGTAGGACATGGCGCCTAGTTTCGCCCAGCCACCGCCGCCCCGCCGCCCGCCGCCCCCACCGCGGCTGCAGCTGCTGCTGCCGCTGCTCGTGGCGGTGTGGGCAGTGTGGGCCCCCGCCGCCGGCGCCCCCGCCCCCGTGCGCTACGACCAGCGCCAAACCGGCAACGTGAACGTGCAAGTGGACCTCAAGGACGTGGAGATCTACGCCATCCTGGACGAGAGCCTGCTCGCCGGGCTGGGGGTGAGTAGGGAGTGGGGAGTTGACTGAGGGGTGGCTGCGCGTTTCTAATGCCATGCTCTTGAGGCTGGCCGCCGACGGCAACGTGTGCACGCCAAGCCACGCCAAGCCCTGGGTCCTTGGGGGCTGCGTCGCAGAAACTTGGTTTCCCAGACACGTTTATTGGAAAGAAGCAGTGATCTGTGATGACGTCCACAGCGCGGAAAACAGCTCGCAGTGTGACTCCGCTCGGCTGGAAAGCGTTGAGACGGCCAGGGCACTACAAACACCTGAAATGAACACACGTCGTGTAAGTCAACACCCAGCCTGGCCGCGGTGGCTCCCAGCGCGACGCGGCCGGACCACGGGTCGACGAACCCGCCGCGAGGCGCGGACGGGACGGCGCGGATGGGATGGGACATCGGATGGACATCGGCGACCTTGCCCATGGCACTGTAGGTTGCGTTCAGGTCCCTGGGCAGCACCGGGCCGCGTGGCGGGGGTGAGGCAGCACTCTCCGTGGCATGCCCTCGACGCCGGCACGACGTGCCCTCCCCCGGGCCAGCAGACTCATTCCGAGAGTCGTTTTGGTCACTCTGTCTCTCTCGCACCCTTACGGGACGTCCCATGAGTGCGAGAGAGACAGAGCGACGACAACGCCCCTCGGAATCAGTCTTCAGGGCCAGAGGTCCAGGAGTCGATGCACCGCCGCCAAACCGCGGCCGTGTCCTGGTCATGAGCGTGGTCATGAAGAGCCCCGCCGCAGCGCGCCTCTGTCTCCCTCGCACCCACAGGGGGCGCCCCTCGAGTGCGAGAGAGACAGAGCGAGATTCAATCACCGTGCCGCAAATTGGCTCGCAGGCGGGCTCCGTAACAATGCGCCTCGACTTTTCAATCGGGCCTCGCCACTGGGAGGCTGGGCAGGGTCTCCGCCGGGCGGTTCGACGCCAAGCCGCCAAGCCCGGCCAAGCCCGGCGCCCGGGCCACACTGGGCGCCCCGAGGCCCGATGCCTAGACGCCCAGGGGGCTAGAAGCCTAGAGGCCTAGAGCAAATGCATTAAGGGAGACGCGCCTCGGCTTCTTGTTGCCCTCCAGCGCGGAGTGGCGGCGGGGCGGGGCGGGGCGGGGCGGGGCGGGGCGGGCGTGGCAGGACACGCAAGTCGCCTGGCGTGGCCGCGCACTTGCGCGGTTCCACCGTGCTGCTCCACCGGGCTCCACCGCGGTCCTAGGCGTTGATTGGGTAGAGAGGCCGGCGGCCCGGCGTACTGACGCCGTCTTAATGCACGCACCGACTCCAGGGCGGCCAAGGCGGCCTCCGTGACGCGGACGCTCTGTTTGCCAGCACACTGATTCCGAGAGTCGTTTTGGTCGCTCTGTCTCTGTCGCACTCACAGGGCGTCCCGTGCGGGCGCGAGAGAGACAGCGACGAGAGCGGCTCGCGGAAGCAGCCTGCTCCTGGAAATGACCGCTCGGCCCGGGACGCGGCCAACGCGGGCGTGGACCTCCCCCCTCCCCCTTTCCCTCCCCCGCGCTCTGGATCACTCGCACACTGTTAAGGCCTCGCGGAACATGAACATCATCAATCCCGCGGCCACTAAAAACCCCGACCGCCAATCTCCTCGCAGTGCAGTGCCAGGCAGCGCGCGGGCCTCGGCCGGGGCGGGGGAGGGGGTGGGGGATTTTAGCCCACATTTCAATGCCAACGGCGGCACGGCGGCGGCCCAACAGGATGTGCGACTTGTGCAGCCACCCCTGGCCGCGCCACGCCGTGCGCGGACCGGCGCCTCCAGTCCATTCGGTCCAACCGGTTGAGAAAGGTGACGGGGATAACAGGTCAGCCGCAGCGGCTCGCGGGAGAAATGGGTGTCAGTTTGGCGGCGTCGGCGTTGATCCGCTCTCTAGGTGCCCTGCTGCCTGCCTGCCTGCCGGTCGACCTGCCCTCTTTGCGATGCGGAGAAATCTAATGTAGACGACACACAGTGGGCCAGAAGACCGGTGGAGGCGGCCAAAACTCTAGACGCGTTTTGAGCTCCAGAGTCGCTAAACAGGACTCGAACCGAACGTGTGACCCCACCAATGGATTGCTCTCCGAACGAGGAACCCATTGGTGGGGTCACACGTCCGATTCGAGTCCCATTTAGCGGCTCTGGAGCTCAAATCGCGTCTAGAGTTTTGGCCGCCTCCACCGGTCTTCTGGCCCACTGTGCGACAGCTAGGGGACCTCGCCCGAGGAAACCCCTCGGCAACACGCCCGAGTTGGCAGCTGAGTGTGCGAGTCGCGAAATTTGAAAAAGAGTTTGGATGAGTCTGTTATTGTTCTGAAGAGACGGGCTGCGGCGACGCGGGGTCCGCGAGCAGGGTGGATGCGCTCCGGCCGGAGAGCCACGGGGGCTCCGTCAAGCCTCTGTCTCTCTCGCACTCGTGGGGCGTCCCGGGAAGGTGCGAGAGAGACAGGCGCATTCTGGATGAACAGGTCGAGGGAATAAAGCTACAAAGTATGACTCGGTGCGCCGCGCGCCGCACGCGTCGCCGTGGCATGTTTATGTAGGAATTCCTCCGAGGGACCGGGTCCGGGACGAAAGGGGGTTTCAGAATGCAAACGCCGCGCCTGCTGTGAAAAAAGTAAAAATTTTATGTTTCAAAATAAAGAAAAGGGACGGAAAGTGCTGCGGTGCGGTCCTGGAACGCGCAGCGCCGAGCCGCCAAGCCGCCAAGCCGCGAAGCCCGGTCCGGCGTGATGTGGTCGCTGCACTGTACGGCACGACGCGGCACACGACACTGGAAGAGCCGCAGCAGACTGATTCCGAGAGTCGTTCTCGTCGCTCTGTCTCTCTCGCACCTATGAGGGACGCGCTATGAGTGCGAGAGAGACAGAGCACGCTAGCCGTGCCGAGGCGAGCTAGGCGAGGTGTGAAGCTGATGGCAACGGGCATGGCATGAGCGGCTCCCAGCGAGATTATTGCTGCGGGCCTGTGGTTTGGGGGCAGCGCATCACACTGCTAGTCTCAATTAAGTTTGATTCCAAGTTGAATTCGCTGGCAAAAGTTGTTGCGGAGGTGAGTCGGGGCAAGTGTCTATCAGAGAAGGCGCCGCTAGACTTGCCTGTCACTGGGTGTGCCTGTCGGCAGGTTTGCCTGTGGTCTGGCTCTCGGGTGGCGGTTCAGCCCTTGGTTCAGCCCGCACCGCACCGAACGTTTGGCGCGCGGCTGGCGGTACTGGCGGTGCTGCTGCAGGCCCTTCTTTGGGTGCTGCTGGAACGGACAGGGAACAATCCGCAGCGGTGCCGCGGTACCGGTGGTCTCTCTCTCTCTCTCTGTCTCTCTCTCTCTCTCTCTCTCTCTCTCTCTCTCTCTCTCTCTCTCTCTCTCTCTCTCTCTCTCTCTCCATGCCGCGGGCGTTGCCTGGCGTTCGCCCAGCCCGTGCAGTGCAGCATCCAGTGCACTCATTAAGCCCCGCCGGCCCAGCCATTCCGAACACGCTCTGTCCCTCTCGCACTCGAGAGACATTGCGCAAAGGCGAGAGAGACAGAGCGACGAAGGCGCTGTCCTCCCTGCAAATTAGATCGAAGGCGTCATCGGCCTGCTTATGCGGCCGTGGACCGTACCAACTCCAAGCCGGAGTACTGGCGGGAAGTAGAGGAAAACAGAGAAAACGAACTGCGAAGCAAGGTGAAAACCCTTGCCCCCGCCGGGACTTGAACCTTCGACGTCGGCGTGCTCTACTCGCGGCGCGCGGCTCCCTGCACCCTTAACGTGCAGTGCATTCCCATCTAATGACACTGGCCGGCTGCGTCCGAGGCCCGGCCTGGCCGGCGCGGCCAGTGTAGTGCCACGTGCGCGCAGCGGCGCAGTCCAAGCTCCACTCTCTGAACGCCACCGACGCCGGCACCGCGGGCACCGCCCTCCCGGTGTCTGGCTCCGAGCAGCGGCATCTCTCTCGCGCTGCCGAGCGCCCAGGGCAAGGCCCAGGGGGTGCGAGAGAGACAGAGGGCCATTGACCAGCACGGTGGTCCCCACCGCCTTCGTTGGCCGCTGCTGAAACATTTCTGCGCGCGAGGCGCTGGTGGTGGCGCGGCCTCCGCCTGTCCGCCGAGTCCTCCGCGTCGACGACAAGCAGTACAGCGAGCTGATGGCAGCGGCGATAGGGCGGCGCCAGGTCCCCGATGAGTGATGCGCCGGGCGGGCGGGCAGGCGGGGCAGCCCATCGGGCAGCCCGCCGGCCAGGGCGTCCCGTTGTCACCGGGCACCTGTCCAACAGGATGTGGCTCTGCATGATGTCGGTGCGATTGCCGCCAAGCTGAGCGAATCCCTCGCCCCCAGCAGCGCGGCAGCGCAGCCAATCAGCATACGGGATTTTAATCTGCTCCCGCACCGGTTCTTTCAAATCCCTCTCGCCCCGCGCGCCCAGGCGGCAACTGCCACCGGACTTAACCAATATTCCGATGTGCTCGTTCGCAGGTCGGCGGCGACTACGACTACGACTACTCGCAGCTGACGGAGAAACCGCCCGCGACGACGGGCAAGCCGGGCAACGCCACGGCCTCGGCCACCACCAAGAAGCCCGGCGTGCCCAGTGTGCGCACTGCGGAGGCTGCTGGGTGAGTCGCCGGTCCAAGTTCCAAGTTCGAACCTCGGCCTGCCTGGCTCTGGCCGTTCCACAGTGACCCAAACCGGTGGGGGCGGCCAGAAATCTAGACGCGTTTTGAGCTCCAGGGTCGCTAAACAGGACTCGAGCTGAACGTGTGACCCTCCCAAATGGATTCCACGTTCGGAGAGCAATCCATTGGTGTTCGATTCGAGTCCCTTTTAGCGACTCTGGAGCTCAAAACGCGTGTAGAACTCTGGCTGGCCGCCTCCACCGGTCTTCTGGCCCACTGTGTGCTCCCTTGGTTTAGGGTTATTCTCTTCCTCACCCACCGTGTCCTCTCCCCTGCAGCAATGTGGTCCAAGCCGTGCAAGCTGTGGAGCGGTCCGCTGTCAAGGAGGCCGTCAAGGAGGCCGTCAAGGAGGCCGCGCAGGCTAGCGTTGGCAGGGAGGCCGCCGCCGCCACCCCCGCCGCCCCAGCCGTGACGCCCACCAAGGCCGCCGCCCCCGTGGCCGCCCCCCTCGTGAGGCCCGCCGCCCCCGTCAAGGTGTCCGTGGCGCACCGGCGCTGCGGCTCCGGGTACCACAGGGACGCCGCCGGCCGCTGTAGGCGCGACCGCCGCCCCTTGCTCAAGTGAGTCCCAACCCGTGTGCTTTCTCTAGACGCGAGAGAGGCGAGCAGTTTTAAGACGGTCATTGCCTGTGTGCTCCAGGTACGCGCTGAAGCGTCGTCCGGCCAGCAGGTCCGCCGCAGCCGCGGCCGCGGCGTCGGTGTCGTCCGTCCCCGCTGCGGACGATGCGTCCCCCATCACCGTGGTGGCTCTGCTGCCGCCCGCGCCCCCTGCACCCGCCACAGCACCGCCTGCACCCGCCAAGACGGCCACCCCAGCGGAGTCACTCAAGACGGCGTCCAGGGCACCGGTGGCAACTTTTGCTCCCAAGGCACCCGTCGTGGCCGATGCACCAAAAGTACCCGTCGTGTCTGCTGATGATGCACCCGAAGTACCCATCGTATCTGCTGATGCACCCAAAGTACCCATCGTATCTGCTGATGCACCCAAAGTACCCATCGTATCTGCTGATGTACCCAAAGTACCCATCGTATCTGCTGATGTACCCAAAGTAGTACCCATCGTGTCTGCTGATGCTGAAGCACCCAAAGTAATACCCATCGTGCCTGCTGATGCTGAAGCACCCAAAGTACCCATCATCGTGGTTGATGTGCCCAAGGAACCCATCGTGGCCAATGCACTGCAGAAGTCACCCGCAGAACGCGACTCTCCCGCTGACCCCGTGAAAGTCAACGATCTGAAAACGCCAGCAGCTGCAGATTTAATGGCAGCAACCTCCGTGATCGCGCCGCTCGCGGCCAAGCCCGTCGTCTGATCCACCCGCGCCCCTTTCGTGGTGGGAAACCATGACTGAATGTTGCCTTTCTTTTCTGACCTCCGGAGAACTGCCCTTGGGAGTCTGACTTCGGGCATTAGGTAAGGGTAATCATTTTTCTACCTGGAATTTAAAAAAATCTAGAAAACAAATTGAATAAAAACCAGGTTGTGCTAGAGATGCGGAAAACGGCCGAAGAGGCAAGAGTGTCTGGTCTGATGCCTTGTCTCTCCGAGCGCGTAACGCATGTCTAGCATGCAGGCACTCCTCCGAGGTCAGATGAGAAGGTTCGAAATGGGGGAAATGTGTCTCTCTTTTGTGCTCGAAAGTCAGGAAATCAACAACGTATTCACAATATCAAAAGGCATTTTACGGAAAAGCTACTAGTCATGACGCTCTCCGTTCTGACCCTGGCGGTGTCCGTGCGACAGGACAGGACGGTCGATTCGGTCCATTTCGTAAAATGACTTTCATCGCTGTCACGTACGGCGTTCCTGTTGATTGGTGCAATGGAAAATGAAATAAAAAGTCCAATACAAATGAAACGTCAACTACCTGTCTCATATTTCTCCACGCCAACCCGACAAGCACTACACACTCTTTCTGCTGGGCACAGACAAACACACAGCACGTGCACTGTGAAAATTTGATGTCACTTTACGACAAATATTTTCATTATCAGCTCTCCTTGGCATGGGCGTGATGACAAAGTCATGAACTGCAGGTCACAATAATCAGCCTTGAAATTGGCACCAAAAGACTAACCAAAACCATCCTTTCGACAGGATGCCTGGCGCCACGGTGCCTGACTGCGTACAGCGAGCCAGTGCGGCTATGCTAGGCGAGTGCGAGAGAGACAGAGCGACGGAAACGACTCGGGGAATCAGTCTAACAGGCAGCCGGCGGCCTTTCGTCTCGTGAATATCTCCGCCCGTCGAATCGGTCGAATCTCGATCGAGACGTCAGTTCGAGACCGGCGGCCGGGACGCGGCGGGCCGCGGGTCCACTGGGGCCGGTCCGGCACATCTAGGTCACTAGGGTCGCCGCCGTCGGCGGCCGTCGGCGTCGTCGTCGGCCCACGCCAGCGCCGCCAGTCCGCGGGTCCGGGCCGGCGCCGAGACACAGAGAGAGCCCCTTGGACCTGGCGGCCTGGCGGCCTGGCGGCCTGGCGGCCTGACCCGCGGAACTTGAACCCGACCTTGATATAGGTGAGCATCCCGTTCCAGGCCGTTCCAGGGCGGACTCGGGCGGACGGGGTGCGCGGCGCCAAGCGCGCGGCGGCCGGGCGTGGCGGGGCGGCCGGAGAGGTGGCGGCGGGGAGTGCGTCCTGGCGGCGTGGCGGCGTGCGTCCGCCCCACAGCCCCACGCCGCCCTTCGCCGACCCCCGCGGCCCCGACCCCCGCGGCCCCGCGCCGCGTTCGCGAGGGGACTGGCGCAAGTCCGGGACGGCAGTCTCAGCCCGCACCCTCCACGATGAACAAGTCCGCCGCGCTGCTCGTCGCTCCGCTGGTGCTGCTGCAGCTGGCGCTGCTGGCCGTCGCCTCGCCCATCAGGTAAGCGCCGGGGACGCGGCGGGGCGCGCCAACCCCACGCCGCCGTGCCGCCGTCCGGGACGGCCCGGTGCGACGCGCAGCCCGGGGGTGCGTTCGAGAACCACACCCCAAAGCACCCCGTCGCCAACGGGGTGACTGAGAGCGAAGGGCCGCCGCGAGGGGTGTTCGAACGCGCCCTGCCGCTCGGTCATCGGCGACACTAGAGGGCCTGGGGGCAGTGCCGGCCGCGCCGCTGCAAGTGGCGGCAATGGGATAGAAGTCGTCGCGATTTGCATGATGAAGATGCGCCGCGGTGCAGTGGCAGTGCAGTGGTCTGGGAGTGGCGGGGTGGCGGAACGGTGACCGAGGAAATGCGACGGAATGCCTCCACGACGCTCCGGCCGGCCCGGCCAAACGCCCGGCCAATCACAGCGCATCCCTTCCAGGACCCCTTCCAGGACCCCGTCCTGCACAAGCGATTCCGCTCACCGTTTCGCCGCTCCGTCTCTCTCGCACCCCCGCGGGCCGCCCCGTGAGTGCGAGAGAGACAGGGCGACGAAAGCCCGGCTTGGAATCAGCCCACTGCGCTGGCCCCGTCCCGTCGCGGTCCCGTTGCGTGACTCCAACTCGAACGTGTTCCCTGGCGGTCATTCATATGCTCGCTGAGTGCAGTGCCCCCCCCCTTCTTCCTCTCATGTCTCCTGCGTTGCCAGGGGCAACGCGTGACAGCATCAAGGCTGCACGCACGCCTGGGCCCAAGTGCATGCGTTTGCGTCCAGTGACAAACCATCTTCACAAACAGGGTGTTCCGGCGCGGATGCACTGTCGAAAACAATCAAGACCAATTTCACACCAATTTTAATTTAAACTTTTTGCTGCGTACGCTGGCGTGGTGCACGTACCTCCCACTTAAAAACCGTTTTTATTAGATTTTCGTGCCGCGTCGCCGCATTGCTACGCATGATTCTCTCAACCTGAATCCGAAATGGAATGATCACTTCCATTTTCTCCCTCTCCCATTCAACGTCGCGTACTCCATAATTTTCCAGAAGGGCTTGGCTCGCCCAGCTCCGATCCGCACCTCTTGTCAGTCCGTAGAGCAGCGCGGTTCCTTTTGAGCTGGCACGCCTCGGATTTGACCCCTTCCCCTTTCCGCCGCCTCCTCCAACTCAATCATCGGTGATTCTATAAATAAGGCCGTTGTCACCCGACATGGCAATGACCCGTTTTTTCCCAAAACAGACGACAGCGATCGACAACACTCCCTGCCACTGCGGCGCACTGCGGCCGGCGTGCCTTTGATTAGCGCAGTCCAAGGCCGGGACCGCTCTGTCTCTCTCGCACATAAACGGGACGCCGCACGCGTTGGAGAGAGACGGAGCGACGAAAGCAGTGCTCGGAATCAGACGGCAGGGCAGGCCGATGACACTGTCTCCGTCTCTGTCACGGCGTCGGCATGAGCGTCGGCTTGACAGCGACCCGCTCCACTGACATGGGCGATGAGCGCGTCCCGCTTTGACAGGATCGGCCATAACCGCGACAAAAACAAACACAAAAATACAGACAAAAACAAAGACAAAGACAACAGAACAGAGTCGTCAGTGACGAACGGCTTAGCCGAGGCGGAGGCGGCACTACCCCGCGTACAAGTTACCTCATCCCACGGCGCCGCCGCCCTGCCGCCGCGGGCAAGTTCCGAGCGGTGCTTCTCTGTCTCTCTCGCACCAACGGCACGCCGCACAGTGGGCCAGAAGACCCGTGCAGCGGCCAAAATTCTACACGCGTTTTGAGCTCCAGAGTCGCTAGATGGGACTCGAACTGAACGTGTGACCCCACCAATGGATCGCTCTCCGAACGAGGAATCCATTGGTGGGGTCACACGTTCGGTTCGAGGCCTGCTTAGCGACTCTGGAGCTCAAAACGCGTCTAGAGTTTTGTCCACCTCCACTGGTCTTCTGGCCCACTGTGGGACGCGCGGACTCAAGGTGGCCGTCGGTGCACGGCGTGGTTGCAGGTACGACCAGCGCCAGGATGGCGACTCCAACGTGGACGCGCGCCTGTCCAACTTCTTCGTGGTGCTGGCGCCCTCCAACACGGCCCAGCTGAGCAACACGGGCGTCAGCCTGCTGGACCTTGCCTCCAAGGCCGTGCCGCTGCGCCTCCGCCCCCAGGCCGCCGCCGACGGCCTCAAGCAGCGCGAGGAGGCCGACCAGCCCGAGCAGGTGAGCGGCAAGCCCGCCGCACAGTGGGCCAGAAGACCGGTGGAGGTGGCCAAAGTTCTAGACGCGTTTTGAGCTCCAGAGTCGCTGAATGGGACTCGAACCGAACGCGTGACCCCACCAATGGATTGCTCTCCGAACGATGAATCCATAGGTAGGGTCACGCGTTTGGTTCGAGTCCTTTAGCGACTCTGGAGCTCAAAACGCGTCTAGAATTTTGGCCGCCACCACCGGTCTTCTGGCCCACTGTGCCTCGCGCGCGGTCTCTCTCACACTCGCGGGCGTTCCGCCGGGAGCGAGAGAGACAGCGACGGAACGGCGATTGGAGCCGCTTGGACTTGCCCACTTTCGGTGTCTTTGTTCCTGCAGGAGGTGAAGGAAGTGAAGACCGGGCGCTCGGTGCAGCCAGGGCAGACAGTGGTGCAGACAGTGCAGGGCCCCCTGGCCGCCGTGGCCATCCCCGCCGCCATCCTGCAGTCGCCCCTCGCCAAGCTGCACCCCGAAGTGCAGGTAAGGGGCGGTCCGTGGCCCAGCCCGCCTTGGGCGAGGCCTTGGGCGAGGCCTTGGGGCCATTTGGCCGATCCCCCAACCGATAGAAAAAGGGCTCGCCGAATTTGGACCGCCTCTGGAGTCGATGTTCCGGATTCCACACCACAGCCGAGTTCATACTCTCATAATATGAACTCTCCCGTTGTGGCAGAGACATGATTTGTTTTTTCATGTTAACAAATGGCGATTTGCTCCTCGAAAGAAGGACCAGTTGTCTCAGTCCCAGGGCTCCTCGGAAGAGGTCCGTGAAGGTGAAGGTCGGGTTGGCGTCTAACGCGGTGACGGCGGTGATGTTTGGTAGGCCCTGGCCGTCGAGGAGGTGCTGATTGCCCGCTCCCCCGTGGTGGCCCTCAAGACGCCCCCCGGCCCCACCCCCATCGGCGCGCCGTCCGCCGCCGTGCCCATGCTGGTGGCCATCCCCGTGCCCGAGGTGGCCCCCGAGCGCCCGGCAGCACCCCCCGCCCTCCTGCCCATGCACCCCCAGGGCGACAAGCAGGCCCCCGCCGCCCCCGCCGCCGAGGCCGCTGCGATCATCGCTTCTGAGGCCATCGCCGTCCCGCAGGCCGCCGCCATCCCCGAGCCCATCGCCATCCCCGAGGCCGCCGTCAACCCCGAGGTCGCCGTCAACCCCGAGGTCGCCGCCATCCCGGAGGCCGCCGCCGTCCCCGAAGCCGCCTCTCTCTCCGAGGCCATCGCTGCCGCCGAGGCCGTGGTCGCCGCCGCCGACGAAGTGGACGCCCCCGCCCCTGCCATCGCCGAGGTGCTCGAGGCCGCCGCCGAGGCCGCCGCCCCCGTCGAGAACGCCCCGCCCGCCGTGGAGACCAACCAGGTGGAGCCAGAGATTGTCAAGCAGGTAAACGAGCCCCTCAACTCATCCATTGCCTCCAGCTATTTTGGCGAAGCTGTTCATTCCCTTCTTCGCGTCCTCCAGGTGGAGCTCCCCAAGGTGCACCTGATCGGCACGGGCATCGAGGAGTGCGGCCCCGAGCGCGTCCGCAACCAGGAGGGCGTCTGCGTGGACGAGCCAAAGCAGGACTAGTAAGCCCCAAATTCTTCTGCGATTTCAAATTTATCTGGATTAATTTATTTCTGTCATCGCGCTGTTTTTCCAGGGATGAAGGAGCCGTCTAAGGAAAACTCGCGCGCTGTGAATACCGTTGCCATTGCTGTCGTAGATGCCAGACCTTCGTGTTATTTATGTTTTTGTACTATTTATTTATTTATTGTCCGTGAAAAATAAATGTTATGAAAGTGACTGCCATGATTACTGCTAACCGAATGACAAGAAAGTTGGATAACACTGGTCCGAGTCCAGGCCCCTCCCAGGCTTTGCATAACTCGGCCTGCGGACCGTGTCCGAGAGTCCTTTTCTTCGCTCTGCCTCTCTCGCACTCACGGGGCGTCCCTTGTGGGTGCGAGAGAGACAGAGCGACGAAAACGACTCTCGGAATCAGTCCGCCGTACCGCCAAAATCCGCCTCCACGTCGCACACCCGAGGGGAGGGGCAGACAAACGCGTTCTTGCGAAACCTGAGCTTTGACTACGTGCAGCGCAGCACGCCAATCTCAGGAACTCGATAAAAGGAGTACTAGGAAGCGAGGTTTGCTACGCTGAGGCGGCCAAATTTGCAGACATGACAGCGAGCGGCATCTGTGGGACAACCACCGGAGAGACCTCTTCAAATGAGCCAAATTTGCAGTTTACTTTGCCTGCCCTGGCTTCGCGTCCCCCGCCACGCCCCACCCCGCCCCGCCCCGCCCCGCCCCGCCCCTGCCCTGGTGTGCCCCCTCCCTCCCACCCCCACCCCTCACTCTCGCTTTCGCTGGCCCCTCGCGTCGGCAGAGACGCACTCCGGACAGTAGTCAGTGACCAACTACCGGCCCGGCGCCTCCAAGCCTCCCTCGGTTGTCCAGGATCACAAGCAAGGTAAACTGGGTGTGGCGGAAGCCGAGAAGCCGAAGGGCTGTCTCTCTCGCACTCATGGGGCGTCCCCTATCGGTGCGAGAAAGACAGAGCGACGAAGACGACGCTCAGTCCGCAGTGTGAGGTTTGGCTTCAAATCACGGACAGGCTTCCCCACTCAGCTTGCAATAGACGGAGCAGCGTGTGTGAAGAGGGACAGAAATTGTCACCGACGGGATGTCAGTCAACTGCGGCTGGTTTCCTGGAAGGCTGGAAGCTGTGGTTGGTCGCTCGGAAGGCAAAGGTGGCATTTCGCCAGGGACGAAATTGCTTTCAACTTTAACGGTGTGTCCGTCGTATCCTATCGCGGCATTTTCATCGACTCTCATATAATCTCCGCGTGTACCGTTTACCTGCGCACCGCCGAAACCTTTTGACCCGACAAGGACCACGGCATGGCCGCCGTGGCAGTCCCGTTGCGGACAGCAGTCCGGCCAGTAATTTTGCCGCTCACTCGCTCTGTCTCTCTCGCACTCGGGGGGTGTCTTCCTTCCGTGCGAGCGTGCGAGAGAGACAGAGCGACGAGGCAAATGACGCGCGTGCGTGCCGCCCCGGCCAGCAAAGCCGGCAAGGCTGAACAGAGTGTCTCCGTCTCTCTCGCACTCACGGGGCGTCCCGCATGGGTGCGAGAGAGACGGAGTGATGAGGAGGCGATGGCGGTAATGACAGCCTCGGCTTGAACCGAGCGGGAAGGACAAGAAGCATTCCAGGCTCGGCGGCGGGAGTAGAACCCCTCACAAGTTTTGATCCGTTTCCACTGGGCTGCCGGCGCCAGCGAGTAGTCCGGGATTTTGACCGCCTCCTCCGGTCTTTTGGCCCACTGTGCGCTCTGCACTCCGCTCCGGTGGCACGAGGCGGTGGCGGCGCGGCATCTGGGTCGCGGCATGGACGCGGCGTCAAGTCCGTCAAGTCCGACTTTTAGCGGGCCGGGCCGTGCCGGGCCGGCCTCTGGGTCGCGGCATGGACGCGGCGTCAAGTCCGTCAAGTCCGACTTTTAGCGGGCCGGGCCGTGCCGTGCCGGGCCGTGCCGTGCCGGGCCGGCCTCTGGGTCGCGGCATGGACGCGGCGTCAAGTCCGTCAAGTCCGACTTTTAGCGGGCCGGGCCGTGCCGTGCCGGGCCGTGCCGTGCCGGGCCGGCCTCTGGGTCGCGGCATGGACGCGGCGTCAAGTCCGTCAAGTCCGACTTTTAGCGGGCCGTGCCGTGCCGTGCCGGGCCGGCCTCCCGGATGCGCTGCAAGTCCGAACCGCGGACCGCGGCCAATAAACAACGGCGGTAGTGCCGATCCCTTTCGATTAGTCGATTAGTCTTTACGACCCTCACCGCCAGTCCGACGCAGTCAGCCCTGCCGCTCCAGTCCGCGCTCTGTCTCTCTCGCACGCCCTGGATGACGCTATGAGCGCGAGAGTGACAGAGCGGTGCAGGCACTGCGCGGAGTTTCGGGATAGGCCACAATCAGTGCGCACCGATTGGAGCCCGGCCGCTAGCATGGCAGTGACAGAGACAGGCGGCCTTTTCGAACGTGCCCCCCTCTTTCTCTCTGTCTCTCTCGTTCTCTTGCCCCGCTCGCCGATCCGGGCGGCGATCAGGTTTGGCGCCTTTCTCTCTTGTTGAGCGTAGCAGCGTAGCAGCGCAGCGGGCCCCAATGTCTCGTCTACACTGTGTGTGTGTGTGTGTGTGTGTGTGTGTGTGTGTGCGTGTGCTTGTGCGTGCGTGTGTGTGTTGGCGTCTAGTCCGTCGCACGGTACATCACATAATGCTTATGGGCTGCGCGGCGGCGCCTCGCGGTGGTGAAAGCGTCCGGCCAGAGCCAACGTCGCGGTCCACGTCCACAGAACCGGAAGAACAGCACGTGTGCGTGTGTGTTTGTGTGTGTGTGTGTGTTTGTGCGTGTGTGTGTGATTGTGTATGTGTGAGAGAATGTGAATGTGTGTGTGTGCGTCTTGCGCTCAAAGGCCGAATCACACTACAGGTCGCAGGCCACCAACAATCAGTGGCGGTTCGAAAAGGGCCGTCAGTACGGTCAGTAGACTGATTTCCGAGGGCCGTTTTCGTCGCTCTGTCTCTCTCGCACTCATGAGGCGTTCCCTGCCGGTGCGAGAGAGACAGAACGACGGAGACGACTCTCGGGATGAGAGACAGCAGCTGACGCGAGGCCGGCATCGTCTCTTGTTCCAGGATGGCGGAAAGCCCGATGTCCACGGTGCTCTTCATCTCCGTGTTCGTGTTCCTCTTCTTCAAGTTCTGCCTGGGCGTGCCCCAGCTGCCGCCCGTCGGCGTGCTGTCCCACCTGGGGCCGCTGGCCGCCTCCGCGCACCGCGACCTCCACGACGGCGGCCTCACCGACCGCCAGAACATGGCCGTGGACCTGGCGGCCCTGGCGGCGCCACTGCCGCTGGTGCGGAAGTGCCCCGTGGGGACGGTGTACAGCGTGGCGGTGGGCGGCTGCAAGGACCTGGTGCGCTCCACCAAGGAGTAAGTCGGCGCCGTGGCCGAGCGCCCAGCGTGGCGGCGGCCGGGTTGGGCATCCGAGGTTCGACTCCCGGCGGCTCCCACTCTCACCATGCGCTCTTTCCGTTTCAGTTCGTCGCGGAAACTGGAGCTGTTGATGCCGTACCTGTTGGCGGCCACCCGACACCAGCCGGGACAGTAGCGCGGTCGAAGCCAGTGGGCCGCAGCGATGCATCGAAACAAACCAAGCTCAACACCCAAGTGCCACTTTCTCGTTTTTGTTGTTTTCTGTAACGTCGGTATGTTATTGTAAATATATTTGTTAAGTTTGTCAACTGTACGTTGCGCCTTGTCATTGTTGCCGAATGCCCCTTCTCCCGCTCCGCCTCTCCCCCCCCCTCTCTCTCTCTCTCTCTTACGCCCAAGTGCGGGACGGTCGCTTTGTTTAACAGCTCCAGAAAGCACACCGGAAAGGGCGGATGTCGTTAATTACATTAAAAGTTGCTCGTAATCGTCATTCATTCCGCGCGCCGGGAACCTTTTTACGACCCGGGGATGGAAAAAGGGAAAAGGGAAGGGGGGCAGTTTCCCGTTTGCTTTACGATGCGTGCCTGGAAGGACCTGGAAGGACCTGCAAGGACCTAACTGCGCCACAACGACCAGCGCAAAGCTTTCCGCGGGTTTCTCCATCAAGCGTGTATCACTCTTCGCAACGCACTGGTGTGGAGACCGCGGCCGCTTCAGCGCCTGCGAGGTAGGCCACCGTTCCGTCTCGCAGCGCACCGGTGTGCAGACGGTGGCCTACCTCGCCCCTGCCTAGCGCCTGGCACGGCGAAGATAGGCCACCGTCTCCACACCGGTGCGCTGCGAGTCGGAACGGTGGCCTACCTCGCAGGCGCTAAAGGGCCACGGAAGCGGCGCTCTGCCTGCCGTCTGATTCCGAACACTGCTTCGTCGCTCTGTCTCTCTTGCACCCCTACGGACCGCCCCATGAGTGCGAGAGAGACAGAGCGACGAAAGCAGTGCTCGGAATCAGACGGCTGGCTCTGCCCTGGCGGCCATGGCCGGAACACTGCACCGCGCCGCGCCCAGCCGCTGGTCGTGCGGACTTGGACTTAACGTGTGAATGCGGTGCTGTACGCAGCGCCTGGAAATGACCATTTAAGTGGTACACTTTGCGTTAGCAGCCGATTCGGCCCGCCGTGCCGCGCCGTGCCGCGCCGTGTGGTTTAACGGGAGCTCCACCATTCGCACGACCATCAGGTCAAGCACCCATCCCGTCTCGTCCCGGCCACGGCCACAAATCGCCCCCCCTCCCCCTCACAGGATTCTGTCGACTCCCCCCCCCTCTACCCAGCACTGCCTGCTTTTTCCGCGCTTCGCCCTCTCTCTCTCTCTCTTTCTCTCGTCTTATTTTTGCTCCGCAGCAGCCGATGGCCACCGGTAGCCCAGTGGACCGCTACCGCTTGCGTTGGCCTGCCTGAGCTGAGCGCGCCCGACTGCACTCAGGCAGGGGTAGGTCGGGGCGCGACTTTTGCGCGACACGTTGCCTGAAGCTGCCTTTCACCCACAGAACACGAAACGCTCACAGTGACGTCATTTTGAAGTCAATGACTCAAAATTTCGACAAAAAAAAACATTATTTTGACGTCATTTTGACGTCCTTTGACTGCTTCGTGAGTGTTTCGTGTTCTTTGGGCAGGCGCCTTGACTTGCTTTGTTACTAAGGGTCCACTACTTTTCGGGGGGCGTCCATCTCACATTCTTGGTCTCACAAGTTGTTGAGGCGACCAAGAACCGCGAAATAATGCAAAACAACGTGTTTGCTTTTCGGTGTGTGTCGGTGGTGCACTGGTGGGGCGGGTGCGACAGGCACCGCGGTGTGGCTTTCCAGGCAGTCGCCTCTGTGTTACACTGGTACACTGTTACACATGACGAGAACACGCGTCTCACTGACCGCGCCGTCACGGACTCAAATAACGTGCCTGTCTCATCACGGGAATCATTATCCCAGAGGGTCGATGCCCCGCACCTCTTTTCTCTCCTCCTCCTTCTTCTTCTCCTCGCCCGCGCGGCCCTGCCAGGGCCTGCACGGATCAACAAAGGCTTGACACCTCTCTACACCCCTTGTTCCTGGCCGGACGAAACCCGGGATGTCGTGTCATAACGATAAGTCAATGCGAAAGAGTGCCGACCACCCGTGTCTGCCTGGCCCAAACTGCCGCACTCGGGAGCTTCGCTCTTGCTTTGGAATTTTCTGGTCCTGCGTACTATAGTTAGTAGTCTACAGTCATTTGATTTATTACAGCAGTGAGTGGGGGTTGAAAGTTGTCTTCGACGAGACTGAATCCACTTTGGACGGGAATTTCTCCTTTCATGCCCATCTTAAATCGCAAGTGAGTGGGTGAAAGTTGGCCAGGAGGCGCGGGGGTTGAAATGTTGGTACACCTGTATCCGAGTGAGACAACTGCGAGGAAAAAGGAATGATTGCTGGGGAGTAAAAACACGAGATGGGCGTTGAAATATATGAGCGTTTATTCCACACTTTACGGGACACAGCCATAGAGGGCAGGCCTTGGGGCAGGCCTGAGGCCTCATCCCCTCCATCATTCCTCTCGTGACAATAAATAACTTAAATAATTTAAAGCAAAATAAATTATCAATCTTTCAGATGTGAGAGAGAATTAAACGAGTTGGCTCGCTGGGATCACAGGTACTCTTCAGCTCTGCTGCACTTGTTGCCGGCGGAACAGCGGCAGGAGCAGGCTGGCCAATCGAAGCTGCGAGCGGCTGCAACAAAACAACAACAAATCACCCACGCGGTAGCGATAGGATAGGCCGAGCGTCGGTGCAGCCCCTGTGCAGTTGACGCAAGTCGAAACGACGACGTCACGGCGCGGTTTCGGCTAAACCACGGTTGCCACCTAAGTGGACGAAAATTCTCACGACACACCAGTGTCTCAAAAGGGTTGCCAACTGTTGCGTCGTGAAAATTTTGCCTCCCTTTCGTTACATCGACTTGTCATAAATCCGAAATGCGCGATGCCATGATCATGTAGTGACAAGGCAAGAGCAAAGACGCCTCGGTCCATTTCCACCTGCGGTTTTCGACGGCGCCCTTAATTACATCGCAATGCAACCTTACGCGAGGAGCGCAGAGCGCACGGCCTACAAAAATAAAACGAAACCGAAGGCCTGCCGAAGGCGGAGACAAAGAAAAAGGAAGCAGAGCGAGGGGTCCGAGCCCAGGCTGCCTAGCCAGCCGCCCAGCACTGCTTTTCGCCGCTGTCTCTCTCGCGCCCACACGGGTCGCTCGCGTCGCTCCACCAGCGCGAGAGAGACAGACCGACGAGAGCGGTGTTCGGCTGCTTGGCCGGAGCAGCCGGCGTCCCTAGAGGACCGCCTAGCTCGCCGGGGCGTCGGCCTCCGGAGCCAAAGCAGCCAACGCAGCCAAAGAGAAGGAGGAGGCCGTGGAGACGGAGGGTCGCTCGCTCCCGCTTTGCTCCCGCTGCACCATTAGGCCGGCCAGGCAACCCGCCGGAGGAGCACTAGAAACTAGAAACGGCCGAGTACGGCTCACATCTCACAGGTAAGCGATTCTGTTCTCAAAACACTGTTGTTGTTGACAAACGTTTCCTACGGAGCGGCGTGGAGGCTTTTTGTGAAACAGATTCTCTCTCTCAACGGCATATGGTGGGTGGTGGGGGTGAGAAATGAATGATGGATGATACAGGCGAGACCATACTGTGTTCGGTGGCGGAGCAATCAGATCCCAAACAGAAACGGATGGCGGGAACGACAAGGCCGCGCGCTGTTTCACCCACGCGCCCCATTTGACCAATTTGACGCGTGTCGGAGCTGGAACGACGTCGTCGCAACCACTCTATCCGAATCCGTTTGGGACTGATGAGACTTTGGCTCGGCTTTCGCTTGCTTTCGCTTTGGTGCTGGCTGCCTAGTAGGCAGTGCCTACCTGCGCTAGCTGCGAGGTGGTGTCGTGTGTAGTGCTGGACGGAAGGGGCCCGGCCCGGTTCACAAAAGCAATCTGGGAACACAGAAAGTATGGGCCTGTACTCGGGGAGCACTGAGGCACTACCAGACGGACCAGACGCGGCGAAGGAGGAGCGAGGATCAACCGCGCGGCCGAGTGAACGAGGGGCAGCCAGGGAAGGCCTAGTAAGAAACATGGGAAAGGGTTGTCGCGTGGGGCGGCGAGGGCGCCAAGACCGCGTCCATTCTAACGCCTGCTCCGGGACTCTGAGGCGGTACTCACGATTTGGCGGGCAGGGGACGCTTCTTCTTGCAGCCGGGGGTTCCCTCCTGGCAGGCGGGCTGCGGCTTGGTGCCGGCGGCGCCGGGCTTGCTGGGCTTGACGTCGTTGTCCTCGGCGCCGGCCTGCTGCTGGGCCACGATGTCCAGGAGCTGCTGCTCCAGCGCGCCGCCCTGGCCGCCGGCCGCGCCCGCCACGGACATGAGGGCCTCGGGCGGCGCGACCACCACCACCATGCCGTCCATGTGGATGCGGTAGTTCTCGGAGCCGTTCTGGCGCTGGTCGTAGAACTCCTCGCCGGGCTGCAGGGGGGTGTTCTCGGGCAGCGGCGCGGCGGCGGGGGCGGGCGCCGCCGTGGTGGTCGTGGGGGCGGCGGGGGCCGCGGCGGCGCCCGTCAGCAGGGCGGCGACGGCCACCAGGAGCAGCGAGGACATGGCGGAGGGCATGGCTGTGGTGTGCCGGTCCGGAGCGCGGCGCAGAGCGTAGTGAGGACTAGAGACTGCCTCTGCCTGCGCTGCGGTGCGGCCAGGCTTGGCTTGAGCGGCTTGAGCCGCGCCAGAAAAACACGCCTTCCCTCTTCCCTGCCGGCCTGCCCGGCCTGCCCGGCCTGCCTAGCGACCGGCCGCCGCGCACCGCCACGCCTACCGCCGCAGCGACGGGCAGGGGCGGTGGCGGCGAGGCAGGGAGGGCCTGCAGCGGACAGGGCCTGGAGCGGCCTGGACCACGTCGCCCAGCCACCGCCACCGGCCACCCTGCTCTAACGGGCCGCCAGCCCGACGGCCTGGCCATGGCCTGGCCGACGCGCAGGATGCAAGACACAAAGTACTTTGTGATGCAGGACTGCAGGACGCTCGGCGAGGCCTGGGGCACTCGGTGCCCCCCACCTCCATGCTAGGCGCCGCCAGGCATGCCAGGTCCAGGCCGAGGCCGGGGCCGCCTGGGCCAGGCTGCTCATCACGCATTAGCAGCGTTGCGGGCCATTTTGTTCTTAAAAATTAGAGGAGAGTAGAAATTTGGTATGACACAGTTCAGTGCCTGTAATGAAAGTACAGTATTTCTTACAAAATTGAAATTTATTTAACATTATCACTCCTCTTCTTCTTCTTAGGAACATTGGAATTGATTAATGGCATATCCTACTCTTCCAGTTAAATAATAAAATCAACAGTCAAGCTAATATTTTTGTGGTAACTATTTATTCTACGCCGACAAAAATTAGTCAAAAAACTGCTTTGCTGATCTTACTACAGTAGCAATAAAATTCAATGTCAAAGGTCTACAGCTAGAAATCACAATGCAAAGACCAAATACATTTATGGTAAAACTAACACTAACATTTGTATGTGATTAAATTAGGATTTGGAATTGACTTTCCATTAAACTTAACAAGCTCCAAAAATATTTAGGAAAAAAAAAAACAAGATAAGAGATCAGTTCAATACAACAATAACATTTCTGTTTCACTTGAAGTAGAATGTCATTTAAAATGTAATGAAACAGTTACAAAATTTTACCTGCTAAACGTTTTTCTTTAGGGGTGTGTTTGTAATACACAGCAATCTGTGACAATATATGAAAAACAGCTTCAGATGTAGTCGAGCCAAATGTCTTGCGCCATTGAAATTCTGCGACAGTTGGCTTTGCACTGTTGAATGTCTTCGTTTGAAGAACTGTACAAAGATCTGCAGCATCACTCCAAATATTTTCTGCAAATAAATGTGTTCATTGTAGTAAGGAGCATGGAACAAGTAAGTATATACTGGAATGAAGTAGCACTCACCAAGTATGCTCATGATTGAGTGATCACCAGTTGAAATAATATTATTAATTGTTGTGACAGACTCATATATTCCAAGGCTATGTAATGAACTAGCAACATAGGGCAATACTTCATCGTTTACGACAACCAATGATCCAGGCACAATGTAGGCCACAGCCACTTGCACAACAGCATTCGCTAATTCAAGGTTCCTAATGTACTCTTCATGTATTTTCACCCGAAGGGCTGCTTCCTGTCTCAAAGCCCTTGTCTTTGGACTCACACGAGGTTTTCTGTCCTTTTTTTTGTTCTTTCCTGTATTTGGAGTAGAGATGGATGAAACATTTTCTTCTTCAAAATCAACATTTATATCACTATCTTTCACAATATGTATCATGCATTTTTCTTCGTCAACTTTTGTTTCTTTACCACGATCATTTTTTTTGCCTTTTTTCTCCTGTTTTGTATTTGAACTTGACAAGGATGAAACATTTTCTTCCTCAAAATCAACATTTACATCGCCATCTTTAATATCATGAATCATCACAAAGTTTTCTTCCTCTTTCATTTCTTTAAGTTTTTTCTCTGGACACTGAAGCTTTTGCTTTTCTTGATTCTTTCTCTTGCTACCTGTTTGGCACTTCTTCTCAATGCCTTGTTTCAGTCTTCCATCTTCTGGAGTAATAGCTACCTCTTGTTGCTCCCTAAGGATGCGGGACTCAGGCCTCTTTGATTGATTATCAGTATCACCATTTATATTCTCACAAAAATCCTGTCCACTTTCAGAATTTTTGTCACAATTCAGATTGACAGCTTCATTGGTATCTGATTCAGGACTCAAGAAAACACCAAAATCTAACTTAATTTTTTCAAACTCTTCTTTTACCTGAGAAAAGGGAATAATCTTTTTCAGCAACTCTAATTAATTAGATATCTAAGGTTAAAATAGAAGCCTTATTCATTACCTCTTGTATATCGCTTTTTTGAGGGGGAAGAAGATGTGCCACATATCGAACTGGAACATGATTAGTATCAGCGATCCATAACACCCTTAAACGATCCTTATAGGACCTTTTTAGTTTGGTGACAAACAATCCATCCACTGCTATAGAGCCACCTGGCCATAAATCTAAAAGAGCAACAGAGCCTTCACCACCTATGGACCAATCTTTGGGATGCTGATCACTATCCAAGTAGATGGATATGGTTTCGATGCATTGCTGGTAGATTTGGTTTACAAATGTAATTTTCATTTCTGAATCAGGGAGAAGAGACAAATAGTATAAATCAAAGTTTAACAAAGTTAAAAAAGATTTCTGGTTTCTTTTTTGTTTGCTTTTTAAATTTTGATGCACAGTAAATTAACTTATTTGGATCAGTACCATTTCCTTACCTAATGTTTGACTGGCTAATGTTGCAGGCTTCTTATTGCTCCATGCCATGACACAGCTGAGAATTTCCCTTATGGAATATGGAATGTTGTCAAAAAAGGAACCCTGGCGAATCGAAAAACTGTAAGCCAGAGAATTCAATTACTCAGTTTGAAGAAACAAGACCATACAACAATGGCTTAAAGCTAGTTAGAATTTATACCTTTTCCCACAATCTTCACACACCCATAAATCAGTGGCATGTTGGAGGCACAACTTTGTCTTGGCACAATCGATGCAACCAGCAGGAGTTTTTAACAAATTCTTCCGGAGTAACCAGTCATAAAGTTTGCGATCATCGCTCCTTCTGATCAGAGGCGCTAGAAACTCCTGTGAGAATGAGCTGGGGCAGTTTCTGACGAAAAAATAAACAGGAAACATGAGTAGATGGTAGATGCAGGGTTTACTTACTTGTAATAAAATAACACATAGGAAACTTACTCATGATAATTGTCGCTGTCACTTGGGCTCTTGGCTTTGTGAACAGGCTCTCCATCCGAGTCGCTGGGGCACTGGCAAGGCTGTTCGCGTGTTTCGAGTGGGGCCTGGGCAGCCTGGGCCGAGGCCGAGGCAGCAACGTTTTCTGACTCTTCGCTCTCGCAGGTTGACATGATAAGCTGCTGGGCTGGAGGCTGGAGGCCCCCTCGCTCTGGCTGGAGCTGGAGTAGACCCCGACGCCGGCAGCGCAGGCAGCACGGACACGACGAGGACTGCACCACGAAGACACGGGGCCTGCCAGGGCAAAGCGTGGAGAAGAAGGACAGATCAGAGACGGCGAAAGCGCTGCGCGCTCCGTGATCCACAAGAAATAATGCTCCGGCCAGCAAAACTGGCAACAGGTAACGAGGAACGGAGGTTATACCTCGGCCGACTCTGACTTTGTAAACAAACAAAGGGTGCCGGGAGACGAGGACGAGCCCGCGGTGGGGAGTGGGGGGAGGGAGAGGGAGGGGAGGGGGAGCGCGGGAAGATGCAGCTGCTGGAGAAGCTGCCGACCGTTTAATTTTCCATACTCCGTGTATGAGAAACGTTACAGTAATCGGGGGAGAGGGAGGACAGGGGCGACTAGGGTGACCAGGGTGGGAGGGAAGCCCCCCCAAGCCTTGCTCACAACCTTACAAGCTTCGCGGGCTAACTGTCATTTGCGGCAAGTCATGGCACGGCTTGTACCGATGCCAGCCACTATAAAATGTGGCATCTCCGGTCCGGACAGGGAGCTTTCTGACAGGCGCGGGTGCAGGCTGATGGGGTCCTGTATCGCTTCTCGCCTGCTTGCAGGGGCAAAGTAGTGCTGTGCCTACCTTCCAGGCGGCCTGCCTGGTGCCCAAGGAGGGGGTGGGTAATTAAACAGCGCTTTCGCTAGCACACAGTGGGCCACCTCATGTCCATGCTGCCGCAGTTTCGTCTAAAAATAGTTGATTCCATCAGTCTGGATTCCGAGGAGTCTTTCCGTCGCTCCATCCCTCTCGCTCTCATGGGACGCCCCGTGGTGGTGCGAGAGAGACGGAGCGACCGGATGCCCCGCGCCAGTCGGTGACTGCCGCGCCCCGCCAGGCCACGCCAGGCTGCCAGCACACTGCCAGCATGCTGCCAGGGCCGCGTCCCCCAAGGAGGTCATGAAGGTCTCCAGGTGGGTGGTGCGCTCCAACACACATGCGATTGGATAAGGCCCGTTGTTCTGCGTCGGCTCCGTGACTTGTTCTTCCGCCTGGCAGATGACAGGATTGATTGAATCAGAATCGCACGATGCATCGCCGAGTCCGCGTCGTGACCGCGGTACAATTCGCATTTCCAGTGGCCCAGGAGCTCATTTCGGAACTATTTTAATCCTGCGATGCCGTTTTTCAGACAATAACTTGTGCAGGATGTGGTGGAAACCCTGGCACATTACTCAGCTCCGGGACCCTCGAACTCTCGTGGAACGCTCCCAAGAACACGAAACACTCTCGATGCAGTTTTAAAAAAAATCAAAATAACGAAAATTTTTCGAAATTTTGACCATTATTTGCCTTATTGGCCGTCACGAGGAGCGTTTCGCGGTCTTGGGGGCTGAGCGCAGAGCGGCCCTGACCGCGTGTAGCGAATGCGACTCAGAAGGCCTTGGTGAAAGCCTTGCCGAAAGCCCTAACGAAATCCTGGACGGGGACCGTTGACACCGCGAGACAGCCTCGACACGCCAAGGGGCGGGGGGCGGCTGGGGGGGCCTGTAGGGGGGCTCGGCGGTGACTGGCACCCCCGGGGCACCTCCACCCGCCTCCTGCCCCCCAGAGGGCCCACAGGCGTGCCTAGAGGCCCCGGAGGCTCCGGAGGCCCCGGAGGGCAGGGGCACACGCGAGGTGCCCCTATCAGGCAGTGCCACAGCGTACCCCCACCCCCGCGAAGACATTCGGGGGCTGGGGTGCACTGCGGGGCCTGCGGTGCCGCGGCCGCGCAAGGGGATCACAGTGTCACGGGGACAGCCATGCTGCGCACAAGGAGAGGACCTCGGCTCACGTAAGCAGAGTGGCGCCTAGGCGCACCCTGGGCCCTGCACGGTGAAAACTGTTCCTGGTTTTCCCAGGAACTCCCTGGAAATCGCCTATGCCTCCACCATTGACCTCCTGGGAAAACCAGGTTCCGTTTTTACCGTGTGGGCCCTGGGGAAGGCTTGGACCACCCGGTACTTGTTTGTGCCAACTCGCCCGGTGTAGGCACTGGCTTGAGTGAGTGCTTTTCCGACCGCAACGTTCTTCCAAGCTTTGGGAGAATTTCAGAGCGCCGCGTCTTTCAAATCAAATCAAATTTGTGCAAAAAGTGCGCGTGCACAAAAAGCTGTGATATGTCTCGTAAAAAAATTGTACAAAAACATTTAGGGTGGGTGTAGCTAAGGGTTGCCTGCACGACCGCTTCTCCGACTGGGTTTGGATCAATTGAATCGCCTCCTGGTGGTAGATAGTCTGTGGCCGAAAGGGGGAGGGGGTGCTTCTGCTTGGCAAACCCTCGCCTTAGTTTCACTGGATGCACCAATGTAGAATAGAATCACTCAAGTTAGTATGAGGAGGAGAAGGGAGCCGCGAAGCAGCGACCTGACAGACTAGGCTGGGCAATCCGCTCCGCAATGCCAAACGTTTTGCAAGTAGGCTAAGCCGGCCTGGCGAAGGGAATGACCCCATGACTCGTGTGTTCCTAATCGTCCATAAAGTCTCTAGCGCGGGGGGATGGGGTTGTCGCCTTTTTTCCTACCGCTCGTCCCAGAAGTAGGGTAGAGGGTGGCGGGGCAAGACAGGCCCCGCGGGCTGGTTCCAAACAGTGCTCTGTCTCTCTCGCACTCGAGGGGCGTCCCGTCGGGGTGCGAGAGAGACAGAGCGACGGAACGTGCGCAGCGCAAGCCTTGACTCGCGTGACTGGCGCTCGTTTAAGATCGTCTTTGCCGTGCAATATCCCCACCCCCGCCCCAGACCAGCCGTTCCTCCCGAATCTATGCCATCTGCTAAATCACACGTTCATGCGCCCCTCGCGCACACGCACAGCTCGCGTAACACCCTGTACAAGGTGGTACATTTGTTGCCGACACATTGACACACTGTTAATTTTTCGGGGGTGGCGGGGTGGCGCACAGTGGGCCAGTGGAGGCGGCCAAAACTCTGAACGCGTTTTGAGCTCCAGAGTCGCTAAATAGGCCTCGAACCGAACGTGTGACCCCACCAATGGATTGCTCTCCGAACGAGGAGTCCATTGGTGGGGTCACACGCTCGGTTCGAGTCCTGTTCAGCGACTCTGGAGCCCAAAACACGTCTAGAGTTTTGGCCGCCTCCACCGGTCTTCTGGCCCACTGTGTGGCGGGAAGCTAGAGCTAGCTCTGCTGTTCACCAAGGGTTGTGGTGCTGGTGCGGCGAACCCTGACAGTAGTCTCCGTCTCTCTCGCGTCCCTACGGGACACCCCGTGAGTGCGAGAGAGACGACGCGACGCCGATTCCCTGCCCTTGCCTTGGCCCACTCAAAATGCGTCCTTTCCCGTGTGCCACTTACAGTGCCTGCGGCGGCGGCGCTCCGCTGCGACGGTGTTCTTCGCTTCGACGGCGGCCCTGCACGTCCGGCGACTGCACCGACGCCAACTACAGGGAGACGGTGGCGCGGCTCCGAATGCTGCTCATGGACTCGTACCTGGTGCGTCGCGTGGTCGGCTCGGCTTCGCTCTGTCTCTCTCGCACCCGTATGCAGAGCTCTATGAGTGCGAGAGAGACAGACTCCTGAATCGCTCGGCGGAGAAGGGGTTTTCGCTGACGCGGCTGACGCTCGGTTTGTCCGTCCGCAGCCGTGCCGCCTGGCCGCGACGGACGCCCTGGTCAGCAAGTCGCCGGCCGGAATGGCGGACTTCATCGAGCGCCAGGAGGAGTACATCCAGCAGCTGGAGAAGGAGTCTCGCTACTGTAGGGTGAGTGTCTTGTCTTGTACGGGCACACAGTGGACCAGAAGACCGGTGGAGGTGGCCAAAATTCTGGACGCGTTTTGAGCTCCAGAGTCGCTAAATGGGACTCGAACCGAACATGTGACCTCACCAATGGATTGCTCTCCGAACGAGGAATCCATTGGTGGGGGTCACACGTTCGGTTCGAGTCCCATTTAGCGATCCTGGGGCCCAAAACGCGTCCAGAGTTTTTGCCGCCTTCACCGGTCTTCTGGCCCACTGCGGGACACCCTCACACCCAGATCAACTCGCGTACTCCGAACCAAGAGGCCGTCCCCTGTCCACGGAGTGGAGTGTTTCTATGCTGTATTGAACCGTAGTCTTCGCTGTGTGGTGGTTGCCCCGCAGGGCGAGCTTACCGGCCTCATGATGAAGCTCAAGGACCTCATCTCGGAGAACGAGGAGCTTATGAACGCCGTGCGAGACTCCCTGGCGCCTACCTCTCGCCCTGCCCTGCCCGAGACACAGGTGAGCCGGCCCCGACCCCGCGAGTATCGGAGTGGTCATTCCCCTCCCCAAGGCGATACTCCTCGACCAAGAGACTTTCAATGCTAGCCTCCCTGCGGGTGGAGTATCGCAGGGGTCATTCCCTGCCGCCGCGACCGAGAAGCAGACCGAGCGATACTCCGCGAACAAGAGACTTTCAATGCTAGCCTCCCTGCGGGTGGAGTATCGCAGGGGTCATTCCCTGCCGCCGCGACCGAGAAGCAGACCGAGCGATACTCCGTGGCCAAGAGACTTTCAATTGATCTCCCAGCGAATAGAGTATCGACGGTGTCATTTCTTTCACAGCTGATAAGCGTATAGATGAATGGCTCTGTCAATACCCCATGGTAGTAGGGCCTTGCCTAGAAAAGCCCTGCCGCGATTGGTAGCCCTTGGAGTGACCCTGGCCTGCCCTTCCGCAGGGTACTCGCTACAACATGGACCTGATCCGGCCGCAGTCCCTGAGGGAGCCCGGCTTGCTGTACGAGTCCCGCATCTCCGAGCTGCAGGCTCAGCTTACCCAGGCCCGTATCGAGTCCCAGTCCCTGCGGCACCGCGCTGGGCTCGTGGACTAGACCGCGGGCCAGTGCCCCCGCTGTCGCCCTGGCCGGACCCCCTGGGGGTGTGGTGGGGCCACCTGGGCTGGCTGCGCGCCGAGCTCCGCGCCGCCCCCGTCCCGGTCATCACCGAGGCCGAGGAGCCCCCCTCGGACGCCGTCGACTCGGCGCCATCGGAGCCCGAAGAACAACGAGATACCCCTCAAGCTGAAGATGTTCCCCAGCCCGAGCCTGCCGATCCGGAGAGTTTGAAGTCTGTCGAGCCGGAACCGGCAGTGGAGTGCCCCTCCCCCTGCCCGTCGGAGGCCGCCGATTTGGAGCCCCTGGAAGCCCTGCCTGAGCTGCCTCAGCCCGTCGAGGACGACGAAGCCTCTTCGTCGGGCTCTGCAGCCTCGGAAGCACAGCAGCTCCTCCAGCTCAGCCTGCCCGACAAGGAGGGCCCCAAGGCGGACGACCCTCCCGCGGCCCCGCCCCTCATCACCGTCAACGTAGAAGTCAAGTTCAGAGTCAGCAAGAAGGACAGGAAGCGGAGCCGGAGTTCCTCCAACAAGTGACGCAAACCTAGAGCTTTTCCATTGTCTTTATAGAAAATTTCTTTCGTTTCACAAGTCTCGTTCATTTATGCCATGAACGATGGTTTATTTAGCAGTTGTGAGGCTAAGCATAGCTTCATAGCTCCATATACTATAAATCAAAGTATGTGCTGGCACAGACATTGCTTTGCAGACAAACTGTACAAATGGATAGAGCGTAAATTTGAAGCTTGGAATAATTTAATATAATATATTGAAGCGTATTGAACATAACATAAAGATATTTGCATTTAATGTAGCACCAAGTCTTCTTCATCTTCAAACAGCACTTCGTCTAAAACTGAACAAAGAAAATCAAACAAAATTAAATTACAGGAGCCAAAAAGAGAATAAAATCAAAATAATGATCTCAAATTTGTCTCTCACCTTGCAGAGCACTTTCCAATCGTTTAAGATTTCTTAAAGTAGATGAAAGCTCTCTGGACGGACTTCTTATAGGAGAAGTAGGTGTTGATCTATCAACCTCTTCCAGGAGGTGTATTTGCATATCCAGCCGCTCAGCAGCAATGCTATCTGATTCATACAGGTACCTGTCAAAAAAATAAAAATAAAGAATGAAGCAGATTGGACAATGAATCATCAAAATTTTGTACACTTTTAAATAAGTCTAATGAATTAAAATATTGTAAAAATATTACTCTTATGTGATATTTAAATATTTCATTAATTAGAAAAGTAGCATAGATCATTATCAATTGACTATTATCAAAATACGTTAGCCTAAAATTACCTTAGCTTTTTGAGCAGATTGCTTGAACTACATTTCAGCTTTTGGGAAAGTCCAGATACAGCTACAATAACAAGACTGTCCATGGTCTAGAAAGGAAAAGAAAAGAAAGTCATTATAACCATTTGTGTGCCAAACAGAGTATACAATCAATCTGTAAGTGGTGACAACTTAAAATATGAAATAAAATGCTTGAGAAACTGACCTGTTGCATTGGCGGAGTAGAATGCACTGGGCTGGGACATGTGGCAAGACCAGGGGGTGATTGACTAAAATCTTCATCTTCATCCTCATCAGAATCACAATCATTGTATGGAGGCAAGAGTCCATGGGTGCCATGAAAAGATGCTGACCTAAGAACATGGTTGGTTGGGCTAAAAAGAAAGAAAAGATAAATTTAAAAAACAAGGCAACTATTATAATACATTGAAAAGGCACCAAAGAAGCAATGTATTTACCTTGAAGTTGGGCTTGGCAATGGTGCGGCTGTAGGAATAGCTGAAGCAACTGCAGATGAAGAAGAGGCAGGTGTATTAACAGCACTAGCAGGTTTCTTCACCACTTCCTTCTTTTTCCCTTCAGCAGCAGCCTTCATTGGGTCGTAACTCTTCCTTCTCTTCCAGTTTTGGAACTCAACTTCTCTTGAAGAAAGAGTTGAGTTACTTCTGGTGCTGGTGCCAACTCCAACTAATTTTTTACCACTTTTAGGCTGAGAAACATCCTTCTTCATGACAGGAATCATCTGATTAATTATTTTAAAACTCAGTTAGTCATTCACAAAAGAAAAAATCAAAATGGAAGGAAAATAACAAAGTAACAGAAGACATGTACTCACTGGAGCAGCAGCTTTTGAAGTGCGCATGCTAAAACGTCCACAGTCAGTGCGAGCAAAGGCCTCTGCCCTGACTGGTCTAGGGCTAGAGACTTTTGGGCTGGCAGTTTTGGGGCTGGCAGTCTTAGGACTTGCAGTTTTAGGGGACGAGGTAGATGTAGACGAGCTGCGAGATGAATCAACAGAGCCTTTACGACCTTGTTTATTAGTAGGTGCTGTGACAAGAGCCGGCATGGGAACCTGTGCAGGCAATGCGACTTGAACAGGTTCTGTGGCCAAGATTGCACCTTTCTTCCGGTCTTCAACTGGAATATCACAGCCAAGTCTTGCGCGCCGCAAGCTGTGGAGCAGATAAGATCGAAGCTAGAACCTTGAAGTTACCAATCATGAGTGAAATAAACAAACACTTCTTATATATATACCTGAAAGCTCTGTTGGGCCTTGTTTGTATTGCTGCAATTTCAGTGGTTACGGGTGCAAGGCGCTTTTTTATGGTGGGCCCTGGAGGATCACTGATATCAGAGGATTCGTCCCCAGAGTCCATAGAGAGACTATTTGTCATGCGTGCAGTCATAGCACTAACAACCGATTCTGTTGTTCGTAAAAATGATACTGTTTCTAAAGCAGAATCATCTTCCTCAAACTAAAAAGAGTAGAATAAGATACAAAATTGTGAGATTATTTTTAAGGTGAAAAATATTCTACAAATAAGTGGGATGAGTAAGAAGGCTGATTAATAACAAGTGATTCAGTTCAGCTGTATAATTTCATTAGCTGGCATTAGTGCTCGTACCATCCCTTCGTCCCCCCCTGGCCTGCAAAGAGCCACAGGAGCCATGTATGGTGGGACTGCTAACATATGAAAGTACAGAGATGAACTTAACCACCTGCTAATTCATGCCATTTTTAATACCTGGTCTTCAGCATTACGGAGATGATTTAATCTCTGAGGGGATTTTGGACTGCAAATTGGTCTGTTTTCTGTAACAGGAAGAAATTTCAAAAAAAAAATTCGATAAACATATTGAAAATTTTCAACACATTGTGGGGAGTTATTAAATTAGGTACGCAACCTGTTGTTGGAGAGGGGGCAGGGTCACCATGTGATGACACAAGGCGGCTTGCCCATTCAGACACCCAGCTATTTTCATGGTGGTTACCCTGCAAGTAATTGATTATTTAATATGGTGAAAGATTTGGACTTTACGACTTTCTCTTCAAAATTAATTTAAATAATTTTTAACAATAAAATAGAGGACGTACATGAATATGGTTTTCATCTTTTTGCTCATCATGAACTCCAAACACTTTGGAGATTGATTTTCGTGCTTGCTTGACGTCTGAGGTTTCTTTGTCAATGGTGTATGTTCCTGTGTCACTCAAGACATCAGACTCATCGTCTCCATTGTTATTTCTATCATTGATTCCTGGTGCATTCTCTGCCATAGGAGATAAAGCACAGGTTTCTACATTTCCTAAACTTGGGCGCCTCACTGTGAACATGACAAGGTAAAAGATAAGATAAGAATCCTTTGATTTCAAAGTAAGCACTACAAATTTTCAATATACCGTGATTGAAACCAACATACCGTTTTGCAAACGAGACCGGGCTGAGTCATCTTCTTGGTCACTTGAAAAATAACCCTCTGAATGGTAACCAGCACACCGTGGCGCACCACTGGGATGAGCTGCTGATGGCTCATTCACCTGCAATGAGAATAAATTTTTTATTGAAACACAAGAGGAGAGAATGGAAAGAATACCAATGATTGGTGGTATTTAGACATGCAATGAGACAGAGGCATTGCTTGTGAGAGGGTAACGCAGGAAACAGTTCCATTTATGGTGCAGCAAGTGGCACATCGGAAAGTAGGCTCCTCGCATACTAAGCAGATAGGGGTGTGTCTCATGTACATGCCTGCAGAGAAAGCAACACATAAATAATTTCAAGCTGCAGTATAGAAAGGGAAAAGAAATGAAGAACACCAACCTGACTATTATAAAGACCAGTAATTGGGAGCGACAAGTTTCGCATATGTCGCATTCGCTTGCTGTGAGTTGGACGCTTGGCAGCATTGGGGGATTCAAAGTGCACCACAAATGCAGTCGACTTGAGGGATTCAAGATCCGGACGGGATTCTGATGGCGGTGACAAATCCATGATCCGTCATCCCCTGGGAACAGCAGAATGACATGAAAATCTAACCTTAGCTAACACACAAAAATAGGTCGTTCCGTCCCAGTTGCTCGCGGAGTGCACATCTTCACCTTGGGCCGAGCTTTGGAGACGTGGGTGTTGTGGTGGGTGAGCGTCATGCCTCGAACGGGCCACGAATAATGTAAATAAACAACATTGACATTCTCCAGCAGCAACGTCACTTGCAAACAAGCAAATCTACAATCACCACTACTACCACTACTGCTGCACTTACTACTTCCACTACTACTACCGCAGCCCAACTTCTGCTAAACTCGACTACACTATCGAATGATCGACTAGTCAATCGACTCCTGTCGGCCCTCGCAAAAAAAAAAATGTTGACCGAGAAAAAACATGGACATTATTTTCCAGTAAACTACTACTTTACAAGTCCCATTTTAGCCAATTTTAGCTTAAGTTGAACCAGAGAATTTTAAAAACGAAAAATTGAACATTTCGGTTATTGGCAGTTCATCGTGCACATAGCATCCTTTCACTTTGAAAGGGCTCTTCCGCCGTTCGCGTTGTTTGTGTTCAAAATGGCGAGCATGGATTTAAGCCTAGACGATATTATTAAGAAGAAATTCACCAAGAACCCTGTGAAGGGTAAAGGAGGGTAAGTCGACATTTTGGCCGTGCTCATTGATTTACCCCTGTTGTTTCGTTCCTGGAAAATTTTGGTTTCACAGTGCTATTTGTATATAGCTTGACTGTGGTCCTAACCTGAATCATTACAAACTTCTAAAATCGCCGGACGGCGTTTTAATGTTGCGAGAAAAGTATTTTACTCGATTGATTTCCCATGTTAGCTTATAGTTAAATCAGTTCTACTGGACCTTCAAAGAAAGTGGCTTATAGACCTTCTTGTCATTAATGTGTGTCTTGTCAGTAACTTCACGTAGGTTATTATCCACAGCCACTGTGGCAGAGCTTCCTACTGCTCAACAGACTCTATTCAAATTGTTTTTCTTGTCATTACAGATTTAAAAAATTTGTGGGAAACAATGTTGGTAATAATAGGGGCAATCCCCAAGCTAATGTGAATCGTCGTCAAGGGGTGTGCCACCACAGAGAAGACTAGGCAATCAAAATGCTTTTGCCGGCCAGCAGCCTCCTAGGCAGACCATGGGTGATGCTCGCAATCGTATAATTCTGAAGAAACGTATGCAGCTCACTGATGCCCGGGACAAGCTGTGTGAGCTCGCTAAAAAGACAGATGCTCGTCAAAAATTGGAGAAACTACGTGAAAGAAGAATTGTTTGTTAAATTTAATTACTCTTATTCATTTTTATAATCTTTCCCACGAATTTTCCTCTTCTAATTCTCTTTTCTTGACTTTTGTTTGGATTTTTAGGGTATTCACAACGCTTTAGGGCCTTTAGGTTACGATGGTTTCCGTATGAATCTCAAGAGGCCCATGCGCAATCCTATCAACGTTACTGGAAGACCTAGCTTGGCTCCTGGACACATTGCACTTCAGAGGACCATCAATCAGCCTATTGGCAGTGGCAGGTTTCATTCAAAAGTTCCAGCCCTCATGGATATGGACATTGATCTGAATGGTGAATGATCTTAGACAAATTCATACTTTCTTTCTTTTCTGTTCTTCAATACATTGAATTGAGTAAGGAGCAGTAATGGATGATGTTTATCTTTTCAGATGACTACCTCCCTGAAGGACCTCTGCAACTTCGCAGAACTGTCAATAATGATCAAATGAGACCAGAGCCTCTTCTTCGCCCTTCTAAGCTTTCTAGTTCTTCTCCATATACATGGAAAGCTCCTCAACCAGTATGTCCAGCATTCTATCCTCTCACCCTACTAATGATTACAGCATAGGTGTTGTTAGTTTTTAACACTAATTGTTGCTTTTAATTCAGCGTCTCACCCAGTCCAGTTCCAGCAGAGGGTACATTGATTTGGACTACCCTGCAGAGCAGCGAAAGCGAATGAAATTACCCTCTCCACCGCCTATGTAAGCTGTCTAGGATAGTGTTTGTTCGGTTTGCATCTTAGTTTAGATAATTCATTATTCGCTTTATTTTTTTATTTCCATTAGGATGCGACCAATCCTTGTTTCTGATGATGAAGACATTGAACCAGTCCGACCAACCATGAGATCCTCTCGAGCTACTAGTGACAATCCTGTGTCGGGCAAATCCCGATTGGAATCATCCAGGATTCAAGTCTCCTCTGCTCCCAGTGGAGGATCTTCTGGATACAGGATTGTGGTTTCCAACCTACAGAACAGTGTTACTCATGAGGATATACGGGTAAGAACACTTTTCTCCAGTTCATTTGTCATTTTTATGATGTCTTTATTATTTCTTTTATTTTTTTGTGGAATCTTAGGAACTCTTTGAGGATGTTGGTCCCCTCGTTGCATCAAGGTTGGTTCGACCAGGTACTGCTGAGGTGGTTTACCGCCAGTTTAAGGATGCTGAACGTGCAGTTGAAAATTATCACAACCGTCAATTAGATGGTCAGCCTATGAAATGCCTCTTGGTGAAGCCAAGGCCATCTACAGCATCCACAGCACAACCCAGGCAAGCTACTGCGATGATTTTCCTGTTTGCAGGCAAATTGCTGCCTACTTGTCATTTTAAAATTTATCTTCTAAATTTTTTCCTTCCGTTTTACAGTAGTGGCAGTCTACGTGGACCAGTGGCTTCTTCATCAAAATTAACTGGTAGTGGAAAATCATCTGTGGTCCCCGATATTAGCACAATACACAAAGCGCTCTTCAACAAGGCTTAGCTGTGCTTAGTATTTTACTGTACATTGTCTCTTTGAAAATGTAGCTATACTCTCTCATTTGTAACCTGTGAGGACTTTAATTGCACATTGCGTGTAATATGGGCTGCAGTTCTTGACCAGTTTAAGTATCATTTTTTAATTTTTTTCCCCCCAGATTTTACAAACCCAATATGTGAATAGAAAAGGAGACTGAAACTTGCCTTTCATTTTATGTCTATTCACTTCCCCCTCCCAACCAAATTTTGCTGTCATGAATGTATGCCCATCAATTTTCTAATGAGTTTTGTAGTTTAAGAGTCATGAATCTAGCATGTAAGAATTAACTGGAATGAAAGCAATCATTTTTGTGTAAGATATCTACATTACTTGGTTTGTTAAAAATATAATTGTAACAACAATTAAATGAAATCTCATGTTTCTTTGTTTTCCAATTTTTGGGTCTTACGCCATGTTTCTCAATAGACGTTTTGAAAAGTGCTGGGGAAAAAAGGAATTGTTTCAAATGCTTCTGGGATGGAAGTTTTATTTCTGTACATTCATACACTTTAGTCAATTCTACAAAAACACAAGGATCAAGAATCATAATACTGAATCATTACCGGTACAAAACTTCACCCACATTGAATATACTTAAAATACATGTTCAATTGTAAAATTCATGCAAGAAAATTTTTTTTACTTGTCTTTGGGAATGTAATGAAACTGTAAATTCAGTACAGTCAAATCAATAAATACAACAAAATTTAAGATCATAAATATGAAACAAACACTAGACTTTCATCTGAGACATCAGAACATTGGCACAATTACAGATCCAATGTTGATATTGTAAAAGAATCTATGAACAACAAACCTGCTTTAAGCTACAATTTGTTAATTACATTGATTATGCTTTCATAAAGAATGGGAAATGGCACAAGATGAAAATTACATGTCTAGAAAATTCATAAAATTCTATTGTAAAGACAAATGGAACACTATGTCATTTAAAAAGAACACACAGAGCAGTTTAAAATGATAGAGGAAAAAGTCCAATTAGCTATGTAATTAAAAAGACACGTTCTTACCCTCTTTAAAACCAGAACTGAAGAGAGAAAATTTCAGATAATTTTATATGACAGAAAGAAACATTGGCACAGTTGCTTATGTTAATCCCTACCTTACACAATTCACTGGATTCTCAATCCACAGTCAAGGTTACAAAATTTAATGTTTTCATTGTACTCTGAACTCAATCATTAAAATCTGGGACACGGCACAGTACAAAGAACTCAACACACTCAACACTTATTTCTTATGGTGATATGACTTTCGAGGTGCTACCTGCGTGCACTTATTGACCATTGTCTGAGCCTGAGAGGACATTTGGTGGGATGTAGGCCTTTTTCTAAGTACATCAGCATAGGACATTTCGAGCTTCTTCAACCTTGCTATTTCCTGGGATGCAGAGGAATTTGGATTGAAGTTCCAGGGACTTTGAGGCTGTGATCCGGCCAGAGATCTGCTTGAACCAGCTTGGTTTGATGTAAACTCATCTACTTCCCTACGACACCTTGCAGCTAATGCATTTGCAGAGGCGGAATTCCTGTGGCCACTAGGTGATCTTGAGTGGTTGCTATGGCGTGACGGGCTGTCAGACTGTCTGTTGGGACTTTCAGAATTGCGAGATGGACTTTCAGCATATCTGTCTCTTCGTCTTTGACGACCACTCCTGACAGGGGTTATCTTAGCATTTAGACCTCCAACCGTCAAACTAGCAGGGTCAATCCTCTCAATCCCTTTCCTGGGAGAGGCATGAGGAGAATTCTTGCGAGAGTGTCCTTTCTTGCGTCCCAGTCCCATGGCCAAGTATTCCATAATGTCCCTCTTGGGTGCAGGTGATGCAGGTTTTGGCTCGGGCTCAAATACTCCAGCACGATCGGAGGACTTTCCTACTTCTGTATCAGCATTCGACCCAGATGTGGAAGCCGAGGCTGAGGCTGGAGAGGATGCTGGACCAGCCTCGGCTTTCCTTTCCCCCGCACTAGTTGAAGGTGCAATCAGAGACAGCTCTTCAGCAATTGAAGCTGTAACCCTTTCAACTTCAGCATCAGCCACAATCTCAGAACAAATCTCTGAGCAAATTTCCGAGGGTTCTTCTGATATAATTGAGGTTTGCGTTCCGTCCTGAGCTAACATTTTCAGCAAAGGCAACTCTTCCTTGGCAGGAGTCACAGGAGGCACACGGGGAGGGTCAATGGGTAGTGTAATATCATCAAGTAATGGAAGCTTTTCACCCTCATCTTTGGCCTCTGCCGCTTTCTTTAAGATGTCAAAAATTTCTCTAAACAGGCTGCGGTATTCAGGTGTATTGCGGAAGCGGCCATCAACAGGACTTGCATTGTCGTATATGCTGAAACGACAATCTTCACCATCAACAATTGTGCACAGAAATGAACCAGGCAGACGGTGGGACTCCGTTTGGGTCGCCTTGTTACTGGTCTCATCTGAAAATCCTGAAGATGATGTTTCAGCCTCAGAGAAATCAGTTGGAGTTGTTGAGAAGGTCTTGTTTGGCCCAGCATTTTTCTTGGCTGCTGCTGATCGCACACTCCTGTTGGCTTTCTGTGAGACCAAGGTACCCTCATTGTCTTCATTACCGCTTTCATCATCCTCATTTCTGAAGCTGTTGAAGTCGCCTGACATCTGTAGTTCTTCTTGTAATGAGAGCGCCGCGGCAGGAACAGCAGGGAGAACAGCAGAGGTACCAAGGTGAGATGGCAGAAGACTCGGCTTGCTAGAGCGCCTGCTAGGTGCTGGGTGAGATTGAATTTGGACGAGGGCTTCGTACTTCTGAACCAGGTCTCGATATGGGTTCTCACTCGAACGTTCCTGAAAAAGATAAAAGGAAAGTTTAGCTTTAATAAAGACAAAAGGCATATTTGTTTAGATTGAAAGACAGAAGGAATTATCAGGATTTTCAGAAAAATAAAATTAGTGCTTCAATTGCTTAATAATGAATGATGAAAAATGATTCAAGCTTTGAGGTAGATTAGGATTTTACAGTACTCTACGTCCTTCAGAATGCAAGGTGTCAATGAATGAGACGCAAAGGCAATATAAATTGGAATAGACAATAATGCAAATGTACAGGCAAGGAGTTCAAACATTTTTGCCCACTTGCAGGCATTAATGAATTGCCTTGAACACACCAGGTCATACAAGGGGAAGGGGGTGCTAAACCCTGTGTCCCATTCCTCCTTATCCCAATACATTCAGGATCACACAAAGCTGGAACAACAACTTCTGGATGCATGGAAATTGATTAATTAAAACACACAAACTAAAACCCCAACTCCAACCAAATTTGCAAACAAGGCGAATAGTAACAACTTCAGACTCGATTAAAAGAGCAAACCAAAACATCATGTACGTGCAAACTGCCACCTGAAAATTAGAGTTAGACAACTTCCCACACCAAATTGGAACTGCGGTTAGTACTGAGTGTGAAGTCCTTCACCAAAAGCTGGTCACTCGGAGTGTAAGACATACCTATACATGTGTTTGAATCCCGAGCTGGAAAGCCTACAAGCCAGCGTAATAAGCATATAGGAATTTTGAAAGGCCAAAAAAATAAGGTCTTTGCCATAAACAGCAACAGAGAAAGTAGAGACGAACTTGGAGGCGAAGTTGGTGGCTTGCCCGGAAGGCTAACTGACGCCTTTGCAGGGCTGCCAAGGAATGCCACTATCCACCACATGACCCAAACCACCCTACATACTTCCTGAAACATGCCATGTGCACAATACATATTTATGATACTTGATTTCCTAGCATTATCTTGCAAGTCCAGTTGTGACTGGAGATCACTGCAGAATGCTAGGGAACCAGTGTGGGTCTAGATTATATTTTAAGGGTGGAGTAAAGGGACTAGAAAAACTACCTGAAGTTGGAGAAGAACGGATGCTCGCTGAGAGTCACTGACGAAGGAGTCAATGACACTAACATCCTCATCATCACCATGCTCTGCAGGACCTCCACTAGATTGCTCCAGTAGTTGCAAGCTCTCATAAAATGGACTTCGAGTGTCCATCTTTTGAGTGCATTTGCCACAAAGCTGACCACTTCTGAGAAAGAGAAATAATAACAATAAGACAACCAAAATGCTCTCATTTCTGTTTAAGCTTGCTTTTTTTGTAGACTAGATTTCACCAACCTGATTTCTTCTAAAGTACTAATTTCCTCTTGAAGGGACTTCATGTCCTCATCTTTCTGTTGTAAGTTTGATAGCTGCTCCTCCATCACCTGATTTTCCAGCATGAGTGCCTGTGCCTGTTCTTCCAGCTTCGAGGCTCTCCGTTGATCACGAAGGCGCTGGGCTTTGAGTTCTTGCACCTCCCCTCTGAGCCTGTCCACTGCTTCTTCCAAATTGGGTGCATCCGCAAAGCCATCACACTGCAAGAAAGACGACAAGGTTAAAATCAAACGGCTACAGCACAATGCGTTTCAAATCACCAAGAGCAACTGTTACCTTGTTGTTGTTGATGGTATTGGAGGTGGGGCTTGCAGACTTCCTATCAAGCTGCTTCTGCAGTTCATCATTTTGTTTTTGAAGCTCTTCACATCTGGCCTCCAACGAGTCAATATTGACACATAGCCTGCGGCCGAGAAACAAAACTCGTTAAAAACAATTCAGCTTTTCGGACCAACCAGGGACTTCCCTTCTCGTCAATGTGCTGCAGTGCAGTGGCTGCAGCCATTCGGCCGCACGCTCTTCTCGCTCTGTCTCTCTCGCACTCATGGAGTGCGCCGCAACGGTGTGAGAGAGACAGAGCGAGGGAGTGGCTGGACAGTCGGGCTCGCTTACGTCTTGATGTGCTTCTTGTCGGCGGCGGAGTCGAGGGCCAGTCGCTGGTTGGCGCGCTCCAAGTCGAGGATGCTCACTTCCAGCTGTTCGTAAATCCGCAGTCGAGAGTCGTTCACTTCCCGGAGGGCGGCCGTCTGCTTGGTCAAGTACTGCAACAAAGTCCACATCTCGTCAAGCACTCAGCAAGGACAACACTGTGAGAAAAAAGTACGGAACATGTCTGGTCAATAATTTGCCTGGACCGTCCGTACTTGCCAACTACGGAACGTTCCGTACTTTTTTTCCGTACCCATTTACATGGGTTTATATGGAGCAAGTACGGAACGTTCCGTACTTTTCTCCGTACCTCCGTACTATATTTTTCTGTACCATTTCCGTACAAAAGTACGATTTTTTTTTTACAGTGAAGCACTCATTTCCAGGGGAACGGAACGGGACAGCAATGAAAACCCCAGTGACGAATGGGAAGTAAATTCCCCTCCCTTTTTTTTGGAGGGAGGGGGAGTAATTTCTATAATCTAGGTCGAGAAACTATCGCATTTCAGTCAAAATTTGGCCAAACGCCGTTGAAAGTAAGGGACCCCACCTCCTGCTGGAGCCCTCGACACGCCTCTGCCAAAGCCCAGAAACGGTTTGCAGTGTAACAGCGTACCTCTATCTCCTGCGTCTGGTCCTCGATGACGTTCTGGTGCTGCCGCAAGGTCGTCTCCAGCTCCTTGTTCCTCTCCAGCAGCGTCTTGCCCAGCTCGGCCGCGAGCTGCAGGTCTGCAACAGAAGGAGACAAGCACACCGTCAGTCTCGCCTCTCGGGTTCCAAACTCCCACACCACGCCACTGCCATTGCAGGCGGCGGGCCCGGCAGGCCAGGCAGGCCGCGTGGGGCTGTAAGGTGGACTCCGCCGTCGGGCAGGCCACCAGGAAGGCACGAGCCCCTAGCCTCGCGTCGCCGTCGGCGTCCTGGGTCACGACGGCGACGTCATTGCCCGCGGATATAGAAAAACACTCCTATCTGATTCGAGGCGACGCGCCACGCCCTGCGGACAGTTTCCGAGAGTCGTTTGCGTCGCTCTGTCTCTCTCGCACCTGTGCGGGACGCCCCATGAGTGCGAGAGAGACAGAGCGACGAAAACGACTCTCGGAATCAGTCTACCGCCGTGGGAGAAACCTCCGCTCCGGGCCGCATCCGTCTATCCGTCCAGGGACTTCGGCGTCGTCCACGACACGTCACGACATCACTTACTCTCGCCCCGCCCTTTCGTGTGAGATTTTTTCCTTTTCCCGTCCCGTCTCCCCGCGTCCCCCCGCCGTCTAGTCTGCTTCATTTCTTCTCCTGGCCGTCATCTCTCTCCTCTCGGTTTCCCACACCGACGCCTGGCATGGCGCCTGGCGCCTGGCGATGCCCCGCGCCACCCGCGCCCCGCCAATCGAAAGCACCGGCATACATCACACCGAGAGTCGTTTTCGTCGCTCTGTCTCTCTCGCACTCAAGGGGCGTCCCGTACAGGTGCGAGAGAGACAGAGCGACGAAAACGACTCTCGGAATCAGTCTGCAGACCAAGCAGCCCCCTAAGCAGCTCAGCTCTAGGCCCATCCCATCGCCTGCCTCGCTTGGCTCGCTCCAACACCGCCACCGCAGAGTCCTTTTCGTGGCTCTGTCTCTCTCGCACCTCTACGGGGCGCTCCATGAGGGCGAGAGAGACGGAGCAGCGAGAACGACTCTCGGAATCATTCTGCTGCTTTCTCATAGGGCATGCATGGCTGATCGTCGGCGCGCCGCCGTGGCGCCCGCCGTGGCGTACCCGCACCCGTTCCGAGCCACGCCGCCGCGCCGCGGCGTCGGTAAAGTTGAAACACAATCCAGTCTTAGCGAACGGGCCGCGCGCCACTGGGCCACGCCAAAGCCGCCCTGTCTACGCAGTGAGAGTTCGCGACCGCCGCGGCTGGGGGCTGGTGCACTGTACTCCGCGAACAGGACTCGACGGCAAGGGTCCTCGTTCAGAGGGCAGTCCACATGGGCCCGTGCAAGAGGCGCTCCCAACAGCCCCCCTGGCGCACCGCGCGCCACACGCCGTCCTTGTCACACTTGCTGCCGGATAAGGAGAACGAGAGCGACAGAGTCAGTAGACTGATTCCGAGAGTCGTTTTCGTCGCGCTGTCTCTCTCGCACTCATGGGGCGGCCGTACAGGAGCGAGAGAGACGGCGCGGAGCGAGTCCCCGAGGTGCGGCCGTCGCCACTCGCACGCTTCACTTGCCACCGATGAGTCTTGGCGGCAGTTGGCCGTCGACGCGGGGGTCATGTGGGGCTTCGTGGCTCTGTCAACAGACGGCCGCCCGCTGTCACGCCGCGTCCCCGAAGCAAGGGGAAGCATGGCGAAGCCCCGCGCAGACGGCGAGGCGGCGGCGGGACTCGAACCCGGGCCGCCTGGCGCCGCCCACGCACAGACTCGCCATTCGCATTACGCGTGTGCGCGCAACGCGCTCGCCGGGCTAAATCTCTTCGTTAGCGGCGCCGCCTTCGCGTTCGCTCTCGCGCTCCCTCGAGCACGGAGAATGAGCCCAACCCAATGCAGGGCGGCTCCAAACAACGCCACTCCGTCTCTCTCGCACCCGAAGGCCGCGGTGCACGAGTGCGAGAGAGACGGAACAGCGAGCAGCGAACGCACAGTGTCTGCTCGCGGAAGATAGGCCGCTGTACCCATCGCACAGTGGGCCAGGAGATCGGCGGCGGCGGCCAAAACTCTAGACGCGTTTTGAGCTCCAGAGTCACTAAATGGAACTCGAATCGAACGTGTGACCCCACCAATGGATTGCTCTCCGAACGAGAAACAGTGGGGTCACACGTTCGATTCGAGTCCTGTTTAGCGACTCTGGAGCTCAAAACGCGTCTAGAGTTTTGGCCGCATCCGCCGGTCTTCTGGCCCACTGTGCGTCGATCAGAACCAAACGGGCCAGTCTATTTCTCAAAAGCTTCACTGCCAACCTCTGGAAACCAAAACCCCGCGAAGAAAGTGCCGCCCCCAAGACACGCCAAGGGGGACGCCACTTCCCATTCCGCCGACGATTCGCCCCTTTTCCTTTTTTCCCGCGCCATTTTGCAGTTGGCATTCCTGGCTAATTATCGCCGGCCGGCCGGCCGAGTGGCCGAGCGGCGCTTTGGCCGTCGCGTCGCGTCCCGGCGTCGCGGCGTCGCGGCCTAGGTCAACCCAGTCGACCCACCGCGAGGCCGCCAGAGGCCGCCGCCACCGAGCCATCCAGTGACCGAGAGATTCCCGGCCAGCGGGCCCATTCCGAGAGTCGTTTTCGTCGCGCCGTCTCTCTCGCACTCGAGGGGCTTGTCGGGAAGGTGCGAGAGAGACGACTCTCAGTCTGCGGGATGAGGAGAAAAGAGGCGCGGTGCGTACACTGTACGCGGTACGCGGATCACATGCGAGCCCTAACGGGAAAAGGGTTCGCACTACACGCATGGTAATTACGATGCAAGCCGAGCAGAAAGGGGAGAAGGGGTTGGCTCAGCCTGCGCGGCCTAGCCAGGGCCTAGCCGGCTGGCTCGCCCAGCCACGCAACGTGCCCATGCAACCGCCCGCGGGTACACTTTGTCTCCCTCGCACCCACGGGGCGCGGCGGGGCGCGGCGCGCGTCAGCCTGGGAGGTAGGCAGTCCCGTCACGCGCGCGTGCGTGCAGCTCTCCGCGCGGCCTACCCTGCATTGCTATTACCATTACGGGCTCGCGTGGCCGCCGGAGTCGGCCAAAATTCTAGACGCGTTTTGAGCTCCAGAGTCGCTGAATGGGACTCGAACCGAACGTGTGACCCCACCGATGGATTGCTCTCCGAACGAGGAATCCATTGGTGGGGTCACACGTCCGGTTCGAGTCATATCGCCGCGCGGCTGCCAACAGCGTACAGCGTGGCCACCCTAAAACGGAATCAAGACGAGACCACGCTCCGCGCCGTCGGAACGGTACCATCATTGCTGGCCTGCCAGCAGCATGCCGAGCCGCGCCACTATAAAACGCAGTTCGAAGAATCCGCCCCACATAAGTTATTTCCGATCCTAAACTAAAGAGCGCCGGTACAGATTGTGTAGCATTAAGGCTTTTGTTCCGAGACGACGCCGGGACGGCCGGGACGGCGGGCCTGCACCGCTACGCACCGCCAGCTCTGTCTCTCTCGCACTCGCGGGGCGCTCCGTACGGGCGCGAGAGAGACAGAGCGACGAAAGCGACTCTCGGTGCACTGGCAGCGCCGCGACCAATCGCCGTGCCGCACACGGCCGGGGCAGCGCTGCAGCGGCGGCAGCGACGCGGCCTAATGGCCCTGCGTCACAAATGTCGGTCATGACCGCCGCACCGGCCTGGCCGAGGCACAGTGGGCCAGAAGGCCGGCGGAGGCGGCCAAAACTCTCAACGCGTTTTGAGCTCCAGAGCCGCTAAGCAGGACTCGAACCGAACGTGTGACCCCCACCAATGGATTCCTCGTTCGGAGAGCAATCCATTGGTGGGGTCACACGTTTGGTTCGAGTCCCATTTAGCGACTCTGGAGCTCAAAACGAGTCCAGAGTTTTGGCCGCCTCCGCCGGTCTTCTGGCCCACTGTGCGAGGGCCCGGCCGCGCCGCCTTGCCCGTGTTGGTGTAGGCCAAGAAGCAGCAGCCGATAGAAAGCCAGCCGGCTGCACTGCGGTGCGCGCGGCCGGCGCGGCAGGCAGTGCGGGCAGCCCCAAGCCCAAGGCCCGGCAGAAGGGGTTGCAGAGAACAGGCAGACACTACAGCAGCGCCTCCGGCCAAGAGGTACCCGTTTTTCAGGACTCAGGACTTTCTTTTCAAAACCAGAGATTCTTGCTGAAAATTCCTGAACAAAAGAAGTTACAACTTCCATCATTTCTTGTGTGTGAATAAGATTTGAATCAGTTGTGCACACACGATTTTAGAGTTGTCGACCTCGACAAGCGCTGGGAGAAAACAGTTTTGAATTCCGCGCCACAACCCTGGCGGCGCCACAAATACACGCACACACACACACACACAGTCAGTCAGTCAGTTTCGACACGAGGCAGTCCGGCGTCCACGATCTGGACTCCACATGCGAGCCATGCGAGCCAATAAGTGTGTCAGCAATCAACAAGCAGAGCCACTCGGCGGCTGCGTCGGTGCTTCTCTCGGTGCAGCGGGTACTCCGTCGTGGCCTCGACGCACAGCGCCACAGCGCGGCGCACCGCGGCGCGGGGACGCAGGACGACGCGGGACTAGCCGGCCCACAGTGGGCCAGAAGACCGGTGGAGCGGCCAAAACTCTAGAAGAGTTTTGGGCTCCAGAGTCGCTACTCAGGGCTCGAACCGACCGTGTGACCCCACCAATGGATTCCTCGTTCGGAGAGCAATCCATTGGTGGGGTCACACGCTCGGTTCGAGGCCCATTTAGCGACTCTGGAGCTCAAAACGCGTCTAGAGTTTTGTCCGCCTCCACCGGTCTTCTGGCCCACTGTGCGGCCGGCGGGCCGATACAGGAGTACAGGACCAGCCACTTTGTCGATAAGGACGCCGGCGCCTCCCGAAGTGGCCGACCAGCCTCTAGCGGCTGGCTGGTCTAGCCTAAGCCTAGCCCGCCAGTCTCTCTCTCGCACTGCTGGGGCGTCGCGTAAAGGCACGACAGAGACAGAGCGACGCAAGCGGCTCTCGGAATCAGTCAGCTGGGCCTGGGTCTCATTAAAACTTGAAACCACCGCGCCCACTTTACACGAATCACCTCTGCTGGCTGGGCATCCCCGGCC